ATGTGCCTATTACAATTCGCTGAAAAGACTTGATTATACATGCTGCCCTTTGAACCTCCACAATGCACTGCGATCCCGCCGCCATTTTCATCCTTCTTTTCTCAGCGCCTATCGTTTACGGACGCGTCTTTTATGGAATTTTCGGAGTTTGGAGTTTTGTGAATTGACTATTACGAAATAAAGAGTGATTTCTTATCGTTTGGTAAGGCAGTGGATAGCTAGTTAAAGGTAATCTGGAAGCGGTGGAGCGTGGAACGGGATTCGCGGGTTGAGTGACTCAGTGAGTGACTCAGACACCCACTCCCGGGCAGTAGGGTCCCTATACCCGAAACCCATGGCCCCCACCCCTGTCGTCGGCCTGCCATAAAAAGTGCCAGACTGTCAACGAGTCGGATGGCGATTCTAGGGCTCCGTACCAAAGAACAAATTTCAGTCTCGGCCTATTGTACACCAGGCGCAAGGTGTGTCCTATCATGAAGCCCGTACCCGAAACTTTGTTGTCAACAACCTGTGTGTCTGTTTTTAGATTTCTTCCTGAGTCTCCCCGCTGGTTAATTTCCAAACGGAAATTCAAACAAGCCGAGAAGGTCATCCGTAAAATCGCCAAGGTAAACGGCTCATCCGTCCCGGCGAACTTGTTTAGTGAGACGGACGAACTTCAAGAAAAGGTACTTTCTAGTTGCTACAAAAGTTAACCCTAATGATTTTGAATCCAACAAGCATATGCACGAGTTCAATGGTTCCCAGCGGGTTTAAGGTTTAATGGTCGATAATGATGGGGTTATCTGGTTGATTGTTAGCGTTGGTTTCTCCATACAGGCACATGGCAAATGCTGCGTTATCAGTCGATTTACTGAGAGTCATGAAGTAGCAATGGGTGAAAAATGGTGCCAAGACACCAGAGTACATTGTACATGGATTACTACAGGGAATGTTTCCAAACTGTATTGTATTCTAAGAAGTCAATTTTAAATGATTGCTGGAATTAATTAAGTCTGAATATCAGGCTCGAACTTCAAACCACCCTTGAATGCAGACAAACACGCTATAATGGAAAAATATGCATCTTATCTCGGATATCTGTATATTGCTTTTCCCTATCGGCCAAGACCGTTTTGACTCGGCAAGCGACCCAGATTGACCTCTTCCGAACACCTAATATGCGCAAAAGACGCTGAACATCTTCTACCAATGGTGAGGGCATAAACAGGACTTAAAATAAACAGAAAATAAACCCAAATTGTTCGAAAGCAGATAAAATAAGATTCTGTTCAGACACAATTTATTTCAAGCCCCTTTTGGTTACGTATAGCTTTTAAGGCGAAGGGATGTATGTAGTTTCTGTAGGTATCTGACTTTGAGAACAGCATTTAAGGTGCCGTTACACGGTATCTGATATCGACATCAGGTATTTTTTTATGTGACCATTCATGCTATCATGCCCTTTTGGGGGGAATGGTTTATGCTTATGAATGAGCCTCTAAAGTGAAAAAAAAGAAAAAAAAAAGAAAAAAATTGGAACAAACGCAGTGGCTTTTTTTCCTACTATGCAGGAAAGCCGTTACTAAGGCAAGTTTACTGAATTCAGGGCTCGGTCCGTGCTTGCCACTTGTTTTATTTATTGGTCTAATAAAGGGAGAGGGAATGATTTGGTCTCAGTAACGAAATTTTTATTTATTTGGCAGCACCTGGCGGCCTTTGTGCGGCTATCGCCATGATAGGAAAATTCGCCATATCTGGGGCATTCAACATTATCTACATATACTCGGCAGAGCTTTTCCCAACACCCGTCCGGTAAGCCAAGACAACTCACTAAAATGCATACCCTATAGGAGTCTCCATACGTCGTCGTTTCGTCCACTGGTATTGAATGTGTCATGGATTCGCCTCGAGAGGCGGGTTGGGTCGACCACGGGTCTATGAAGTATAGTTACCACACGTCATACATTGAGCATTTCAGGCCGAATTCACCATCACGTGTGTCAGTCAGTATTTTTGCTGTTTAGCTCCAGTTGCGTGGGTGGAATTCAAACACGTGCCACAGAGGTGGAATAAGGCAAAATCACATGCGACCAATCATCACGCTGAATTCTCTCCATTTCTCTTGCAGGAGCATGGGCGTTGGAATGTCGTCCATGTCAGCCCGGCTCAGCGGCGTGATAGCCCCTGTTATTCTCATCCTGGGCAACTACTGGGAGCCTGTCCCGCTGATCGTCTTTGGGGGATGCTCTCTGCTGGCCGGTGCTCTGGCACTTCTGCTCCCAGAGACCCTGAACCACAGCCTCCTGGAGACCGTCCAGGAAGGGGAGGAATTTGGAAGTAAGAGTTGGCTTTGCTTTTCGTAAACCAAAAATTATCAGTTCAAAAATCGTGTTTTTCTTTGACCTAGGAGAGGCTTTTAAACCCTACTAACCCTTTGTAGATATACCCGAATCCCGAACTAAATGAAGTGATGGTTATAACACTAAAAGAGCAGGGGTGGTATCCGCCCCGTCCCCCCCCCGTCATTTTTCCCATATCGTCGCAGTGCCTTTTCTCATTGCAAGAGCTGAGCCTTTAGGAGTTTTAGAATAACTCTTTGCGGTTTTTTTGGCACCAGTTTTTGAAAATCGAATATACCAGGTCAGCCAAAAATGTCCACTTTTCCATTGTGGTGCTCAGTGCATACAGGCTGGCACGCATGTAGCCATGAACTGCAAATGGTCGTAACAACAAAACCATTTGTGTGATTGAGTTCAAATATCACAATTATACTGATAATGAGTTTTTTAAACATGTTTAAAAAGACGAACATAGCTCAGCCGAGTTCCTATAAAGGGGCAGAATCCACCCCTGCCTGTTTGTGAGAGGGGCCAAAATAATCCTGCTCTATGAGACGCAACACCTTTTGTACGCAATTATATCACCTTTCGTATGTAATTATATGTTTTGTTTTACCTGTGTCATGGCCCCGACTCATTAATTGACACAGGGCGAAAAAATGCATATTTATCCTTACACCATTGATATCACATTCTGAGATTAGTCCACGTTCGCTTCTTCTTGAATTCCTCAACCTAATGACTTGTAACGTTGAAGACGCATGCATCTTTTCATGCAAAATGGTTTTAAGACATAAAGATATTACTTTTTGACCAAGACACGTTCAATCAACACCATCAAACTAATATGGTGATACACTGAGTCCGCGCACCACGTACAAAACTCTGTGAAGCAAGGAACTGAAACAATATGGCCGTTCTTGTTTGAGACCCGCAGTGAGGAAATATTGCAAGGAATTAAAGAAGAGGTTAACAAAGCATTTCTTGACGGCTCTGATGTGGGATTTCAAGGGCATATCCGGGGGAAAAAGGGGCCATGGCCCCCCTTTAATAAAGGGTCAATTTTTCTTCAAATGAAAAGCATTATTTTGTCAATTTTATTTCTGTCCCCTTTGTGGTGTTCCTTCTTTCTATAGGCGTCTAAAAAGCCCCCAAATGAAGCCTCACCCCTACGAAAGGTCGTAATTGGGTAAAGAAAATTTCCAAATCCCCCCCCCCAAAAAAAGCAAGTTTGGCTCCACGAAAATTTGGTTCTGGATCCGCCCTTGGTCACACTTTGTTGAAGATGTGCAACACGTTATACCTCACCGTAGAATGCTACCATACACTAAACGAATGATTATTCTCTCACCCTACAGAGGGGCAGGGATTTGGACTGAAGAAACTGTTTAGGAGACCAAACAGCCCTGAAGGGAGTAGTAGCGCAGACGACTCCAAAGAGGAACCCTACAGACAGATCCTAACATACGATGAAATAAACGCTGGAGAATCATCCAAAGTGTAATCAGTGCTCACTGTGCTCAGAATGAGGCATTTCCCCCGATGAAAGAAGTACAGAAATCCAAAACGGGCTGCCGGTGCCACCGCTACATCTGCTGTCAGCGCGTGCTGTATAATTAAGACACCGGCGAAGACCAAGACCATTACTTTAAGTAATGTAAAGTTATAAAAAGCATGTTTCAATAAAACGGCTTTTTTGGCATTTGGGGGCTTTGGGGCATTTTTCCCTAACACGATTGGGTAGATTTCCGGCGATACAGAGATAGGGCGCGTTATCTCCACATCCTGCCTGTAGGACGTAGATTCGATAGTAGTAGGTTGCTGAAAATAAAAAAATCAAAATTCCATGGACCGTGAACTCCCATGGGGGCGTGGTTGGACTATTTCTAACACTGTGGCGCTGTTTAGCACACTGTACATTGTACATATACATGTGGTCTTTTGCCGTGTTCCGCTGAAAAGTTACATTGAACTGTCGGTTTATTTTCTATTCTTTTACTTCCTGCTTTACTTTCAAAGATAATCCTGTAGTATACACTCCCCCCGTCAAGAAGTGAGTGGGGGATGTGTTACCCCCCCCCGGAGATCTGTACGTGCACTCTATGAAAATAACTCATTCGGTAATGGTATGTGAAGAAAAAATAACTCAACTAGATCTGGCACCTAGTAATTTCATTAGTTGATGCCACTGAACTCGAGCGGGAAGTGGCAGGGAAGGATTCACGCAATTACTGCCTTTTAAGAAATTAGCAAAGCAAAACGACTCTATAGCATAGGGAATCTTCACTCTTCCCAGGGTTTTAAATGATTGGTCGAGCTTGTTTTTTTTTGTTAGACTCAACTTGATTTCTTTTGACTTTAAACAATGTTTGCACTTTCATGTCATGTATTCATACTGCAGTTTTACTAATATGGTTATTAAAAATGGTTGTGAAATATGGTTCTGAAAACAGAACTGATTCAGAACTGAATCTGCTTGCCCTGACGAAGGTGGTTTTATTATTATTTATTATTTTCTTCCATACGGCCCTGCCATACCACTTAAAGAAAACCAGCTTTAAAAGCTATATTAACATGATTGAACTTTAATAATAAAATACCACAATATTCAGATTTTTAAAAGATTATCACATAATAAAAATGACAAATAAATGGGAAATTAAAATTAGTAAAAAAAACACATAAAACAACACAAATATTTAAAACAAAGCAGTAGTAATACAGTAAAAATATTTTTAAGTATATAAAACATAAATATAAAAGTAGAGACATATGCATACAAATATTAAAAAATAGCATCAACGGAAACAAAGTAAAACTACCTGAGGGACGTATTCAAAGATAACTTCAAACTGGTGAGGGGTGTTGCTGTTGTCAGTGACTGATCAAGTTTGTTCCATTCTGAAATTCCTGTGACAAATGGGCTGTTCTTCAAACAATCGGTTTTACTTCTTGGTACAGTAAGTGAATTCATGACATAGGCCTGTCTCGTGTTATAGTTGGGAGTCTGGTTTGTTTGAGTAAATTCATCACTTAAGTAAACTGGAGCCAAATCGTGCAAACATTTAAACATCAGTACAGCACGGTGATAAATAAACCGTTTGTTCAAAGGCATCCACTTTAGCTTGTGTAAAAGATCAGCGGACGGAGTATCAGTGTTCAATATTCGCTTCGCGTTTCTGAAGTTTCTCAAGCTTGTCAGTATGCATGCGGAATCTTTCTGACCATATCTGACAACAATAATCAAAATAAGGCTGAATAAACGTTTATAAAGCATGGTTAAGCTTTCTAAAGGAAGATATGGTCTGACCCTTCGAAGCATGCTTAATTTCGATATTATATTTTTGTATATTCGTTTTAAGTGTTTCAGTTTAAAGAGTTTCTAATGCTTGCGTTAACAAAATACAAAGATCACTTGTGTATAGGTTGTAAATCTTTAAAAAAAAGATATGGTCTGACCCTTCGAAACATGCTTAATTTCGATATTATTTTTTGTATATTCGTTTTGAGTGTTTCAGTTTAAAGAGTTTCTAATGCTTGCGTTAACAAAATACAAAGATCACAGGTGTATAGGTTGTAAATCTTTAACCCCACATTTAACAAAGACAATTTCTATCTATAAAATATAAATAAACTGATAAAAGATTACAAATAAGAAAGCAAAGAGAGCATACAAAAGAATACAAATGTCCATAAGCAAGTGTAATATCAGCGTAATATCCACTAAAAATGTCGGAAAGAAGGCTAAAATGTGGCAACGTAGGCTTACGTGTGAACAATTAATCGAGGTTGTCCAGATTATTTTAACACCTATATCACACGAATTTCCCAGGACGATACTTTGATTTCGGCCCCTAGCATTGTTCACTTCAATTCCTAATACCAATTTCAAAAATCCACCAACGGATTTCATTCAAAGCGCAATATAATTCAAATTTGAAGCATTCTGATTCGTCCTAATTTCGGTGAATTCGTCTCATGTGACCATCGGCGTTGCATCGAAAAAGAAGTTTTTTATTTTTCATTTATTTTGGCGCTTTGAACATATAAATTCAGACATTTCAATCTTTGCATTTCCTTGCCCAATCTGGCCTACAAATGTCTTGATATTTGTACTTTTTCTTGTCATTCCTTGTAAACAGAAGAGATTAAAGTCCAAAAAGATCATTACGTTCTTCCGTCCATATTCTCTTATTGATTAATAGCTTTTTCTCGACCAATTTCGGCAAAATAGTAGAATTAAACAACGCGTCAGCCAATATCGCGCGGAATGAAATGCTGATCCAAGTCATAATTCAATTTGATAAGCTTGCAATAGAGTTGGATAGTGAGATTTACAAAAGGAACTGTTTGATTCAATTTCCCGTCCGCTTTTTGCTGTGTACATTATTTTGGTAGTTGGTATTTTAAACCTTGAATAACCCGAATTTCCCAAAGAATGTTAAAGCTAGACAATGATCAAGACTGTACGTGTCTGTTTAAGAATCACCTTCCTTGTGTATTATATAAATTAATTGCAAATAATAAAAGTATTTGTTCAATATTTTGATTTTAATTCCAGATTTCGTTAATGACATTTTATTTTTCAGGTTTATCCGCTTTATTTTTATTAGTGTAATTTGAATCAGGACTTTATGGAAAGCAGTTTTGCAACTGACATGGCCACCTGGTACAAATAAAACAGCAAATAATGGATAAAAAGGGGAAAATGTGGGTGTAGACATCATCCTTCCAAAAAAGTTGAAAAGGTGATTTTAGATAACAGATAATCGCTCATAATTACTGTTTTATCTATTGAAACAAAGGACTTCAGGGTTATCCCAAAGTATTCCAATAATTATAACACTTTTTTGAAATTATGGACAAAACAGAATCAGACTTAGTCGGTCAACACTGATTTTTAACTTAAAAATATTAGTCAGTGACGATCAGGTAAATCCTAGAGACAAGTATAAATTTTCCAGGTGAAATACGTAAAAACCGCATTTAAATTCATTTTTAAGGGCCAAGTTGAAATAGATTTGCTCTCCACAGTTGTTCCTATGGTTCATCTTAGATGTTTCATTGTAGATGCTTTCAAATAAAAAGAAATAAAGGCGCAATGCAACTATCCCATTTATATGTATATTTCACGGTCTCCTGTATTTTCATCCATCAGATTTTAGTTCAAACGATTTTCGAATAATGTTATAGCCATTCTAAATAAAATGATCAACGCAAACAAAGGAAACGAGTCATGAGAATCAACGCGAACTTTACATCTTTACCTTCTTTTTGTGTTGTGTTTCCCCAATGTGCTCATTCCTTCTTGCGACAGATGCGCTTATCTGAGATCTCTGTGAAATTATTGTCATGCAGTCAGTTCTGATCCTTTCTGTGCTTTATTTTGATCACATCATTCCTTCCTTTGTTTTATGATTTAGAAATTATGAGCAATCAAAATGACTACTCGTTGTTTCTTTTATGACTTTACATTGTGCGTAAACTGTACCTGTTTGACATCTTGGAGTCTTTTTTGTCATTAGATCGAAATGATGAGGATACCTTTTCCGTAAGTGCCGCATGTAAGTCTTACAATAGAGGGTTTGCGTGGCCGCCATCTTGCTGCCCGTGCTTTTATTCCACAGGGTATGCACAAAGAACGTTTCCTGTGGAACGTAAAAACTGCCCTGCAAGATGGTATGTTTGCGGGCGCTTGATGGCATGTACCTGATCCCAGGCTGAAGGGGGGGGGGTTCTCATCTATTGATTCCACGTAGACGAAACAGCCTATTACATTTGGACCCCACTGTCTCTCTGCAAAGCTCAACGAGGGATACAAGCCAGACGAACAGTACTGTAATGTCAGACTTGCCATTTCTTCCTGGTTGGTCTTGTTCATAATGGAATCAGCTTCGAGACAATAACAACACGGGACAACTTTCTACCTGCTACCGTAGGGGAATTGCGGTGACCTGTTCCAAAGGAGAAGCATGAAACATCTACAACGACGTCAGCGCCTCATGTCTCGGCCGCCTGAAGGAACAAATTTAAACCCACTGCCCCAGACAAAGTTACACCACTGAAAGGGAACACTCTGCCCTGACTGAGTTGGTAGTTTAGAGAATACTTAGACTTTTGGAGTGGCAGACACGTTATTTGGAAGTGTTCGAGCTGTACATCAAGAGGGGATGAACGCGCAACAGAAGTGGGGATGAATGGATGTGCTGCAAACATTGATATCACCCCCTGTGACTGAGGGAACACATTATTGAAAAAAAAATCTCATAAAAACGAACTTGGAAAAAAGGCTCTTAAAAACGATTTGTTTCCAAAAACAGAAACGCTGTTTCTCAATATATATCCCATTAGAACGAATGAAACTAATTTGTGTTAATTTAAAATTAAGAATCAAAATAATTGGAAATCATGCCAAAAACGTAAACAAATTACCGTACACTGCTCACGACAAGAGCTTTGGACAGAAACCACCAGTTTTGCCCATTCTGCTACTAATTCTCAATTTCAGTTTCACAAAATACATTAGGAATGGGCCTAACCCTACCATGAAAATATTTTTCTAGTATTGCTACTTACGGAAAGTAAAAAAGAAGGTACATTTCATAAAATGAAACACCTCTCCCCATTAAATATGCAAATTACCCTGAAAATCTGACATGCTTAGTTCAACATTTCCGCGCTGAAACATACATGAACAGTCCCAGTTCGTCCTGAATATAGCGCCCTCTTTTCGATTTGCCGGCGCCTAAGGGGGGGGGACTACACAATGTAAATCTATGAGGCCAAGACTCACTCACAGTGTAAGCCCTGCCACATAAAGGGAATGCGTTCAACCGCGTCAAGTGGTGCGGACACGGGTGTTTTTTTTCCCCGTGTACCTTTATCTATTGTAAAACCGTATTCAAATTAGGACCTGCGCATAGGGCACTGGGCCCCGGCCCTTACTACGTATTCTATACGCCTGCAAGTTCTGTTGCTCTTTGGCTTGCCAGGGTGGTTCGGTCGCTTCTAGGCGGGGAGGGGGAGTTACTTTTTCCTAAATTCTTCTAAGCGCAGAAATTGTCGGCATGCATTTCGATCGTATCCTAGTGCATGTTGGTGCGTTCGGCAAGTTTCAGAAGGTCATTTGCGTTCTGCTGAGCCTTGTTGCTATACCGTGCGCTTGGCATTCCATCGCCCAGGTATTCCTGGCAGCAGAGACCGACCACTTGTGCGCCGTGCCGGCCGATCAATCCCTGAACTGCACCGGGCTGGACCTCGAGACTGCGGTGGAGTGTCTGAACCAACAGAAGGAGCTCACCATCCCGTTCACAGTGGACAAGGAAGGCCAGGTCGTGTACTCAAAGTGTGAGCGGTACGTGGAAGCTTGGGACGGGGAATTGGAAGGGAATGGCACCAATGGAACACTGCAGAGGGATGAGGCCAGCAATGAGACTATACCCTGCGATAGAGGATGGGAGTATGATCGCTCGCAGTATCATAGTACCATCATACAAGATGTAAGACACCTACTTAATTCACTAATCACATCGAGAGATTTGAAGTTTTACATGGTGAAGGTGGCAAGTTAAGTAACGGTTTGCGGAAGCACATGCAAAATATATCTCTGTTTTGAGTACATGATGGCATTGTGTACGGTTAAAAGAGATATAGGCCTATTTCGCGTGGTGCTGCCGCAAACTTGTTACTGAACTTACGGTATCACGTGGTTTAATGGTACGTTGTGTATACATCGAAATAGCTATGGGATATGAATGGTGAGCAGAACTGTGCTGCATGGGGTGGTGGAAACCACTGAAAATTATGCACAGATGCGTACCTCTGAAAATGCAGTTGGAACAACTGTCTGTAGGTCTGGAGTTGGACCATGCTTTCAGAAAAAGGCGGAAAGTGAAAGAAAAACTTGCTCAGCAAAACAGTATCATATTTTTGGAAGCATTTGTTTGTTCAAAACCTATTTTAAAAACACCGTCACACCCTGTTCTCAAACTAAGCCTTGATAAGTGATTTAATCACAAACTCGAACACAGTTTAGTCCTTACTGCATGGGTGGAGAATTTACCCTCAATGGGTGAGAGACGACCGAAAAATGTCTTTTTTCAGGATGCTGGAATGCAACTTGTCCTCAGCTAAAGCAGTTATATACCGATTTTGAAAAAACACTGTACAAATTCATGTGCAGTTCGCAATGTCTATTTTGCCCCTTTGTTACGCCTTTGAAGTGAATGGACAAAAGCTTTACCCGCTCGCTCCGGTCTTGCCAAGGTGACAAAAGCAGGCCACCTCTGTCCTGAGTCCCCAATACATGTACTTCGAAGTCGTGCAAAATCATTTCAGCGATGTCACCGGATGGGTTGTGAAGCAAGACATCGATGACACAGGGTGCGGTATATTTAGGCCTATGTCAACAAACAGCATAGCCCTGACAGTCCAAAATCTTCCGATTTCACTATGATTTTACATACATTCATTAGGGTTAATGGATGAAATGAGAATTTAATTATCTGTGAGCTCCATGTATGGTTTGCATGATGTTTGCGACCTGTCCTGGTCTCTGCTAACATTTCAGTCTATATCTGACGAATTTCTTTGGCTTCACCTTAAAACAAGTAAAGGAAACCCGTGGGGGGGGGGTCGACTCCCTCAACCCCTTTCAAGCCCCCTCCCCCGAAGTTGGGTGCACCACTGAGTATACAGGTTAAACAAGTCCAGTAACCTTAAAACGTGGTATTCTTCTTCAACCCTGCGCCTTCACAGTAGAAAAAAAAAATAATTATATTCCTCCGATTGAAAGACGTTTCTGTGCTCACAGTATACCTTACAGCCAGAAAATATTGATAGTCTACACACTGTTGGAGGGCACACTCTGATTGAACCTCTTTTTGTTGTCGTCATGCCTGAAAAACGCTTAATTCTTTGCGTGTAATTGGTCCCAAAAGTCTGGTCAGCTGGAGTTGGGGGGGGAGCACTGGCTAGTTACATCTCTCAATCAAAACCCCACTGAATGAAACCAATGCTGTAGCTAGGGAGTGGTATCCATATCGAAGTTATCAACAAAGTTCATGTTTCACTGGTAACCCCCGAAAGACACCCCCACCACCACCACCATCGCAGAGCATTGTGGGAACAGTCGAATTTCCATCCCTCTAAGTCTCATCTATGGATTTTCCCCTCGATAAGGTCATGAGATTGATTCATTTCAAAGGGCCAATCATGTGTGGTAAGTGCACCAGTTTGTCACAGTAAAGCCCATTTTTGATTTCCACGTTGATATTTTGTTACTCTTCAGAGCTTTTTGTTGCCTTTAGTGTTACCATGCTATGGAGCTTTGCATGTCCATTAGCAGAAGTGTGGTGTCATTCGGGGCAGAAACCTTAGTGTTGCAGTTAGTTCGGCCAGTAAGTTTGGATATTTTGCTGTGAGAGTGGGCCAGTAAGCAGAGTTCTCTCCAGACTTACCAGTAAACACATTTTTGGTTCGCTGTGTGAACAGAAAAACGCCCTTTCGGAACTTTGCATGCCTCAAAGACATCACAGCAACAGCGCTCTCATTGTGCACGGAAACGTGTGTGAAAGTTTACACGCTTTAAACACTTTTGTTAGGCGAGCCAAAAAAGAGATATTTACATTTAGAGACTGTAGAAAGTTGCACAACGCGTTCATAAGTACAACTCATGTCATCGACACTTCATATCGGCACGTTCATATTAATTATACCCCAGGGAATCGGGGGACCAGGTATGTGCTTCACTTCAGCATTCAATCTTTTACTGCGTTCATGGATACCAGTTGTAGATAACAGTATAATACTGAGTCAGCATGAAAGTATTTATCTTGCGTGGGTTACCTTTCGAACAATAAAGAAACTGTAGACAACGGGGAAGAAACCTTAAACCGTTCATTGGTGAACTTTTTTTTTGGATTCCCAAGTAATTTGTATTTTTCGGTTTTTCGCAGTTTGATCTGGTGTGCTCTAGAAAGGACCTACCAGGGCTGTCCCAGTCGGTATTCTTTGCCGGGTTGCTCACTGGGTCGTTCATCTGGGGTGCTGTTGCGGATTGGTAATGAACCACATCGTCTCACTTGTCACTCGCTGAAGTGTTTTATCAAGGCGCCCGCAATTGCTGTTTACATTGTACTGAATTATGAAAAGACTGATAGGCCAAGCTCCACCCACTAGACGGCTGCCTATGACCACACCACACATGCTCCAGACGCCTGGCATTCGGTTGCCCATGGAGTGTTGCGATTGGTCAAAACAGCATGAGGCAGGGCTGCAGGAATCGGTTTGTAAGGAAAAGGAGCGTTGTTTTTTTCAAGGAAATACCAAGGAAGAAAAATAGGTAGAGCATGAGGTTTTCATATTTCCCGAAGTTTCATATAAATATTATGGCAAAATGTGATACCAAAATAGCACAAAGAAAAATGGACAACAATCGACTTTTTTACCTTTCTGCGCATCTTGAAATACTGTCATGAACCAGGAGTTTACTCTATCTAATCAAGAACATACTCATGCACGGGTCGTATAGGTCTGCGTTCTTTTGCTCGCGAGAATACTGGGGTTAACATTAGTAACACTCTCGAACACAGCCCAATTTCTCATCACTCTGGGAGGTGCAACAAAGTTCCAAACTGGTCAAAAGAAACGTTCACCCCCCCATTGTTTCAATCGCCGCTTTTGGTATCCAACAAAAGCCAATTAGCTCCAACCTTCCGAGAAAGTTTAATCGAATCCGTCATTTGTTGTGGGTCTGTAATTCGTTATTACTGAATCATAATTTGATGGTATTGACTAAGGACGCCTGAGTTGCGTGCATGGGTTTTGAATCCGTAATAATGGATTCCATTATCTTTGTCTGTGGCGCAAATGGGCTTTCGTAGTTTCTATCCAAAGGCCCAGGCTATCATGTGACAACCGGGTGGGGAATGTGAGGACTTTATGGAGTCGAAAGTCAGAGGGAGAGGTCATTGCGAATATGAATTCGCAAAACATTCGTGGCGAGGTTCGCCAAAGCTGGAAAGTGTCCAGCTGTTTGCAGCACTGAGTTTAGCATTCAGGTCATGAGCCTACTTGCCGATCATAATCTCATTAGGTTTTAATTTCTCTTTCTTTGTCTTGTCCATATTGTCAGGTGCGGTCGCAAGCTGACGATTTTTATCAGCCTTTCTCTGGCCTCAGTCATTTGCACTGCCAACAGTTTTGTTCCCACTTTTGCAGCTTACACCGCTCTTCGTTTTTTCATCGCCGGGCTCAATTTTGGTGTCTATTTGATCTCTTTTGTCTTAGGTAATTTTTTTGTTCTTTTTGCCTGATAGTGAGAGATTTTGCCCCCTAGAGTGTACATAAATATGCATGACAATGAACAGTGTTTCAAGCAATCGTTTGTATTATGGCCGAATATAGCGACGGGGGCCGCATGCGGATTTGGATCCCCCCCCCACACACACCCAAGTGTGTAATTTGCCTGCAAATGGGGACCCCCTATTTTTCCTCTTTTGTTTGTACTTTTAATTTTTCAGAAGACCACCCATATGTTTTGTACACAGTTGTCAATCGGGGACCCTCTGTCAATCGGGGACCTTATTGTCCTCTATTATTAAGGGTCCCCAATTGAATGCAGAAACAAATTCACACACACACGACAAGAAAGGAGAAAAATGAAGAGGTAGAATGGAAGAAAAGACCAGGAACCAGCAGGCCACATACTTAAATACAAATAGTGACAAGAATTTAGCGGTGAAATAGAATTGTTTTCGCAAGAGGGCTTAGACCCACCCCACCGCGTTTCATATGTTCGGTGTTTCGGTAAACATTCTCCAGTGTTATTGCCTCTCAAGCCTCCATTGAAAAGTGGCTCCTTACTTTACTCTTGACACACGCGCGAACATGACTCGATTTCACCTGTCCACACTTCACAACTCGGATTCTCAAACCATTCCTCACTCCATCTCAGTTCAACGTGAACTGTTTTTGTGATTATGTGTTTCTTTTTTATCAGTGTCGGAGATTGTCGGCCCTACGTATCGATCCATGGTGGGTACGTTGATTGCCGTCTTCTTCTCTATAGGCTACGCTCTTCTGGCCGTCATTGCATATCAACTGCGGCAGTGGCGCCAACTGCACTTGGCTATCTCTTTGCCATGGTTCCTGTTTTTCCTCATCCTCCTGTAAGTAGACTCGAACACTAGCAGTAGGCCTACTCCATCTGGCCAGATCAGAGCCGTGGGCCAGATTGCTCGCCGAATCCGGCGCTTAACCAGGCTTTTGCTTGCCCGTTACGAAATTACATGTCCGTGGCCTTATGGTTCAGTAACGATGACGAGAATAGTGTGACAGCAGCCAATTGGGAATGTTGGCCGTAGTTTTGCCACCTCAACTTTGCATTTATGATCTAATTTCCCTGTTCCATTTTTCATTTATTCCTATTTTTGATGATCGGATTTGGCTTTCATCTGTGTGTCCCGATTTTGCCTTTAAAGTCTCCATTGCGTTACATTCTACCATTTCTAATACCGCTCCATTATACTCATGATATAGAACTGGAGAATTTAAGTAGACTAGTTTCAGTCCGAGGTAGAAATTCACAATTTTGTGACTGATCCAAAGTAGTTTAACCTGCTAATTTATGTACAATTCTGACAAAAACGTTCATTAATACCTAGTTAATGTCAATGAGATAAAAATGGCTTTCGTGTCTTTTTGAATTAAATTAAAATCAATCAGCCAAACTTTGAAGAAGTAAATTTGCTCTTCTGATATTCCTCCCTGCGTTTTTTGTTTGATTTCTATTCAAAGATTGCAACCAATATCTGAGCCCTGTCGCTTGTCCAGGGTGCTGTGCCCCACACCCCAAAGAAGATGCACGTTCTTAATATCACGAGACAACCATTTCTGGGGACTACTGTATATCTCCCTTCCTTCTCAAAGCTTGACAAAATCCAAGTAATCCGCCTTGGTTTTGTCTGATTCCTAAGCGCAGAAATGGTCTTTTTGCAGAGTTATTCCCGAGTCTCCAAGATGGCTGGTGACCAAAAAGAAATACAAGGAAGCGGAGAAGATCATCAAACGAGTTGCTCACTTTAACGGCAAGAGTGTGCCAGAAAATCTGTTCGACGATGGAGAGGAAGAAACGCTCCAAGTGAAAGTATGTAACTAGATTGGACTTTTCATTCCCGAAACAAGAACTAGGGTACATTTAGGGTGGTTGTAGGGTGTGACGTCAAGGGCTGTAATTTTTGTGCCAGAAAAAGTACCTTTGCTCGATAATTGCGTCTTTAAAAAGTCTTGTAAGGACGATAGGAGTTTCTCGTTGCTGCGTCACTGTAGCTGCTGCTGGAATTGAGTGTTTTTTTTCTTCAAGATTTGGAAATTTAGGGGCACATCCCAGGTTAGTATTTCTACGTGTACATTCTAGGGCAACCTTTTCATGCTCAAAGCAGCGCGTGAAAACATCCAAGCTACATTTTAAAGCCTGTCTCCTCAGGTGAAGTCTTCTTGTTGGTGTATTTTCTTCTTCGTTGGTGATTACAGACGGTGCTACCCCGCCAAGCTACCCAGATTGACCTCTTCCGAACCCCGAACATGAGAAGGAAGACCCTCAACATTTTCTTCAACTGGTGAGAACTGATTTTCCATATTAATCAGGTCAATGTGGGTCGGAATACCACTTGTTTGGCAGTGGTTTTCGCATGCTGTGACTCAAGGGTAGTCGAACACAAATGAATATATTCTGAAATGCACCCCAATGTCCCTTAATATGATACTTATCTTTGCAACGTTCAAGGTCAGTGCATGAGTTGAGTTTAGAAGGCTCATGCATGGGGGCAGGTGCTTCAACAAATTGACAGCCAGATAAGACTTGAAGCTATGCACGGTGGAAGTTCTAAATTAGGTTAGGCCTGCGGTTGCACCATGTACATGTAGAAGGGAAATATCTCTTTTATGAGTGCGTGGTTCAGTGAGAAGAACCTAACACTCGACGTTCTGAACAGTAGGCCTACGCCCTGTTCGTCTTCAGGAGGGTGACTGGTTGCCTGGCTCTGAGGATGCTGGTTTTAAGCACTGGAGAGGATTTTGACTGCCCTCTTTTCTCCAAAGAACCGCCGTATTCCATCAAATAACCAAGACAATCTCCGTTTACTAACAGTCCCCAATGCAAGATGTTATGGCTTCGCCACCACAGGACGCATTCTCATAGGCACCTATTTGCACCGAATACTGAACCTTAACATGAAATACCAATCGTCACCAGCCTTTGAGTCCTATTCTTTTCCTTGTCTGTCCTCTGATTTATAACTAAGAGAATGCAAAATAAAAGTTACAAAATGTTTGCCCCGAGCGGGATGGGGCACTTCCCAGGAAAAAAAATTATAAATTAATTAGAGGTTCTGTGTCTGTTTGCAACAGAACATAGGGCTTTTCCGCATTATTTAAGTTTGAGAAATATGCAATTGGTGTACATGCACGCTTGGTGGTGAATAGGTAGACGAAATCGATGAGATATGCGGAAAAATATCTGTAAAATTCACATGGCATAATCATGGCGTGCTACAGAGTTTCACTTATTATACACTCCAGTCTACCCACACATGAATTGGAATGGGATCTACAGTTTTCTGTATACAACCATAAATATTCACCTTTAAGATGACACTTTTAAAATGACGCCTTCAAAGTGTGCCAAATGCCCATGTAACTCATAAGCAGGACGTGACCCTTAATTACAGACCTCATTGTTCCTACATTGTATACCAAGTTTAGACCTTATCGGTCTCAAAATTCTTTGGTCATAGGACATTTAAAAGTATGCGCCTTTGAGATGATGTCTCATGACCCCTGGTGACCTTATCGTAACGTGACTGAAATTACGATCCCCGGTTATATGCGTACACAAATTGAATACAATCAGCCTCGGAGGTCTCTGATATAAAGAAATTGTATCCCTTTCAGATGATGTCATATGACGTCATAACGTAACCTTACTAATTACGTGAAATACATCCGTCAACAAACATATAAAAATAAATCAAATAGGACGCAAACGTTTTGCAGCCATTGAACATTAAAAGTATCACCTCTAAGATTACGCCACTTGACCTGTGATGACGTCATCGTGACATCATCCAGATTCCATTTATTACACATGCTTCCTTGAGAATGCTGAGCTTCATCCGAGTTGTACATTTGACTCTGGAGATTCTGGCCTGCAAAGAATACAGCTTTAGAGGTATGTCACGTGAGTTTGGCTGTTGTCGTGGGCCGTGAAAATGACAAGAGTCGCACTTCGAATGCCAGTCTGTTTTTATAAACATTCAAAATTTAATAATCCATGACCCAGTGAAGTCATCGTGATATCACTTCACAATTACCTGGAGCGGATGTTCTATCAACCAAATGAATTTTATGGAGACTGGTTCATGTTTGAAAAATTTTCTTTGCTCAGAATATGCTCGAAAAAAATGTTTAAAATGTGACAGGTGATGTCATCGTGACGTCAACCAAAATTCTATATAAAACAACGCTCGTTTCGTGTATTCGAAGGTTAATGTCAGATTTATTGTTCTTGAGACATTGGCCTGTTAGGGATTCAACTTTGCAGGCAAGTCACAAGTGGCGTAAATCTGGCGTAAATCTGAGATTTGTCAAAGATGTTGCTCAAATGAGAACAGTTGCCTTTAGAAAACTATTTGCTCCCCTCCCTACAAAAAGCTTGATATGGCACTAAATGCCAGGCTAATCGAGGGAGGCTAGGGGTTACAATTCCCCCTTCAACAGTGGTTAACATGTACATTAATTTGTGGCTCCTGAATTGAGCTAATGGTTCCTAAATAATCATAAGCTGAAGTTGCAAGATGGGGAAAAGATTATGCATTCGAAAATTAACTGAGTGCCATACCATATCACACCCCCTTCGTTCTCTGTTGGCAAGCCTGTGGATGAGACTGCTGACACTTTGCGTTTCAAGTAATCGCCCCCGTTTACAGTTCATGCGTCAGCAATTTCTCTTTATAACAAAGAAAAACAAGAGGCAGTGGAAAAAACACCCCCATGCAGCAAATAGAATCCAGATGGTGCACAGGGCCAATCTGGAAACAAAATATCTATTGTCACTCATCTGACACACACTGATACGCTAAAGATCATAGTGCAATTCAAATGAATCGTAATTTTATTGGCATTACCCACATTAATTCCTGTCTGGAAAAAGTGGCAGATGTACTCAACATAAAATGTACATTTCAGTCACTTTCAAAATCACGGGATAAGACCATTAAAGATCTTAAGCCTTTACACAAATAACTAAAAGACTAAGGTCTTTCACATAAACATGATCAGGTTTACATAGAAGTGAAGAGGGGCATTTAAGGAAAACATGCCTGTAAGTTTTTTTTCCAAAGAGAGTGCTCTGCATTGAGCTCTTTCTTCTATGAATAGAAATCTGTGCACAAGGGGTAGTCCCTTCTGAGCTCTTGGAAAGGAGGGTAAGTGCAATTCACATGATGGAGCTTTCCGTTAACAAACATAACACTGCGTTTCCTTAATTACCATTATTTTGGAATTTAACTTCAACATTCGACCAAGGTGAATAGATATACCAACTTTCTGAAGATATGCCGTGATACCTGAAATTCGAAGGTGGATGCAGTATTTTTTGCTTCAGGTTGCTTTCATGCCCACGCCGAACAAGACTAAGTTCGATTGCAGCTTTAACAAATTGAATATGTCAATTCTTCATTCTGCCTTAGAGGTATAAGCATCATACAGTTACTTTAAAACACCTGTACTTGCCAAACAGGAAGGCATGCTCATGAAGTCATGGTAATTTTCGTTGGGGTAAAGGTTTCTTTACATTTAATTCTTGCAAAGACATTTGTTTAGAGCATAACCTACTGTGGCTTCCCTGAATCAAGTTTCATTTCAGAGTTCAATATTTCTTGCAGCTGTATTTGTTTTTGCCGATACAGTGTGCACAGTGTGTATGATTATGTCCAAAGGAAACAAGAGCCACTGCACTTTTTCCTTTTTAAACATTGCCACTTATGATCAGCATCTTTCAAATGAGATCATCTCTGCTGGGCTGGAGCGTAAACAAGAGGAGGGTCCATCATCTAAAACCTCCCACTGGCTGCGAACATATGCACCAGCTGAAAAATAGAAATGAATACCGTGTTGTCAAAACATGTACTTGTGGTCTACACTTCAAGCAAGCAAAACATCTGCGTAGCCTACGCAAGGTATTGCAAACATAATTTTGGGGAAAAAATTGTTTTGTTCAGAAAATACGTCGAGAGGAAGGTTAGATATAAATCAGTCAGAAATCGGTTGATTATGTTATCATGACGTCATCCCAGTTGTCATCTATAACACATCTTGTTTTGTACCTGTATGAAGATTTACCCTGATGGGACGTATGGTTCTGGAGATATAGGCTTTCTTGTCACGTGACAAATGATGACGTCATCATGACAGATATCTTCTAGGACCATCCTTGGGTGATGGTCTGCTTATGTGTCAAGTTTGAAGTCAATCAGACTTAGCAAAGTGCCAAAATTGGTGCAAGTAAAAATCGCGAAATATTGGTTATTGTGAAAAATGGGGGAGGGGGGTTGCCTTAATGCTCATTTTTTTCAAAGTATGGTGACCTAGACCATGTCTCTCTACATCTTACCAATACCAAATTTGTATTTTGAGAGGGGTTCTGGTGCTGAAAAATACATTTTTCTGACGTGGGTCATGTTTGGCCCGGTGGAAATTACCCCAACCCCAAATCTGGTACCAGGTGCAGGCTGACCTATGACCTTATTCACGGGGAAGCCATTTTGTATCTTGTTCCCCGAGTCCACCATGGTGTAATCCGTTAAATGGGGTTGGTGCTAGACTATTTGGGGGTTCAAAGCCTCCCCCTCACTTTTTAAAGGTGGCTTAAACAGTTAGGTATAATTAATCACAAATTTTAAATTATTCTGGAAAAAATGGCCTGAGTATATTTGAACCTTTATTTCGTTGTTATTATTTTACTCTCAAGCTCCCGATATAAGAGGTTTTACCAAACTTTCAATTTACAAAGGCTGATACATAGATACATTCAATTGGGTGCTATTGGATTCAATAGAAAATTGACTCAGTGGTCATGATAGACAGAACAGTGACAACTAACGCACAAGTTACAAAGGAATTCCTGACTTAATAGAAAAAGTGTTTCACGAAAGGCCACAAAATATGTCTTCCATCGTTATTTACGTTGTATTCAACAGATGGCTCATTTCAACTAACATTTTTTCATATTGAAATTATGAACAAAATATTATGGAAGTGCATGTACCGGAACCAAGAGGAGACATTTAGCAGGTGGGTATTACCCATGCAACAGGTACATGTAAATGATGGAATGCTTGCTGCCCATGCGTGTCTAGTTGTAAATGTACAGTATGTACATGTACATACATGTACATGCATATGTGGTCATGCAGAACACGTGGAAGTCAAAAACAGATGTTTTGTGGCATAGGAGAGAATAGTATTTCCAAACAACGGGATAGGTGATACGGCACACGGACAGGGTATTTTTTGTGTGAAGTCTTCATTTTGCCCTCTTTGGCAGTAACTGTAATTAGAAGTGTATACGTGTATCTGTACTTATTTGTGTCTGCGTTAACGGTCCGACTGTTATTCTCCATACCGTTTCTTCCTGCAGGGCCAATTTCATAGAGCTTCTTCAAAACTTCTTGTGATGTAGCCTATGTTGTTTTGGAATGGTTATTACTTGTCTTGTGGTTAGCATGACAGTCACATAGAGTTGTGGTAACTTTTGTTTATGAAGCCAAGTTTTGTCGTGCTTAATTTAAGCAAATTCTGTGCTTAAGCAGCTGCAGCAAGATTTACAACCCTGAGCATATACGCGGCCCAACTTATCTTGGGGTGGGGGAGTTCAGACGAGTCTCGGTGGAATCATGTCATGTGACAATTATTCTCGCTGTTGGTGGCAAAGCGCCAAGCATCCGATGCCTATCCGACTAAAAAACAGCCGATCCAGTTCGTGTTCCATGATTCGGTGAATGTGCTATAGCTAACAAATAGCCGGTTGATGATTAATCGATTTGAACAAAAAAATACACGTACATTTTATACTCCAGAGCCATAGAACCTAACCTACTCTACTACAACACTCAGTCACTGAATTTTAGGGTACTTTTGACGAGATACTGTTTGGCAGGTTTTATTTGATTAGCCACAAAAACAAAAACCGCAATCTTAACTAGTGCGCGTACACCGTCAACTTTCAGTGTTCATCAAGTAAATGGCGGCCGCCATGGTACTGTGTAAGTCGCCTCTCGTTACTACCAAATCCGTAAGCCACAGAGAAAATGTTCGTTGTAGCCGAAATTCGGTGTTTGTGGAGCTCCATGCAGTGACTTCCGTGGATTTTATGAATAGGTCCTATTGTGTAAAAAATTATGTATTATATATGCACTGTGTATGCACACAAGTGAACGCAGGTAGTTCCAAAGAGATCTCTCGGTTAGGATTTATCAATGTACACTGTGACGTGTTCAGAATAATAAACTTCATTGTTATATGAAAACATATTCAATGTACATGTACATATGAGACAAGGAAATAAAAGCATCAATTCAAGGACAGTATATTTAGTCTGCTAAATTTTAGGCCAAGGAGGAATTCTGGCGTGGATTAAGAGAGGTTTAGTTTTCATCAGTGAAAGTCGTCCATAAAATGGATAGTATAAACGGAACAGGAAATGGAACACTATAAAGAACACCTATCATACAGGGGATCCCTGTCGGGATTTTCTTACTTTTGAGAAGAGTTTCAAGAGTGGAATACAAAATACATACTGTATAGAACTAAATGTGCAAAGCGAATCACGACAAACCTTATTATGGTGGTGTATACCGCTTAAATTGTCGGCCTACCTCTTATTAGTAAATATTGTCACATGTTTCTGAACGTTTTGAGATGAACATAATACTAGCTAGTAACAGGTTTTGCCTCGGAATGCACACAGAGGGAAGGATTTTCATTTAGTGTTTGGTATTGCAAATAATAATTTGGAGGATAGCTGGTGAGATGTTAACATTGCGTGAATGATTCTTTTGCTCAAGTTATGTGCCAATGGAAAGCTACAGTTTGCCTACCATTTGTACATTTGCAGGCAAAAACTGCGCCCCTGATGTATAGCAAGAACTTTCTCTTGCTTCATAAGTGTGCAGTTTTTGCCTGAAACTGTACGCCAACGACATCATAACAGCGACATCATAAGTTCCATGCCAATCAATTGTAGGTTTGTGAACAGCCTGGTGTACTACGGCCTCTCTCTGAGCACCTCCGGCCTTGGCGTGGACGACTATGTAGCTGCCTTCGTGTCGGGCGCTGTCGAGATGCCGGGCTACTTGTCGAGCTGGCTGGCTATTCAGAAGCTCGGCCGACGCCTTTCACTCTTCCTGTACCTATGCGTAGGTGGCTTGGCTTGTCTTACCACCATCTTCATCGGTGAGTTGAACTTTCAGCCGTAATTAAGCGACTGAAAAATAGGAAGGTTTCATTTTGTGCGGGTTGTTTTTTTTCGTTATAACTTTATCAAAACCTGCCTAATTTAATCCCCGTTATGCATGCATTTTGACAAACTACACGACTAATTCTCCCTACACGTAATCTTGCATTGACAAAAATAACTAAGATTATTGAAAAACTTCATCGTTTCCGCTCGGAGCTGCTTAATAGTGATTTGCTTTTTATTCAAGGATGTGTTCAATACATAAGGCTCAACATGCCCATGCAATCTTAATAAATGTAGTCTCCATTTTTAATACCGGTAACGAACACAACTTTCTGGTGGAGTTTTTCTGTAGAATCTGTCAACATATATCGCCATCATGCATTGGATGGTTTCAAGTTTTAACAAACGTGAGGCTTATTTTTCCCTCTAGGCCATCCAGGAGTTCCCCTGGGCTGATACTAAATAACTGTGACATTGATATGCAGGGTATATATCATTGTTTTTGACATGCAGCGCCAGGTGTTGCGAGAGCTACGGTGGCTATGATTGGGAAATTTGCCATCTCTGGGTCCTTCAATATCATCTATATATACTCCGCTGAGCTGTACCCGACACCCGTTAGGTGGGTCAATTGGCAGTAGAATACAATGGGCCGGGGGGTTGTCAAGGCACTGCGGCAGTCTTCCCCGTTACATGTTTAGTTTTGTCTGGGTTTGTTCGGGAAACGAAAGGAACTCTACTTGTTGGCGTCAGTGTGTTGCTCCCGACAAGAAAGCAAAGGGGTTGATCCTACCGAATCTCACAGGGCTTTGTAACTTTGACGACTTTCTCGGGAGGCTTTTCGGGAGAATAAATGTCAAGTGTACAGGTTAAAACCCTTGAAAAGAGACAGCAGATATGAACCCGTAAATCATTGAAATATAAGTTTTTGCTCGTTCGTGTTTAAAGAGCTCAAATGACAGTCCTGTCTTCAAATTCCAAAAATGTAAACTATAAAACAGTTGCAAACTGGTGAATGACTGCATTGATCAGAAATGCATTTATATGACAGGTTAGACGGCCCGACGTTGACTCGGTTCTAGAGGATAATCTTTCTCAAATGCTACAGAGGGCCTTCATGAAAGATCCCGCAAGGATCGAAACATCAGGCTCCTCAGCATTTCAGATTGAAGTTCAAGTTTCTTTAATGAAGCTCCTGTGTTGTGTACCCGCGCGTATTTCTCTTGCAGGAGCATGGGCGTTGGAATGTCGTCCATGTCAGCCCGGCTCAGCGGCGTGATAGCCCCTGTTATTCTCATCCTGGGCAACTACTGGGAGCCTATCCCGCTGATCGTCTTTGGGGGATGCTCTCTGCTGGCCGGTGCTCTGGCACTTCTGCTCCCGGAGACCCTGAATCATGCCCTGCCAGAAACCATTCAAGAAGGGGAGGAGTTTGGTAGTAAGTAGCCACTACATCGCCAGTCTATATCGGTACTTGTTTCGCGCCATAAAACAAACAAAATATAGTGAGACATGGGGTGAAACAGGCTTCCAGGGCTACGGCCATCAGGTCTATCATCTAGCTGCGTATTTCCAATGGAGTGAAGACCTAGGCCCGTGTCAGAAAGTGTATTGAAATGATTGGTTTAAAAAGAGATAATGTTTTACTTGAAGGAAATTGGGTGTTTCCTATGTTGAAAATTTCTACTGTAAACAAATAGCTTTTAAAAGTTATAGTTAACGAAGTTATGGGTAGCTAGAAGTGATTCTGTTTTTAGCCTTCCTTGTTGCCAATATCTGAGTATTCCTTGACCAATTTCGTGTCAACCTGTGAGACTACTGTTCCACGATTATAGGCCTACTCAAAGGCTCTTCTTCCTTTCTTTTGTAACCAGAGGGCCAAGGTTTCGGTCTTAGGACTTTGTTCAAGACACAGCATGGGCGCCCCGCTGACGGGGAAAACGCTCCAGGAGACCCATACAAACGCATCCCTACCGACAAGACGGAAACCCCCTGCGAGACATCGCCCATGTAGAGGGCTTATCTGGATGAAAAAAGGAATGCTCTGGTCACAATCATCTCACAGCGGTGCTTCTGTTTACTATTTTTATGTTTTGTAACTCTATCTGCTTGGTTAAATCACAGCGATCAAAATGGGGTAACAGGAAAATCTCCAAATTGCCACGTTTGCAACGACCAGACAATACACTGGTAGATTACCAGTGGAGTAAATTTGTACCGGAAATTTGGGGATGGGGGAGGGTTTATTGTTGGGGGGGATAACGTGCCTAGATATGGAAATTTGAAAGGGGGGGGGCTAACCCCATGATTCGAAATGGGGGGGAGGGGCGATGTTCCGGTTCCTGGTACAGATGTACATCTGTACTACGTATTACATCCATGCAGAATCTTACACCAGAACGGTGTATTTTGTAGCTTTTTACTGTTCTCCTTTTTAAGTGATATTAAATACATTTTGGTTGCTAGGAAGTCCGAACAATTCTTCACAACCCGCCTTAATTTTAACTTCATACCACGAAAACAATGGGGGATGATTATGTTAAAGTAAAACCAATGTCTGCGGTGTATTTATGCAGGGATCTGATCTGACTAATCTAACGATTCTGAGATCACGAGGTACCCAGCATTACAGATTTTTTGGTAGTCCGTCTGTACGGGATTCCTCCTGACTGCCAAAAGCTGTCGAACTTGGTATTGCCAACATTCTTAAATCATCGTTGATGTTCTGGATTGGTCCTTTATATAACAATACCCGTCATGACTTTGCTTTTTTTTCTCAGTTTCTTTTCATCAACTCGGTTCTCGAGTGACAGAATTCAAAGAAGTAGTATCAAACACGCCCGGTGTATTTCAAGCCGACGTGAAACCTTGCCTCGGACAAATGCACGCGGGTTAATAAAGGGAAACGAAAGTAACCCAAAATGACTGTGTTTTTCGAAAATACTATGGCGCGCGTAAGTGACATTTATTCATATTAAAAGCGGTAGTTCTTGTTTTATATTTCAAGATATTTATAATTTTCAAGATATCTCTTATTTCCCAAAATATCTCTAATTTTTAAAGATATCTTTAAAACATGTTGACGTTTTAAACCCTTAAGTGCCGATTTCTAGACATCTCGCACTTCATTTCTATCTCGAAACGATTACGACGTATTTTAAAATCGATTTCGAAATATTTCAAAATTTATTCCAAGATTTCTGAAATAAATAAATAAATAAATAAAAGATACTGCTTTAACTTGAATAAATCACACTGATTGCACGTCAAAATACACCATGCAAATTATCTCATTTGGGGGGGTTAGCTCAGAAAGGACTTTGCTTGGGAAAGTTTTGAGGTTTTAGAGTATTTTTCATCTGTAGTCATCTGTTTTTGTACCTGTAGTTTTGTGTAGAATGTTTATCTTTTTCTGATGTTTAATTCATTTACGGTGGAAATGAACAATTCTTTGTTACTGTAGACGAATCATAATAATATGATCCTTCTCACAGGATTTGCTTTATTCAGACCATAATTTTAAAACCATCTTTTATCAAAGCATCTGTACAGTCTTGTATTTTTAGATTTTGGTCACAGACCTGTCCTGAAGGTCATTACCACATTTTAAGGAGAAGGGATTGCTTATTATCAGGTATAATATCATCATATATCTTTGTCGGCTTTAACACGCATTTTTAGTTGTCTTATCTGTCTTCATTATTGTTTGATAATTTTTGTTGATTAACTGCAAGGCGTAAGACTCTACGAAATCCCGCCTTATGTTTAGATAAAATTGCTGCAATACAAAATTTTTGGGGACCAAAATCCGGTTGACCATAATGTAGATTTATTATGTAGTTTGGGTGAGATGTTCGTGAGATGAATTCTCAGAAAGTTTAGATAACGGGGTGATTTCTTTTCAGTTCTACTTCTTGGGAGGGTTATGGTGTCTATCCTATTAAACGTGTCTTTAATGCACAATATTTTGTGTAATTAATGTTTATGATTTTAAAAATTACCGAAATGGGTCACTTGGGAGACATTCCCATAGGAACGTGCACAAAATTTTTCCAACTTTACCGTCCCATAATTCAATATTCCCTAATCAGATCTTAACCAAACTTTGTATGTTCTCCTTTCAGACTCTAATGTATCATCTTTCAAAATGTGGATGATAAAAATTTTCCTCCTTTTGGTAGTTGGAGCCTAATGTTGGAGCCCGATGTCTCCTAATGTTGAAAAATTTACCACAAAATGTCTCCCAAGTGACCTATTTGGAAATATAATTTTAATGGTGTAGTGACACGCACCTGAACATAAAACAAATGGAATGCCCGCAACATACAAGGAACATTTGTTATTATTGATGACGCACAACGACATAAGAGATCTTATCATTATTATCATTGGAACAACTCAGTCAAACTGCGTTTCGCATCCTCAAATCTCGAGCTCTTCCGTAGAATTCCTGCAGTACCAATCAGCCTTCTGCAACATTTTTACCTTCACAGTCGTGCTGATCTCGTTGAGATGTTTCTCCGGGGATCTGGGGATGGTACTCAGTGCCCCAACAACAACCGGCATGGCCTTCACCTTGACTTTCTACAACTTCAACAGCTCTCCCGCCAAATTCTGGCACTCTAGGACCTTCTTTTTCTCCTTTGCAGCCTTTGTATCACCAGGAACAGCCACGCCTATAATGTAACCTTAAACAGTGCTTCCTCATCTAGAACAACATCATCTGGCAGGCTGTGTTTCTCACAGTCAGTCTGAATGTTGAAGTCCCAGAGAACCTTTACTTCCTCAGCTTCCAGAACCTTTGCCGGAACGTGCTCCCACCTCTTGACCTTGACCTCGATCCCTCATTTCCAACACACATCCCAAGGGATCACCCTGGCTAACTTGTTAAGCCTTCCCCTTGTATTCAATCCGGAGCATCGTTCTGCATTCGCAAATCAAATGGAACACGGTCTCTTTCTCCCCACACACCCAGCCCGTGGGAGATTCCTTGGCTCTCTCTCTCCCTTCATCTTCATCACGTTCATCCGCAGTGCCTGATCCTGTGCAGCAGTATCAAACGGCTCCATGTCCCCCAGGTCTTGTACCCTGCCGGTCCTTCCGTGTCACTCAGAAATTTCCCATACAGTGGTTTTCCTTCCCAATCTCTAAGCCTTTCCTCCTTAGTTTCCCTCTTATACGCACTGCGTCCAACTTCCTTTCTGACGGCGTATTTCTTAGTCATCGATCCTCAGCAATCCATCATGCGCCTGAGAAACATACCCATGAAGACCTCTTTTCTGCATGGTTACACAGTCCGTCACGCTCATCAGTCGCCGTCCTCCGGTCTTCAGCAAGTACAGCCTGCTGGCATTTGCATCATCATCAGTTTCTTTGTCTTCCGATCAACAGACTCGACAGTCGACAGTCCATACATTATGATAGTATCGATTCACTCCATTGTATTGATCTGTCTCGGTCGCCTTAATAGATCTATAAGCAAACCACTATTGAAAGTTTTGACAGTTTGAAACTAGAGAGGAAATTTTAACTGACATCGCACCACGGAAACGCAGACGTCAGTGAATTTGCGGTACCTCTCGGTAAGCCTGGAATTGCCATGACTGTTGAGAAAACAACCGCACGGTCGCCTTGCTCGACGATCGATCAAAGGGTCAACTTGGCTGCGTGTCCACTTTAAAAATTTGGTTTTTGATCGATAAAACACATTCGAAATCTTGCTCACGTTGTTCACTTGAAATTGAACCCCGTCAGCTCTGCTAGACAAGAATAAATTGTAGAACGTGTACGGTCATTCGGGCGGGCAAAATTCGGAGTAATCGAAGAATGCTTGTACCGTCTGCCTTTGTCGAATTCCTAGACACTCTTTAATTCTTGAATTTGGCCCGTTTAGGGAAGTTGCTCAAAGAAGAATTTCAGTAAAACTCTGTTGTATGCTGCAGGTTAAAACGGGTTTTAACAGATTAGGTTGAAAGCCTCTCAAAATTAATATTGCCATTCATGATTGGGCCGTGCAACGTGGCTTTACGGTGGGATGATTTTTTTTTTACTCTGGCTCTTAACAAAAGGGGGCTCTCTTTTATTCCACAATGGTTACACAAGGTAAAAGCGCTGGCATGATCGGTCGTGTTAAATCGACGGTGTAGTCTGGGATTACCACTGACAACTCCATCGCCATTCAGCACTCCAGCCGAGCAGCTGCTGAGTGTTCTGAACACCGACATACATATGTATCAAGGTACGAGACGGAGAGAAACCCCCCCCCCCCTGCTTTGTGTTGGTCATTGTCTCGCAGGAATCTGGGGAATTCCTTTCAGACATCCTGGGGGGATGTGTTAAGTGACAATAGTCTGGAATGTGTATAGGGATTGGACATGTTGGGGGGGTACCCCTCGGTCTCGTTTCTTGCTGGGTATACCGACATACGTGTACATGGACATGCACAACGTAACTTTGTAATCGGAAACTGCAACGTGGTCGAGAGCAGCCTCGTCGAACAGTTGACCCACGTTTCAACTCCGTGAATACGGGTGCGTCGTGCATCACCGCCTAGCGCGGAGAACGCATGACTGATCTCTTTCATCAGACACGTCTCGCCAAGTGGATTATCGTTTAACATGCAGAGAATACTCAGTTCGACATACCCACCGTCAATGACGTTTGCTTTGGAAATCCACTGTACAGGCTAGTTCCACCGAATATATGCTGCTTATTCCACGCTACTTTTCTGCCCTGCAACCAGAAATCCTTTTGCCACTAGTTCCCTTGGGGTGGGGGTGTGGGTCACACAAGAAGCGGGAATCTCGCCAAATGACGTTTACACAGCACAAACACTTCTGACTTGCATATTTGTATTCACGATACAATGGCTGACACCAAGATCACACCTTCTATAAGAAGACATTATGCACTTAAACGACATCCCAAAAACAGAAATTAACAAAACCTGATACCTTTAATCCATATCATATACTCATCAAACCTAAGATTCTACCACCATCTAATAACATCATGCAATATTCAATAATAAATGTACATGTAGTTCATATGTCTTTTTTTATGCTTGGTTTATGTCGTATATCGAAATCTAAATAATTATGAGCTCAGGAGTTATTATTTCAATACCATTCCATTAACTCTATAAAAGGAGAAGCCGGTTCTGAAGTGAACCCCGCTATCCAAAGTTTCATGTGCCCACGATCTGAAAGGCACATGTTTAATATCTCTCGAAACCCGAAGACGGATTTTCTCACAAGACCGCCAGCAAAGAAAGCCTAACCTTGCTGCTGAAAACCCAGTCAATCAAGTTTTTACTTGCATACAATACCTTTAACAAATTCCAACCTTTCTCACAATCATTTTAATACCGGCAAATAGATTGGGTGTGGATCACACCACGAACGTAAATTGACAGACACAAATAACATTATTTTCATAGTGCAGACAGTCTTGTTATCCAATAAAATACAAAGTATGTACACACATTTAATGTGACACTCTCCTCGAGACCTTTAAGAAGTTACCTTGGATAGTTCTGCTGTACTCTACCCAATCGACGACCAGAGACCATGTTAAGTTTGCGTGGACTGTGTGTCCTTTTCTATGTTGGACCGCACGGTGAGTTTCGGCGAGCTGACCTTGGCTTAATGGTCCCCCAAATATCTTCAAGTGGTGAAAATGTCAATTTTGACAAATCTGCCTTGAAAACTGTGTTCCCCTGAAAGTGCCCTTGCTGCGTGCATACAATCTTCATCGGGTCGTCATTTGTCTGGGAAGGTTGCTGAAAGTGCCAACGGTTATCCAGCCAGCTCCGTGTAGCATTCAAATGACTTTCAACAGTACTGATTACATATTTCAAAAAAATAAATAAATAAATAAAATACAAGTACATGAATATGTACTTTCGAATATCAACGGGCACGTTGTGTAGAAGCCTACTGTAGTAAAAATCCACCATTCACTCCACTGTTTTAATGTAAACTAAACACCTTAGTACAAGAGTACAAGTATATTACCATTCATCTTTCACACGAAACAAAAGGCACACGGTACGGCGGCTAACAGTAAACGCAAAACATCTCTCAAAAATATCTATACTTTTAAAAATATGATGTCGACAATGTGTAACGCTCGGTACCAATACACTACGGCGTAACATTTCTGCACATTCTTACAATTCTTGTATGCCATACATGCAATTATTTTTAGCAGTGGACTACCGCGGTTTTACCGAGAAGAAAGGGTTACAGCTTCATTGTTTGAAACGTTAAGGTACAATGAAGAAAGCTTTCACAGATTTCACATCATTCGTTTTAAATAATAATAGCACAGAATGACCGAAATCCCTCTTCTGATTGAGAATCGTCCAACACAACAAGCACTGGACCTTAAAACATTCATAGGAAATGGCTAATTTGAGTCATTAGTAATATTGGATACAGAAACGGTACCTACCACTGCAATAAGCAGGTGCACTTGTGACCGAAGGACATAAAGCATGTGACATTTAAAAAAAACATATTTCAATATAAAACACAGAGGAGTTAAGCCAAACTGAACGATGCACTGGACATACATAGTCAAATCATACAATGTATTGATATTACAATATCAACATCAATGCTAAGGTTTCTACTTCGAAAAAGTATCTGATATTTTTTAGTGGGCGGGGGGGGCGAGTTACTGCATGATACCAAAACTTCCACCTCAAGTGTTTAATATCATTGAAGCACTCTGCGTAAGAACAAAGTCAACAAACTTGAACATTTTTCATTCCTGCATGATGGGCATGCTAGCTGCACGTCATTCAAAGCAAGTTACATTTAGAGGGGCATTAATTTTTGCAAACTAGATTGCTCCGCGTGACTGTGATCAAGCCTCTCTATATCAGGACCTTAAATGAATGGGGATGGGGATCATTCACCTTCTACTTTTACTGCCACTTTATCTTTCAGAATCTTATGAGAGTGCAGTTGACCTTTTAAGAAATTTATCATCAAGTATGATATAGGGAGGAAAAGACACATTATGTTTCATAAGGACAGGAAATGACACCCAATTTCCGGAAGTTGAAGCAGCACTCCTTCGCACGTCATGGTAGCAGCGGGCCAACATATCTCAGCCAAGCAGCGTACTGGACACTGAAAATGCAACAAGCTCTGTGGCCGTTACAACAGCGGCTTCGCGCTCGATGGAACTGGTGGACATACACTCAGTGCCTCTTAGAAAAAAGGAGTGCTGCCTTGTGATTTACACAGCACGCACACCTCAAGGTTAAAGGGTCAGGGTTGTCCGATTTAAATCACCCTGATTTAAATTGCGATTTAAATCAAAGAATTTTTTCGAAAAATCACTGATTTAAATCCACATATGTATTTTTGGGGGGTAAAAGGGCAAAAACGTTTAAATTGTTTTATTTTGTTTTTTACTGATTAGAAATGTTAGCAGGTTTTGCACATTTTAAACAGCAACCCCCCTCGTCATGACTGTGAGCCTTCCAGTTCCTAGTATTAAAGATGTATGAATGCACATGATATGTGTTACACAAAATCTGGGTTGGCAAGGTTTTTATCATAATGTTCGATTCTGTCCACTTGTTTCGATTTGAATCAGCTTTTTGGATTCAGCAAGTGTATTTGATGTGAAGGATTTACAATCATGATTTAATTTTACTTCATTTAAATTGCCCACTTCAGAGTGAAGAACACAAAGTGAGTTAGAACCCTGGCACTTCAAAGTGCTGGATGAGCATTGCCGCCCTGTCAGACAAACAACAGTAAACATTCCAAAAATACCTGATTACTGCCTACAGCTTAGCTATACAAGTGGGACCAGTACTATCCTAGCAATACTTTTTGTGTTTTGTTTGCAATTCACTACAACTTATCATCGTGACTAGGAAATAGAGAGCGAAGAATCTTTAACGTTAGATCTACTTTGTATTCATGAGTAAACCTTTTACTTTTGCAACGTTTGTAATTTCAAATTGTCTCTTTTTTTTTGAAAAAAATCATTTTATTTGAAATCCATCTGACCTTTGAAATTAGTTTTGTTTGTTCATCAAACCGTATCAATGTCATGTCCATAATGCAATACCCTGTACACATCCACGGTACACTGTCTCGTTACCATGTACCCACGCTTCAAAGAGAAGTCAGCTGATTAGGAGCTTTTGGTTTTTCCATTTTAACAGACACCATCCGCGAGACAATTTGGAGGCCCTGAAATGGACCACTTCTGAGAAATCCAGTTGACCTTTTACCAAAAATTTAGTCAATTTGTAGGCGACAAATTTGTGGCTTCACTTGACGTGAATCCGAAGCCCCTACAGTAACTTTTGAGTGAAAGACTTTGAAAAGAATCCCTGCACAGTGTAAATCAACACCAAACCTCAACATCTGTTTCACCCACATAATATCCATTTACATAAGAATGCCAAACTGAGTGCCGTATCAAGATAAAAAGCTCAAACACTGCTCTCAAAATTATAAATTACGACAAAAATAATGGTGAAGAAACATTACTTTAAGACTCATTTTGCAAGATCAGGTGACATTTGGGAATTTTAGTAACTGTCTACACAGGACTTCATGCAGCGAACTTGACAAGAATTTATCCATGTGTTACCAAAATATATTCCACACGAAACACACCTCAAGTGTGGGGCTTACATGTAGGAAGTGTGTGACCATGCCTCTAGCGATTGCCGCCCCCTACCAGTGAAAGGATAATCAGGAAGAGGTACACCACATCGATGTACAGATTGAGGGCGCCAAAGATGTACTCCTCGGGGCTCAACTCGTAGCGTCGGCCGCCGACAAGAAGCTGGGTGTCGTAGGCCAAAAACTAGGATATGATCAGACCATAAGCAACTCAAGGATCAATGGAAACAAACAAACCCCAAATCACCCAGCAACAAGTTAGACCCATTCATTAGGAGGCCATTTTTGTGCCAGGCTATCTAGGGTTCCATGCCTCGCTTTTTTTTTTAAATGCGGCTTAAAACATTTAGATATATATAACAAATTCTACATGTTTTCTTCGGCATAAATGACATTCATTTGTAATGAAGTCTTATATCAGTGCTTTGCGTTTTACTCTTCGTTGCCAAAATGAAACAGCTAACCTCACTTTCAGTTCAATATGGGCGATTTGTTAAGGCCTACTGACACACGCCCCTCCAGCAGAAGCAAGGGGAAAGCATTTTGAACAATAACAAACTTTGGCTTCAGTGTGGCAAACTACAGGTTTTGCTCCATTTAGAACTCGCTAAAGGAACCTACCAAGGAGAACAGCACGGCAGCCAACCAGGCATACACAGTGTACAGGATCTGGACGGATGAAAAAGTGTACATTTGGTGCTTTGCTTATTAAAGATGGGGAACAGAAGGAGAAAAACTTAAGACAAAAACATCTTCATTCATTCATATCAAATTTTTCAACATAAAAATATCAAGGCAGCAAACTAAAAACCGTCAACAGTGAAGTGGGGTCAATTGTGCAGTGTTGCAATAAAGTACCCTTCCAGTTCCACGTTTTCTGCCAAATATTGCACTGTTTAGGAGGGAATAAAGCTGGAGTACAAAGGCGTCTGATGGTAAATTTATGCACAATGGTAAGATTACAAAAGAAAATGATGACTTCATACTATCACTGTGTAATAAGGGAATAAATGTGTGCTTGGCCAGTCTTAAAGGTGTGTTTAAGACCAGCCCAGCATTCATTCTCTTGAGCTGCTTTTACACATTAGAGATCGACCAAGCACATAAATTTATTCCCATTCATAAATATTGTTTTAGTCAGAGAGTTGAAAGAAGTCAATATATGATACATTTCCATAGATTTTGCTCAGGAATTTTACTTTCATTTTCCCAGACCATTTCATGGTATATTCCTTGTGCAAGTAGTCCAGAGGAATTTCCTTATACGGACCTGATGCACGCATGGCGAGTTCTACATGCAGCTGTGCACACAAACTCTTCACCAATAAGAATGGATTAAACTGTCTAGTTTCCAGGTGCCAGCACATTTTTATGCAGCGGGCATTATCAGATGTTAATGCGTTGCACGTTGTTGAAGCCGGGAAACTGTCTTAGGCTATTTATGAACAGATATCAAGTTAATATGACAAAAGTACTCAACAAGTACTCAGCCGAGTTCACGGAGTACTTTTGTCCCAAAATTAACTTTTACAAAATTGGGAGTGTCTGATGTTTTACATTTAGATTGTGATCTTGCCATAGTGCATTTGCCATCAAGTGCCTTTGCACTCCAGCTTTATTTCCTCCTATCCAGTTCAATATTTGGCAGAGAACCTTGGTACTTGAAAACTACTCGGCTCCAACACTGCTATTCCCGAGGTATTTTTGAGGCAATTTGGTGATTTTCATCCCCTCCATTTATTCTCGTTTCTTTCCCTTAATTTGTTCTCCTTATTAAAATTTTTCATTTTCCAAAATCATTTTGGAAGGAGGGTGAGGGAAGAGTGAAGCATCTCTCCGTTGTCATCCCTGTCAACACCCACGACTAGTGCGACATCTTAACCACTTGACCAGCGACCACAGCGCTCGCCACAGTCGGCTGACTGATAGGAATCCCGTAAGTAGTTTGGTCAGGCACAGTGGTCGGTGGAGGGGACCTGAACCAAGACCTCCGCCGACCAAGCTCGCCCATGTCGACTTGCCAGCTTGGATTCTGACAAAACAGCAGCCACCAACTGCTTTACTCACCTGGCTGTACGTGAATATGGCAATGAAGCCAAACAGGAAGAGGGACCAGGCGAAGACAAATAGGAACCCCCCACAGGAGGTGAAGTCAAACCGGGTCTGGATCGAGAACAGCGTGATGCCAATGGTCACCCCCTGGAAAACCAACAGCACAATTCAAAACACGGCGTCAGTTTTACAGTGTGGCTCTAATGAAGACACATGATATGATACAAACGACAGAATGGAAGCTGTACACTGCTGATATTAATACATCAAAGCAATGAGCTCTCCAACACACCAACAGGTTGTCACAGGAAATACACAAGGGAGGTTATTCTCAGTGCAAATCGAAATACCAATGGAAGTCTGGTATTTGCAAGTCTAACCTGCTTTGGCAGCACATGTCATTGCGAATACTGTGTCAAAGTGGTGTTATTTATTGTTCAACAGACATTTGGGCAATTCCAAGAAGAAGTGTACAGAGTTAAAAATGGAAATTTAACACTTCTTCAGAACTACAAGCACCGCAATAAAAAATGAGGTACCACATGAAAGAGAACAAGAGGACCTTTCATTTGAGTGGTGCACTAATGAGACGGAATTTCATTAAGTTTGTTTTGGTAATAAACCTGTTTTGGGCTAAAATCATGGGGGTTTAGTGCCAGTCGGGCACCTTGTTCGAACACAATAAATAGGACTGTCATTGAAACTGTTTGTCATGAAGTCAAAGAGAAAGGTTCATATTCTACACGGAAAGAGCTTCTTTGTTTGATGACTAGTCTCTTCCATGTTTTAACTTGTGCCAAAGATGGGTGGACAAATTCTAATGTAACTAATCGTGATGGGACTGACCAAGATCTTTCGGCGACACTTAACTGATGAGAGAAACTGAAAATTGTGTACATGAAAGCATTTGTGAGTCAGTAAGCAAGTACGAGAATGTACTCTAGTAGTGTCGCACTTCAGGGAACTCTGTTTGCATGGAGAAAAATTGTCATTCTCGTCAGTTTCTGACCATGATTATATGTCCAAAGACAGCCCACAAATCAAGCGTCACAAACTTCGCTGGTGACTCTCTTAGAAATCCTGGAAGGTGTATTGATGATACCAATATGGGGAACTCATTCCTTCACATGTATACGTAAGAGCACAAAGAGTGGTGCAACATTGCTTAACCCCTTCGCGCCGCGAAGCGGTAAGAGCCGCTGTAAAAAGCCCGCTTTTCAGCTATTATTCTCGGCCCACGCTTGAGCGAACATAGTGAAAGAAGGCAGTCCCTGGCTCTTGTATGTTTGGTGATTGGCCTTTGTGTGTTGCAAAGAAATGAAAAGGCCGAATTTGCATCATAATCACCAGCTTCACAATAGTCCCCACTCTGAAAAGAGGCAACGGGAATGTGGAAGCTTGAGCAGAGCAACATGCCACCGAACAATCAGCCTTTTCACTGGGTAAATCAAAGCGTGCAGAGCACGCGGGGCCATAAACCGAGAATTTGCGGTTTGGCAGGTGGCATTGTGGCCAAGCAGGGCTGGAATTCTCGGAGTCGGCTTTCAGAAAAAAGTCCCGGCGTCAAAGGGTTAAAATGAAACAAAAGGATCCGTGGACTGTTCATTACTGTTTATGCATCAAACTTACAGCACAAATGCCAATAGCGATAAGAACAGTCCGGCCACCACCTTCATGGTAGAAACTGCAACATCAGAAAACACAGACGGGTGAAATTACAATTTTTGTAACCTGAACTTGCTACCACATAACTTATTCCCTAGAGGTTCACAAAGTGTGTGACACAATATAGGATAACTTGGGAGCAGGAATTTGAAGGTGTGTGACACAGCCTGGGATATCCTGGGTGTCTGAAGGTGTGACAAAACCTGGGACATCCTGGGTGCAGAATCTGAAGGTGTGTGACACAACCTAGGATATCCTAGGTGCACGATCTGCAGGTGTGTGACGCAACCTGGGATATCCTGGGTGCAGGATCTGAAGGTGCGTAATACAACCTAGGATATCCTGGGTGCAGGATCTGAAGGCATATGACACAGCCTGGGATATCCTGGGTGCAGGATCTGAAGGTGTGTGACACAACCTAGGATACCCTGGGTGCAGGATCTGCTGGTGTGAGACACAACTTAGGATATCCCAAGCGCAGGATCCCTATGATATCCTAGGGTGTTTAACAGAAGCCAGCTAGGATATCCTGCCAAATCTTGGGGGAATCACAGGTAATGGACTCAATTGCTAAAACGATTCAGCAATGTTCTGGCATTCTTCCACATCATTCCCAAAGGGGTTATGGACTGAGAGTCTTGGACCACATCTGCTTAGCCTTCCAAATTGCTTACCTTGCAATGGTGCCAGTCATGTAGGCCAGACTCAGGGTCTGTTGATGCAACACATACGAGATGAAAATCAGTTTAAGGCTTGTGGAAAGGCACGGAGTAAGTGACAAAAAGAATGATTTCCGTGACACTCATTCCTGTGCACGTAAAAGCTGTTACAAAGAACTGTTACAGATTCCTTAACTGGGGGGAGGGCATGTGGCCTAGTGGTTAGTGTTTGTAGCTTCCGATCATAGAGTCGAGGGGTTCGAATCCAGCTGGTGGCAACATGTTGTGATCTTGGGCAAGTCACTTTATCCCTATGTGCCTCTCTCCACCCAGGAGTAAATGGGTACCTGTGAGGGCAGACATGATTTTGTTTAGCCGTGTGCACCAAAATGGCAGCATTAGGCTGGTATGTTCCCCAGGGAGCTGAGAATGGTTTCAGGAATGTTCAGATGATGTGAGCACAATGTGTAGGGATAATGATATTAATCACATAGAGACATTCTGTAATATGCGCTATATAAGAACTGACTATTATTATTAACTGTTTGCCCCTCCTTTAGAGCAAGCTACCACCAACAGGTTTACTGACACAGTTTAAGCACAAACCACGGTTAACCACAGTGGGACTAAACTTCACTTAAAAGAGAAGGCTCCAGCTAAATGTTTGGGCAACAGACTATGAGGGGCACCTGCAGGACAAGGACTGCTTTTTGTTATTGATAAAAGAAAAACTGAACTGGGAATAATTGTGTTGGTGACTGCAGGTGAAGCTAAGACACTGTGGAAACCGTGACGGTAGCACCTGGTCCACTGTGGTTCAACTAGGGCCATGAAGCAGTGCTACGGCCCTGTTTGAAATCCTGCCAGGGACCCGCTTGAGTCCATCCAAGAGAAGGAACAAGGCTGAACATACTCCACTGACTGTCCGGTATACAGAATACCATGTAAATTGTGACTATTTCTTACGAATATGGCAAGCGCAATGAAGTTGTGGGGTGTCTTGCGACGGAAGTCAGCACAGCATACAAGCACGATGTAGACAAACAGGAAGATACCACTGCAAAACCAAAACAAGTAAGAGAGAGTGCTTGTGAGACTGCATTGGCTCACCAGAGCTATGCAAACTACAAGAGACACGTGGGTCCGAGCAAATGAGTCAGAGATTTTCAGTCCAATAAGCAAGAAATTATCTGCCTGCTTTTTTTCCCAACATTTTCCCTCTGTTTGACAACAGTTCATATCCGGGAACTCCATTTTTTGGTATGATGTGTCACACATCGTACCATACCATGTGTTATGATTCGAATATCCGAGTATTCGATCGATTGTCGAATATTCAAATGTTATTTTTCGGATTTGAATATTCGAATGGAAAATTCATGAACAGGAAGGGAAAAATCTTCTTTTGTTCTAAATGAGAAATATTGCACCATGGAGGCTTGTTTCAAGCAGATTCAAATGAAAAGCGTGAGAAATCTTACGTCAATTTAAAAAGTAAATTATTCATTAAACAATTTAAAAGGAACAGAAACTTTCAACAGAGCAAGAACTCTTGTTCATCTCTTAAATCTTGCTAAATCGTGGCTGGACATACTCCTAGATGTGAGAAGCTATTACCTTGATCATAATGTACAATTGTGTGTGTTATTGCAGCTGATTTTGTATATGGTTTGTTCATCAACAATCTGCCGGTCGATGCAATCGAATACTCAGGTATTCGATGAAATTGAAGGTCGAATGCTCAAGTAGTGAAAAGTGAATAGTGTTGGTCCCCACTTACCTGTTCGTTTCTTTTTACTCAAAAAAAGCAATGTTCTCTGCCCATCTTTGACAGTGTACACTGCAACTACATGAAAGCAATCCACAAGCCATCTATGTCATCACCCACATGGTCAGATTACATGTAGCATCATGTTACCTTCTTCACTTCCCACCTCTGATGACCCATAATTGACACTGAGTGGCATAGTTTCACTATAGCATCTTAAAAGCAGTCAACATTTGTATACATCAACCACACTGTGAACTATAGAACGATAGCAATATAACAGTTGACCCTTCAAATATTTCCCCATGTGGTGTGCATGCACATGTGCGTGTACACAGTGATGCCATCTGCAAGAAATATTGACCGGCTGTACTTACTACGATGCCCAGTACATGGCCTGGTTCCGTTGGACAAAAAACCTTACCGAGTCCCTGTTGATGAAATAGAGGGAGGACGATTCTTCATAAAGTTAAAGAACAACTGTCAAAGGCAATGACTCTAAACGTTACACTGACACAAAATGTCACAGGGGCCACTGAATTCAAGGGTCAAATAATTATTAAAAATTTGGTTAAAAAGGTTTTCGGGCTAAAAATTTTGCAGAAGTTTGCTTTTTTTTGCACACTGAGAGGAAAATATACAATGCATTTTTGGGGGGTCCAAGGACTTACACGAAATAGAAAAGGCAAACAACTCCAAATGTGACGGCAAGCTGCGCAGTCAAAATTAGGTAGACCTGGCAACAACAGAAATATGAAACAATTTGCAGTAAAATCAAAGCCTAAAATAATCTCAAAATAAATTAAAACTAATCAATCAATTAATTTTTTTTTCTGTTTCGTTACTTTGTAAATGCGCCTGGAGAGCTACCAGATAGTTTTTAGGTTAACTTATTAGCAATCCAGCAGGGGTGTACTTTTTTTTGTTTTGTCATTTTGTTGTATTGACTTGCGAAATAATAAATGAAATGAAATGAAAATGAAATGAAAATCTAGCCAGAAGTGTTTTCCCAACTATTACGTTTAATTTCATGTGGCTGTGTAACAGCAAACAGCTAGTCTTGGGTTCAAGACACCTTCCATGGTGCTACGATCCGATATGTGTGCAGTGTGTGGCTTTTAATTCATTACAAATTACCACCTCCCTGACACAAAGCACATCTTGAGATATAATTTATGCAATACACTGTGACAGCGCCCTCTTTGAGGCATACCAGCCCCTAAGAGCTTGCTATGGTTCGTGTAGTGGAATAAACTACAGGAGGGTCTTGGAACCAAGACTACCCAACAGCATGTAGGAGTCTCGAAATAACCGTAGAAAAAAAACTGACTTTGATTTCCAACATGACCTCCTCTCTCCCGGAATGTCCCCCAAAGCTTACAAATGTTCCAATCCCAACTTGACAATACAAGCTGCTGCGTGCAAAACTCAATTGGGATCTGTTTGTGATTTATGTGGGTTGATTTGCTCTGCAAGTGGATGGGTTGTGGGGGGAGGAGATCCAGAAGGCTTGGGATGGAGGGGGGGGAAACACCTTCTTGCTCTCCAAGGCCCCACCCCCAAGGTGTCGTTTCCACGCAGCTCACCTTCAGAATAAACTTGCGTCGGATGCTCTTGTCATTCAGGCTTCTTTGAGCCGAAAAACCTTCCACATCGTCGGATGGTGAGGTTCCTGTGTAAAGTTGAAATATTTGGAAAAGGAATTGTTTTGGGGGGTCATGAAAATCTTCTCTGTCAACAAGAAGGTTTCTGGAGCTTTTAAACTAAATACAAGATTTAGAACTGCAAATCCAGGGCACCTTTAGTTTAATACGAGCTGCAGCTCCAACAAAAATCCTGATTCTGTGTATATATTATACATTGCTTTTCTTGGCAGCCCTTCAGTGGGTGTTGGGGGATTCATGAAGGATTACAGGACTAAAAGTTTGGGAAAAATTCTAAAATATAGTTGTGGTTGAAAGTTTGACATATACCTGGACTGAAAATGCTTAATTACCAGTACAGTGCAAGTTTTACGGCTTTGCCGATTTCTTCTCCAAAGGGTCATTAGCTCAGAAGTAGATTTTTGCACATTTCAACTCAAGTACATTTCACTGCGGGTGTGGTCATGTCAATCACCCTTCACAAGCATGAGCACAGACACTGAAGTGTATCCAGATAAAGGTATACATGCACGTGTACGGGTACATCTTGTTTGATTGCCGCTTAGAAGGTGACAGATTTAGTCAAACTTGTCAGATTTTGTCAAATACTTGCCAGATTTTGTCAAATACTTGCCAGATTTTGTCATATCCCGCTCAGGTCAATGTTGATTTGCACAGCACTGGCAATGTATTCAGCTAGTCTTGCACAGCCATTAAACATTCTGTTTCGGTTCACAAAAGTCAACGTGGGAATGCACGGTAGATTGACACGAAGGAATGTCAAGGTAGGTTTCCACGTGGCCGCAAAAGAAAAAGTCCAACTGGAACACGGCTTAAGAGTATCCACATGATTTCCATGTAGGACTTTGTTCATTAAGACAGCATTTTCTGAGTTTATAAACATATGGTATTAGGTGCGACGACTGTCCCTTCCTTTGCTCAACTGAACCAGTTCACAGACTCCCCGAAAAATCTTAAAATTAAATTGGCCGAATGCATGACAAAATGAAAGCAACAAGATGTTTAATACAACCATGCCTACTGCCTGGTACCACATACTTGTACATGTACACTACACTGACAGCAGCCAAGGGCACATGTTCAGACAAAGCAAAACAAATGGTTGGAAAATGCCCAGTGAACCAGTCTGGTTCCATAATCCCATCTATTAAAAAAATATAGATGTGTACAGTGGTGGGGAAGGGTACCAACACCACAATGTGCGTGTATATCCCAGAATCCTGCTTGATTCCAAGCGGTTTTTTGGACTTACACTGCTTACCCTTCATTAATTTACCGCGATTTGATTAACCACTTACTGCAGGGGAGCCTGGTTTTGGACACGTACATGTATTCTTTATATGCACAGCTGGGGTGTTCCAAATCGGACAAAGGGAACTGGGCCTTGTAACAAAAGACCGTATTCGTAACAAAAGACCAGGCTGCAGGGAATTACCAACATTTTTTCACTGTCAAAAGCGGAGATAACCCAACATAGTTTTGAAACAGTACACCACTGTTTGTAGCATTCAGTGCTAGAGGATTACTACTGGGGACAAAAGCGCTCCACCACCGCAGCTATGAGCCACACAGTACCGCTGCACGCTAATCTGGCCCCTGGTGAAAAGACGTCAGCAGCGCACTGTGCCAGTTTCGGGAACAAAAGGATGAATTTTTAAAGAATTTTGAAAACAGAAAAAAATGAAAAATTCTCCGGCCCAGCAGAATCAACATTTATAAATGCCCCTGACCCGAAGTGGTTAAATGACGCCCCAATTTTGATTTGGAGAAGCTGCAGCATATCGCCACCTTGGAACGTCCTGCTAATTTGGGACGCTTCTTGGCCCAACTGATCCACAATGATTTAGGACCGTTGGGAGTTAATAATGGAGGGGGTTAGGTGCTTCTCACAAAAGGTTACATTTAATTGTGTCAATGAACAATGTATCAATCAACAACATTCGTGCAAGGCTGCACAGTCAAAGAAAGGCACACTTTTGTTAGAGAGTGCATCAGTAACACACAGATAACTAGGGGTGCACACATTTTTAATAAGGGGGCACTGAAAACAAATGAACTTTGGCTTCTACACAGGCTGCAATGGGGGAAGGCTAGGGGAGGGGGGCACAATTGTGCTAAGAGCATGTGCCCTTCTCTCATCCAGAGTTACGCCACTGGGCTGCATGAAGACAACTAGCAACAGACATGGACATGGATGCTGTTCACATACATGACACAAAACAGACTGTCAGACATGTTTCCTGGCTTTGGCTGGTCATCACTGTGACAAGCAGTGTCAACAAAATGGTTATGTTGGAACATTAATGGACAGCAATGGAGGTTTGACAAAGAATATTCAAGCCACACATGATTTTTGTGCTTACTTCCTGTGTCAGAGGACCAGGCATTTCCCTGTCGAGTTTCAAAAGACGCACCTGCATGGGGATTGGGAACCAGTCAAGAAAAACCATCAAAAGAAATATCGTTTTTTCCGGGGGGGGGTGGAGACTTGTAAAATGAGAAAAAGATAGGCTTGTAGAAACATGAGAGCAAACATGTAGTGAATACTCTGACTGCCAATTCCTGGTTGATGTGCACAGCATGGGTTTTCTTGAGTATCTGTTGATTTTCATGAGAATACTGGAGTGACACCTGGTCAGAGATTACACACCTCAACAACGGTGAATACTGTAACTTTGAGGACAAGGTACCCCTGTCTATTTAAATGCTAGGCTCCTGAATTTCAATGACCACTTCACTTAGTGAATTTCAGGCTTTTTAGCCAATAATGCTGCCTCACTAGTAAATACAATACATGCTAGAATACAGAAATCCATGCATATTTCAAAATGCATTATTTTTCTTAAACACTTCAGCATCAATTTAATTTGTTCTTATTGGAAGGCAACAATTAGAAGTTATCGCACTGGACATCTTTCAGTAATATATGGGCATTTTGCATCACATTTCCACCCAGGTGCAATGCTGCGCCCTGGTTTCCATCTTTGAAAATATACATGTAAAAGCAAGAATGACAATGGAAATGCCAGAAACTGGTCTAGAGCACAAGGCCCCCCCCCCGATGAATTCCCCTTTCATATATTCATTTCAGACACATAAGCTTGTGTTTGCAGCAATCCCGGCTGAAGTATGATTTTTCTGTAGGACCTACACTGTACAATGCAGTGTCCGGTCAGAATGTTGGTCTCTACACAGACTGATATTGTGCCTTCCAGCATGTCCAGACCTTGTTGAGCACTGTCTCAAATGAGTGAGACTGAAATTTACTTAAGAGTCAATATCATCCGCCTGGAGCAGAAGCACCCCCTCATTAGTTGAATTGAGCCATGCCCGTGGGTAGTGTTAATTACAAATGTATGTTGATAGTGACGCGACCACAACACATGCATTTCAAACTCATTTGTGAAACAGCAGTTAAGCGCAGTCCCCAACAAAGGAGCCTCCATTGCTTGGAAAATTACGCCCATTCAAAGTCCTGCTCGGGGCGGATATAATCTTCTCAACATGTTTTCTTCAGAATTATTTCATGGAGAAAGTTTTCTGGACTTGTGTAAATAATAATTTGTTACGTAAAATATTAAGTACACATGTACACTGTAAACACTACTCCTCACTGGCCCATCTGAGGTAATCTATGGAGGCAATCAACGGCATAAACTCTGTTGGCCTGATAGTCTCATAAATCTCATTTAGGAATTTTTCAGAAGGGAGGGAAGCAAAGAAGCGACAGACCGTAAGACTGATTTTTGGGGAGAAATGGGGGGAGAGTACCATGAGAATAGAGTACTGAAGTGTGACATCATTGGGAACCAGACAGTGTAGTGCAAACGAAGAGCACATGAACATGCGTATTATGGTTCATGCGCTGGTTCTCGCACTTATGCCGTTTACACACATCACTGTGCGTGTGAGGTAGTCACTTTGGTACTCTATACTGGTAAAACTTTAATTGAAAAAACGTCTCTTTGAACAGATGGTTCACATCTTATGAATTATACATTATGCAGCACACAGATTTATGTAGTTGGTGACATGCACAATTGTTGCATACGATTTTAATTCATTTACAGTTTTTGGACCACTTCATACTAAATACCAACCCAGGGGCAGTGCTCTTGCCAGGTACACCAAGGCGTGGCAGGCCAGCCATGCTTGCAGTAAAATTCATGATATATCAATATCAGCAATTATCTATAATTGTCGGAGCTTAGTTGTGGATTGGATGTGATTTGCTTTCGATGCATGTTTACTATATGTAATTAATTTTGTACCAACGTTTACATTATTTTATACTCTTGTAAAAAAAATTATGGATTATTCATTCAATATTTGGCTAAACATTTTTATGACATTTCTTCCAATTTTTTATGAAAAAACCTAAAATACTAATTTTTAACAGTTAAGCTGGGGCCTTGGAGCCTACACGCATGCGCAGCAGTAGTGCAATCATATCTTGTCACGCTGTTACATTTATCATCTGATCTTGATCACAGCCGCATTATTGTCAATTAATATCTGTCGATCAGAATGTCAGCTTCCGTTTCTTTTCATCAGCATCACAGGAAGACTGGATTTAATATTGGCTTCAAGTATGGACCACAAAGTATCCCTGCTTACTGAATGCCGAAGGCGAATTCATTTAAACAGTTTAAGCACATGATGGTAAATTATGGACTGCGTGTTTGAAGCTTTTCTTGTGTTGACAGGTGCTACATGCATGTGACGTTGGAACAGAAGCATGGGAAATTCCTACTCCTTTTTACACTATGAAGTTAGGAGGAAACAATCAAGTTCATATTTAATTTTGTAAATGATTTATGGCAAATAATTTGAACTGTTACTTATCGGTTTAAATTAAAAAAAAATACTCTGGTTTGTTTTCAATACATTCACTGCATCACTAACAATAGAGACACCTTCTAACGGGTAAACGTTATGTAATTGTCAGGATGTTTGAATATGTGTCATTTCAACATTCTTAAGCTTCATACCCTTAATTTCAAAAGTGCTTTTGAGGTGGATTTCCCTAACCTCTTTAACAAAAACCAGGTGATGGCGTTGCCCAAGGGGAGAGGAAGATGACAGGACTTCATTACTCCATTGTCACTACCTGTTGGCACACCTTTAGAGTTCTGTCCTAATTTGTGTCTTCTTGAGAAAATTGTGCATTTAGTACACCTTTGATGATGTGTTGGGCAGTAAACTGAATGCTCACTGCAATTCTACAAGTTCTTTAGACAGTTAATTTGCCAATGTAACGAAGACCAACAAATTTTAGGTCCATCCTGTTCAGACGTGTACATTGCAGGTGACAAGAACATAAAATCATACATGAGTGTGACCATCCTTACCATAACTGGTAGCTGCTGCTTGCGGCTGTGGCTGCGGCTGATACACTGCACCTTGGGGATAGGCTTCACTGGGTGGATACCCTTCAGTGCTTTGGGGAGGGTAGGCGGCTTGTGGCGCAGGGTACCCACCCTGTGGTGGAGGGTAGCCCTCGCTTTGGTAGGCTGGCTGTGCTGGAGGGTAGGCTGGCTGTGCTGGAGGGTAGGCGGGATCCGCCCCACCCACTACAGCTTCGTCGTATGACGGAGGGGCTGAGGGGGTTGCAGGTGCTGCCATGGTGGGCTCTCCCAACAGTTAATCAATCTACACATGAAAGCATATCATTTGTTAGGATCACTTTGTGCCTGATGGAAATTCTGTCATATCTGTGCTGGTGCTCAGCAACGCCCACTTTCTGGATGTTAACATTGTGGTGTTAATGATGCAATTATATGGGTAAAGCAAATGGAAGCAATCACTGCTTACATACTTGAGCTGGGTGACATTAATAATACTGTTTACATGCACATTCTCTTCAAATTTAAAATGTATGTGAAATCATGCTTCAGTGGCTGTATAATATTTCGTGCTCCAAGAAACATAAAAATTACAAAAATGGAAAAATAAAGACCTGACGTTCCTGAAGTAGTACTGGCATGTCAACACTCACTGAACTGACTCACTAAATCCGTAGTCAATTTGCCCATGACACAAAACAGCTACCAGTATTTTGATGACTGTTACCTGTTAACTAACATACATGTAGGCACTTTTCCAGAGCTCCCTCTAATTTAGACATAAAGGAGTCAGGGTTGTGACCGCATTCGCATATAATTTGATCGACCTGACAAACGTTTCCCACTGCTTTGTACATTAAGGAGTTGGATCAAATGCAAGTCAAAAATTTGTGTATATGCCGTCTTATTATGCCAATAAATTTCTTCCTCATTTTGTAGCTGTTTTCACAAAGAGGCAAATTTCTCACCAGAGAGAAAATCCTAGGTTTCCAGAAAATCGCATTTGAAGTTGGTCTCTATTCCAAACACCTATTTCCCCAGTAATTAACATGCCTTTAACTTAAGTAAAGCTACTGCATGAAAGAGGATATCTTAAATGACACAAAACTACAAAATGACATTTATAGATCTCAATCAAAATTGCTTATTTTGTAAACAAACATGTTCGTCTCTTCGTGGAAATGATAAATTAGCATGACTTTTGCCTGGTTGTGCTGTAGCACATGCCAGGTGCAAAATGGTAACATTTAAATACATTTCCAAAGTCAATTCACCTCTTTGTGAAAACAAAATGCGGTACAGTTGAATTTTGCCCCGGGTACATGTAGATCATCAGGATTTGTCTGATTGAAATTCTACATGTAGGCCTATAGGCCTACAAGGCCTACATTACTTGCAGAACTCCAAGTCACAACTCCTTGACTGTGACTTGGAGGGCTTTGACTTTTAATGGGTTCGTTACGCTATCGGATTTAAATGCAGATATCGGCTTGACCATATACACGTGTGTGAATAGCTTCATAATGCAGCATACAGCACGCACACTTCCATACTCCCCTGCTTCCAAAATGGTTGAGCTTATATCGGATGTTGGTGACATTGTGCATGTGCAGTGTGTGATGCATACTGTAGTTCGTGTAAACAGCCACAGTATGCAGATTGTTCTGTAAAGAGAGGCAGGATTGCAAAGGAAAAGCTCTGAATTTTGCCAAAAATGGCTGGTTACACAGTCAAAAAACTAAACCCTGTGCATTTTGATGGCTATTTCGGGAAGATTTGATTGAGAAAGAACAGTTTCGAAGACAAACGGTGGAACATTGCTATGTCGGGTCTGCATTTACATTCCGCAGCGTTGCGAACCCATTAAAGGTCCAAACCCTCCAAGTCACACAGAGTAGTGACTTGGGGGTTCTGCAAGTGCGCCCTCATCACCACATGATGAAATATAGGCCATAATTGGGCACGCACATGAAATAGCAGCTCACAGAGGGTGCCCCATTTGGTCATTTTCAGCAAGTCAAGTTTTTTAATCAGTCTAACAATGATGCCTTCAGATTATTGCCCACTGCTACATGTAGATTGTGATGGGGATATATGAAATATATGATGGGGATATGTGAAAATGCATTTTTATCGACGACTGGCGATATACACGTACTGCTGTACAAATCAACCGCACTCTGTTTTTGTAAGACGTTTTGAAAAAGGTTCGATCATCATCGGAAAATTATGCTGGTGAATGGAGCATGTTGAAAAGTAAATGCTGTCGAAAGCATAAATCAAAATGTTTCTCTTTCAGCCACGAAGAAGGCAAATTTCTTTCAGAACAAATGAAAACATTTTTAAACTTCTTCTAGCACTCATCTGTGACAAATAGTTTCAAAATAGCGGTATGTACATGTGCACTCTGTACGTTGAGCACCGTAATGTACAGTTCAGTTTGAGGAAATACTACCGACTTGATTAGTTGATGTCACTGTTTCTGAAAGTACAGTTCAGGAAAAATATTAATAACATGTGTCAAAAAAGGGTATGACAACACCCGACATATTTGTTACTTGATATTTCGCTAACCCATCATCAGTTAATATCTAGAAAAACAATGATTTTTCATTGATGAAGTAATGAATTTTTGTTCCCACGTTTTGTACAGATAAAATGAACTCCACAATTTGTCGAGAAAGAAATCTAGTGGCCCAGATCGCTACTTGTGAATATCGTGGCTTTTTTCAGTCTGTTTTGTTATAACGTTTTAATTTATTTTTTTTTGGGGGGGGGGTTTCTTGTCAGACAGTAACTGCCTGAAACTGTTTCATATCATGATTTCAAGTTCTGCTACACCGGCTGCCCTTTTGAGTTGATCAGAAGTATACAATGCACCCACAAATAGTTGTGTAGTAAATTAAATGGTGATAATGAAAAGTTAGAAATAAAATTTAGCATGATAAGATAAAAGGTTGCTCTCAATAATAAATGTTTGAGCAGCTGGCAAACATGGCAGGTACATGTACAACAATCCATTGGCTGTCTCACAGTGACTTTTGCCTATCACAGATCTTTATGTGAAATTCCCCAACCTGATGAACAATATAACCATGCAGGTGTTACACAATTGCATCTTGGTACAACTATTTGACTACATTTCCATGATTTGAAATGTTAACAGTCTAGTATTTAGTGTGCCGTCCTTTATTTCGGATTACTTAGACTGCCTTACAAACAAAATCTCCTACAAGACCTACCTTTGCAAAAGGTTCATTCAAATGGGTATAGCGCTACAATGACTGATGTTATGCACCACGGTAAAAACATGTTAAGTAATCATTCAATAAGACAACATAATGCAAGCCCAGAGACAGAAATACCAATAAAATTCCAGGTGGTCTTCAACTTTTGCACATGACTGTAGTTGTAAACACATAAATAAAAATATATAGTTTTGAAGTTCATGCAAAGCTTTATCTTAAAGACTAAAATCGTCATTTGTTTACACATTGTGTCTTCTTCCTGTCATTTCTAGAGTATGTTTTTACACAAAAAACTGTCGAAAGAATCTTTCCAGAAAAACAAAATGCCACTTTCAGTTTATAAATCTGCTCGGTTAATGATGAATCCTGAAAATACATGGATGTGTAGACAGTAAGTAGCCTAGGCTACAGAAGTACAGTTGCAGCAATCCTGTCCTACATGTAGGTCCCTAACTGATTCATTCTTCAAGGATAGTCTAGAAGAAGAAAAACCAAGAACAAGTACATGTACATGTAAGCTAAATAATGACTCAGCATGTTATATAAAAGTTCTGTCAGGTCTAAACAATGGAAAGATTCACAGATATATCATTGATGAAGAGTGTGCGATTGGAGGAAAGACTGCAGCATCCTAGCTCCACTGTTGGTCGTGTAGTGTGGAAAGTGAACTTTCAAAGTAAGAACATTTGAAATATTTTTTTTAGTTTCAGATTCATGTCATTTCAATATTTCATCAACAAATAACTTTCACAGAGATCATAACCGATGAAAAACCCTTACAACTAAGCCGTATGCAAAGGAAACAAATTGTTTCCAGACGGTCAGTGACCGTGGCAGCATTGTAGCGCACGGCCGGTGTCGGAAAAACAGGACTTGTCATACAGAGGGCGCTATTTGCGGAACCGGACAAATTACCTAGCCTACCTCCGAAAAAAAGTTTAGTAACAGTTGTCTTTCAAATGACTGCCCAAAATTCTGTAATGTCTTAGGTAGCTGGATAATTTGCGAATATTTATGGATGACTACATTTCCACAAACATAATTTTTTGTGCCGCCAGGAGCCTCAGACGACTTCAGTTTGCGGAACCGGACAATCAACTGTAAAACCAACGTTGTCGTTTAATTAGGCCTAGCTTGATTCTACCTCCATGGTCAGATTATCCAGCCAAAAACTGCCAACCTTTTTTTCCTAATCACAACCCTGCATGACTCTTTAATTTCTAAAGCTGGGAAACTGTGTTACTTTAAATGTCTGTTTTCTGCTTGGGATAAATTAATTATGGCGATAAAATCAAGCGTTATTTCGTGCTTACCCAGCTGATACTTCCGAACTGGATCTGGAATATTTTAATGAGGAGAGATTAAGTCTTAAGCCCTGATTTCTGTCATTGCATTTCACACAGTCGTGTCCTGTGTACCAGACTGAAATCATAGACGCATGTCGATTTTCCTATTGTTTTCGGCGTCGTTACACCTTACTCTTCTCAGTCCTCGCCTGTTTTTTAACCACTGACATTGAGGTTACTAGCATAATAATAATTTAGAAAATCAAGCTATATGCAAAAGAACCAAATATTGAATTATTTGAGTTTGATCTGAGCAAGGTGGGCGTACATTTGGGGATCGATTTTAGAGACGAACCTCTACGGAACAGAGCCGAGTATTGGAAAACCGCCATGACGTACTACCCTTATAACAGTCCTGCGGTAGTGAATATCCTAGCTGGGTGTGGCTAGGTTTTACTAGTGGGAGGGGGGAACAAAGAGGAACCAGCTTCAGTGCTGTGGGTTTTTTTGGGGGGGGGCAAGTTTTTGTTAGCCTTGTTGAATATCCATTCATCCCTTTTGGGGGGGGCACCAGGAATGGGGAGGGGGGGATTCAAGCCCCACAGAACACAGTAAAATCAACATAGTTGTCATGACTCGAGTCCATGACTCGACTCGAGTTACAATACAATTTTTAGCGACTCGACTCAATTCCCAAACGGGCAAATGACTCGACTCAAATCTCTCATGTAGACTCGACTCGAGTACAAATTTATAAGACTCGAGTCTCAAAACATTTAAAAAGCAAAATTTGGGGGGCGAAGAAATATTTGAAAGTGGACTCATGGCACTCAGTGCTCTCATATCGATCGTGAATACGTAGAACATGATGTACATGTACATGTATACACTTGAGGTTTCCACTCGTTTGCCTTTTGAGAGTGTCGCTGTTAGACCGAAAAATTAAGGAGTAAGTTTGCCAAGGCTTCGAAAATTTTCTTATGAAATGCCCTTTTTAAGTGGTAAAACCACTTCTTGACGCTTAACTGGGTCTTCAAATCAATGTACCGGTGTGAAATATGACTTATGGTCGGCTACGGTGTTGTAAAACTGGCTTTAAACGAGAGAGGAGCTTAATTGTATGCATGTATCTGTCATGCCAACTGGCACGCATGGAGTTTCTTTGGGCCGGCCTGATGTGACAAATTCCTCGCAGTCGGTCGGCAGCCATCAACTCTCTTCCGACTATCTGCGTGCGGGGGGGGCAAGTTCTCTACCTGGACTGGAGACGCATGTACATGTACTTTCCAAACGGGACTGATATCTTTATTGGGGCTGTGAAAACAAACAAACACCCCGACAAACAAACAAACAAACAAACGAACAAAGGGAAAAGTCCATTTGGTTCCCCTGTACCCCAAACCTGGATACGTCACCACGGTCCGTGTTTGCGTCAGTGGTGATTAGTGTTCCCATTTTGGAACAGTTCAGCCATCGTGTTGTCTGGGTTCCTTGACGTCAACGTGAATGGCTTCTGAATATTTATATTATATAAGCAAGTTTATACATTTTTAATCTTTCCTACGCTATCCTGTTCGTAAGTGTGACGTCACTTCAGTTTAAACCACGCCCACTGCACATGCACTGCAAGTTGCAAATCGCCTGCAAATCGTGGCGCGTCCGCCTATGTGACGAATCACGAACCGGATTATCAAAATGCGTTTTACCCCATGGCCAAAGCAAGGGCTGGTTTATACTTTGTGGTTCGCGGTGGACCATGGTTTTCCTTATAAAATGGACTAGTCGAGGAAATGAGGTTGGAATTAGTTTTCTGATTGCTCTTTGTTGTGCTGAGATAGCTGCCTTTTTGAGGAAAACTCTGTTTATGGGCGTTCCTGCTCCAGTGCCAAAAAGACCGATTGCGCCCGCTAAATCACGCGACCTATAGAGGCATAAACACCAACAAACAAGGCGTCCCCCAAAGCAATGTGTGTTTTTAAGTGTTGTTTACCAAAAATAAAGCCGATTTACGGTAGCACTCGGCATATCAGTAGTCGGAGTTCTTTATTGGCCATCAGCTTCATTTTTGGTAAAGGACGCACTTTCAAGGGGGACACCCATGTTCGTTTGATACCCGCTGTGGTGACAGTGACTTTAATACTGGGCGCAATCGGTCTAATATTCCATTGGCCTTCGGCACGAGTGTTTATGACCCTATCCCGCCAAAAGCGCCAGCTTAGTACACCACCGAGTTCTCTACCTACACCTTATACCTGTGAAGCTTTCCCCCAAGTCAACAATGTTGAGCCCACGTTGGTTTTACTTGAGGTTTGAGTGTTTTTATGGCACACAGAGAACCTCAACCCCCGTTTCTGCCAAGCGTTCTAGAGTCGCGCAGAACCACACTAAAAGCAGATTTTGAATTAAGTGCGGCAAGAGGTCGATGTCTGAAAAATTAGGAGCGACCAGGCATGCTAGCTGGCAAAAGATCGACCCTTTGAGGACATCCGAGCGACTTGGTTTCAGACGTCGCTCTTCTCATGAGCCGAACTCATTGCAAATGAATATATAAGTTCGTCTGTCTGAAACCAAAATTTAATTGGGTCGACCCGAGTCGCTCTTAATTCCGTTTGGTTTGGCGCGACGCTAGAACGCCCGTCTGAAAAGGTGTTAAAGATATTCGTAGAATATCTACGACACTCGTAGGAATACCAATTTTTCATTGCCTCTAGGCAGAGTGCCTACTTCGCAGGATGATCTGACGAACAAACTTCCATACACTTACAAGAAAGAGGGACCTTCACGGTGTTGACTTTAATGTTGAAATCCTATTTATTTCAAGGAAACCAACTTGACTGTACAACATACAAAATCAGACTCTCAGGCAAGCTGTTCCAGAACACAGAAATTCACGGGTTTCATTGGCACCACGTTTGCATGCAGAACCAAATTAGCTCACATTTTGTGAAAACGATGTTCAAATGAGATCAGAAAAAGACCATTCAGCATGGTGCATCATAAATACACAGTCGACTCTTGGTACAAAGAGCACTTTTATGAAGAGTAACTTCTTAAGTCCCAACTCTGTACTGTTGAAATTCATTTCTTTCTTGTCTTTACGAGGTTCAGGCCAATTTCTGAGTTGCCATGCAGAAAACAAGTTACAATGCAACACACAATAAATGGCATTCTGACTGGTTAACCAGGTTATGCTAAGCAACTGTTTTCTCAGCTTAGCAACTTTAGTGGTGTGCATCTCGATGAATTAGCACCAGTTAAAACAAGGTTCCGGCAATCTTTCATCATGAGACGACTGTAAAACAGGGTTCTCACCGAAATTGGGAATTAAACCAATACTACGACTTTCTCAAGACTTTCCCAGGCTATAATATGACCATTTCTATGACATGTAAAGCCATTTTTTGTTTGGTAATAATTATGCACTGGAAAATTCCTAGAGCCACTATCAAAGATAATCTGTACATTTATCATTGTAACATCAAAGGCACCCTGTCAAAAATAACCCTTACATGATTGATCTGGATTTCCATGGGCTTTTCCACGACTTTTTTCAGACTGACAAAAGGATCCCAGGACTTTTCCCCATAACTTTCTGGGCAACTTTTTTCCCCAAGGACTTCCCAATGACCGTGTCCGTGGGAACCCTGCAACTGGAAGAATAGACAACCTCAATGCCTTCCCATTTTTCGAAGTTTAAGATTACGCCTTCTGCTGGATCCATCAGACCCCATCGGTTTGGTAGGTTCTTGCCAGACAGAGGAAGGTAAGGCCCAGTCACTACTACTTCACCTGGAGGTTCAACCCTCTAAGAGCCAGGTTATTTTGGTCAAGCGGGAGCGCTCTGTTGTACCACGCTCAATTTTTTTTTAAATTGGCATGCATTTAGCGACAATCTTATCATGGCAAATGTGAAGTTTGGAATCAGACATGTTTTTGTTTTGAAATTCAAGGCTACAAGCGTGCCAGCCCGAGTACATTGAGCACCAGAGTGGAAACAAGTATACATTCTTGGCTAACCCGTCTTGAAAAAAATGGGCACTGTGCAACAATGGCATCTCCAATTTTCACAAAATGTGCCCCTAAATGACCGGAAAAAAGTGACTCTAAACACTACTAAAAGCTCAGTTCGTGAGCAAAATGCACCATGGCGAAATTGTGACAAATGTCAAGGGGGCTGCCCTCCACCCAGCTCTATTAACTCTAAACCCCAGTGGTGCAGGTACAATCGCGATGAAATCACAGGACTGAGGACCGTTAGAGCTACAGTTAGGCACACAGAGCGCATCATGTGGGTTCTGTACCGTGGTTGGCTTGTGGAGGATTGAACAAGATTCCTAAACAAAATACCAATGGAGTTTAAGGAATTGAGGGAGATTTCTAGCACAGATTCTGAGGGAATATTTGGAACATAGGGATATTCCTAGTAAAAATGAAAATGGAATTTAAGATGATTTTCAACACTGCCCCCTTTTCAAGAGAGAGAGACACAATGGTCCACATGAAAGCCATACTTGCAGTATTTGCAAACATAACCAAAATACACAATCAAATCTACTGGTTAAGACTAGACAGAACTGAAATTTTGATAATATGAGTACAAGTAACATTTTCCATGACACATACCCGCAAGTATAAATTTGTCTTCCTTGACTCGAGCTTAATTCACAGGATTTCACTGCACTGCATGTGCTGGCTCAACGCAAGCGAACGGCAGTCAATTTAACACCTAGATGGGATTTGATAGGACACGACCAACATGGGGTAGTACATAAGGTCAATGCCAGAGTTTGACCTCTCTGTTGACTGGATACAGCTCCATGTACAAGGATGCCGACAATTTCCAGTCTTGTGCTGGATGTGATAAAATAGGAAGACATAAACAGTATCAAGTATTCTACCACATGGGTTGTGAAACAAGGACACCAATACTTAGTTTCCAGCTGTCCAGACTGGACGCTGTGCAAGGTGTTGGCCGTGTCGAGTCCACGTCTACTGGAACAGCTTGTCTTCTGACTGGCTCAGTGGCAGGTGGCTCAGTGGCAGGTGGATCACATGCTACTGACCAATTGAAGACATTCAACAGGCTACATTGTTAATTCCTGCAAAGACAGAAAAAAAAACAGATTATCTATGGCATTACCTATTAACATCATCGATCTTTTTGAACAAAGTTTTTCTCTCAAAGTGCATGTGCTGGAACACCACACTGACAAACATGTTATTTTGTTTTTCAATAATCTATGCTGTCTCCATAAGATGCCAACCAACACAGTTAATCTTGTATTCCAACTTTGGTAATGCAACTACAGTAGATTCCCGTTATAACGCTCACCAGGGGACCTAACAGAACTGAGCATTATAACCGCACAGCACTATAACCGACTGGATGGACGCGCAACCCGTTCAACGCATGTGTGCACATGTACTTCTATGTACATGTATAAATACATGTATCTACATGTATGTCATGTACTGTATGTGAATTTCGTTCACATGTATTGGCAGATGTATGTACCGTAATTTGCGAAGCGTACGCCTTGTATCCATTTATCTTGATGTTTTCGTGACGCCAATAAATAAAAACATCAAATCTCTTCAGAAACTGCCATGGGACCTCGTGCATGCTGCATCGCAGCACACGCACTGCATCCACATCCACCAAGTGGGAAATAATCAAAACGATGTCGCCACAGCAAAGCAAATTAAGTTTAGTCGTAATAACCGTGCCACACAGGCGCGGCTCACCGTGGTGAGCACATGCTCGCGATTGCGCTGCATGGACGGGCCCAGTGCGTGTCTGCGCTCTGTGTGATCGCTATACTACTGGTGTGCCACTGGATGGCCAGCCAATTGCGGAGGCCTTGCGATGCGGTTTCATATGCATTGATTTGCAAAGAATCTAACTTTCCAAGGTAAAGAGTGCTGCAACCGGAATCATTTCACATGCTGTATATGGTTCTTGGGGCCGAAAATCATGAGCGTTACATCCAGAAAAGCATTGTAAATGGGAGCGCTATAAACACATGTGTACACAGTGAATGGGCGTGCAGTTGGGGAAATGAAAATAGAGTGTTATATCAGTAAGAGCGTTATATCAGGCAGCGCTATAACAGGAATCTACTATATGAAGTACATTAAGTCGAGCAAGTCCACTCACCATTATAGCATTGACTATGTCGTTGTTGTTGTTCTTTAACGCTTTCACCGCTTTGGCACGGGACACGTTGGCTTGCTGCACCACAAGCTCAATGTCCTTAGATTCCACACCTGTCTCATCAACCTGGGATGCAAGGCCAAGAACACTGAAATTAGATGTGGTTTCATTCGAGGTGGGGGTGTTGTCCAAATCGATAAATCAACCCAAAATACAAAACAAAATTAAAAACTCATTGGTAAACAGAAAGTTGAGGTCGGCGCGGAAAACCTACAAAACAAGTGCTATTAACAGACAAAATGTGCATCAATTTAAAATGAGGAAACCATGACAAAAACATTGAAATCAGTATGCAAAAGCTGAAAACAGTGGAACAGAAAGCTGAGATTAGCGGAACAGAAAGCTGAGATCAGTGACATGGAAAGCTGGAATCAGTGGAACAGAAAGCTGAGATCAGTGACATGGAAAGCTGGAATCAGTGGAACAGAAAGCTGAGATCAGCGACATGGAAAGCTGGAATCAGTGGAACAGAAAGCTGAGATCAGTGACATGGAAACTTGGATTAGTGGAACAGAAAGCTGAGATCAGCGACATGGAAAGCTGGAATCAGTGGAACAGAAATGAAAAGCTAGGGACTGGATGCAAAGCCAAAAACAGCTGACATAAAGCGGGAATCAGTGTACACAGCTACGCCGCTGAGTGTACAAGAAACCAGCAAGAAAAAAAGCATAAAATTGGTGGACAACAAGCTAAATCAGCTTTGTAACCAGCTCGACAGCATGTATACCTCTTCCTCTTCATCTTCTTCCTGAATAGCCTGGGCTGTGGTGGCATTGCTCTCTCCTGTGATAGTCGGGGTGGGCTCTTGGGTTCGAAACTGCTCTGCTGCTACCACCTGCGCCTGCTGACTCAGATCCTCAATCTGTCAAGAAAACAATTAACGATGTGGATGCTTGTAAAAATCTCTCAAAGTTTCATCTAGGATGACCCACTTACTGATAGCTTGAGCAACTTTGGAAGAAAGATTGAGAATTTGACACCAGTTTAAGGGAAACAGTTCACACAATTATTGCTTTGGGCAAGGCTGAAACCAACATTTGTGTGGGCGTCATCCACAAATTGACTAAGCGTTCTGGGGCGCAGACAATTTGCGGAATCATGGAGAACACGCTAATCACAATCAAACAAAAGAGCCGTTAGCAACCTGACGGCTATGCGGACGGAAAGCGATATGCAAGCTTTATGCAAATCACCAACCTCATGAATACACCTGATCTTCCGCGCATCGGCCGGCAATCTTTGGTAGGGATATCCCTTGGAATTAGTGCTGGGCCGAGTTTCCACTGACCAATTGGTCAACTTCCAGTTAGAACAAGACAACATGCCGATCAGCCGCCAACTTAAAAACCACAAGTTTTTGTTTTTTTTTCTGAAGTTGGCCAGCCACCTTGGTGGGAATTCCGAAATGGATGCATACGTTTAGGTACTGTGCAGGATTTGCATGTACTGCAGTTTGCCAAAATTGACCGATCTGGGGGTTTGTGACTTAATACTCTGCTTTTCTTTCAGCTCTGTGGCATGCTGATCTTCAGCAACAAGAATTTGTCACCAGGAATTTAAACTGACTTTCTTGATGATGTATTCAGAGGTGACTGGCCAATGCTCTCCCAAGGATAGCTGCTTTCCCTTATCTCATGCTAAGCTCAGCAGTGCCATGTCTGAGGACAGACCCAGAACCAAGTATTTTTGAGGAGGTCATTTTCAAAGGTTCAAACCTTTTTTAAAAATTTCAACCTTGTATTGCCTTTAGGGGGTAAGGCTTCACGGTGGGTAATTTGCATGGTTGCTGAAGGATGGGGAGAATGAATGGTACAAGAACATTAGAGGAATCTATTGAAATAAACTAGTGATTGACCCGTTTTGATTGTTCATGCTTATACATGTATGACATGAAAGTACATAATTGTATGGTCATGATGGTTATTTTGGCAAGGGCAGAATATTTAGTACCAGCATTGGTACAATGCAAAGGTATTTTTACCATTTGGAATATGTAGGTTGCAAACATGAGGTATCAATGACAAAATGAATTTTCTCATATTTCTTTTCTCACTTGATTTTTATTAATTAAAGTATTTTCTCTCATGTAATTTCATGTTAAATTAAAAGTGACAATGACTTTTTATAATACTACTCTGTTTTCAATTGTCTTAATGAGAAAAGTATCCTATAATTTACATGTATCTGATATATGTCAGCACCAGAAGTCTTGACACCACATTATGGCAGTGTCTTCTGCAAATCTGCTGTAAAAGATAAACTAAATACAGCATGATTTCAATGAAAAAATTCTAAATTGTACATCTGAATTTTATAAGTGTAGTCTCATGAATGCAAATACCACAAAGCCCTTAGAGAAAAAGAAACTCATTAAAGTTGAACTAGAAAATACGTAAGAGGCTAATGAGTTTCACACACTGGTCGAATTGTACCCCTTCCGGAGGCTTTGGCACAAGAAAATATCGCTTTCGTCGTCTGCTGGTATAATTTGCAAGCTGCCGGCACACTGAAGGCTGCTGTACATGCGCGACTGCAGAAACTAAATGTCCACATGGCCTATGGCAGTGACACAAACGTGAGTTTCAAGTTTTATGAGCATGAGATATGCCTACCAACACCCAGTCACGTGGAGGAACAAAGAAAAGGGACCAGTGGCTAAACCACCTTTTGAGAGCGACAGCTAGTGCTGCAGCCAAACCACTGGAACAAGCCCCAAATCATAGAACATGGCACTTACAAATCAAACCAAACGAACCATACGTGCAATGGTCAGTTTGGATGTTCGGCTTTGATATGGCAAGGTATTGATAGCAAACGGAATGTACTTAAAAACTTAATAAAAAAGCAACACAACGAAAAATGGAAAACGAGTTTCAGTACAATAAATTCCACATCCGCGCTCGGCAGATGTGCGAGTACACGTGGTGCACAGAGCAGGTATGTACAGTAAATTTGCGATGGCCCGGATCTAATACGATCGTTTTGTTGAGTCAAGCCTGGTATAAACATAACCATTTTGGTCGGCGAACTCGTTCGGAAAATGTCACACCGCCTCCAAAGATAATATTCCACGGATTTGTCATGTCTAAATAAACTTTGGAAAAACGTGTAAAACTGTTGAAATCAGAGTTGCTCATGGATATGGGATGGAGAAGGAGATTCAATACTTGTATTAACGTATCATTTATACATGGGAAGACTACGTTCGTAGCGAGCTCCCAATATGTCTCAATGTGCGTTGACCATTGCACACGCACATGTACAACACATGTACATGTACGTATACACATGCGTGTAATGTCCCAACACTGTAACGACCGTAACGACCCTATCGTTAATAAATGTTGATACTGGAAATGGGGGAAAGTCTTTTCCGCAGAACGGCTGTTGGTATTCATGGGGTCCAGAGAAATCATGCTTATTCAAGGTGCTTTTTGTCGCAACGACAAAAGGGCACACGGCCGCCTGGCTCATTAAACCCCTCACACTTCAGCGCACACCTCCGTTGCGTCCGCGGATTTCCCCCTATTTAGCTACGCCAGATCGATCGGAAAAAACGTGGACAATACGTGGAAGAACGCTTAGTCAATTTGGGGATGACGCCATACATGTAGTTTAGTCCTGCTGGCAAGAGAAAGTGACAAATGACAGACAAATGTGCATGAGTACACCACCAACCCTCGAGTCTCAAGCTCTAATGGTGCGGTGTGGATTTTACAAATGTATTCAGCAGGAATGTGCTTATTGACATAGGAAGACTGCAAACACAGTACACCTCTTCAGCTAAGATTGCCTAACAACCTCTTCTGTGGTTGAGGAACCAAACATGCTATGTGACACCGAATGCGAGGGCCCAAAATGTTGTGGCGACACACTAAGTCCCCACAATCCGGTCCAAGAAAACTCCCCCACATTGCAGTAGCTGGTGGGGTGCTGGTTTTTGTTTCTTTGTCACATACAATTATTGAACACTCTCTCAAAGTTGAGCCGAATTCCCCAAACCTTTGCTTCTCCAAAGATGATGTGCAAGTCCGAACCGGCACACTTGAAGACATCTGGGTTCTGGATGACAAATAGGATTGTCTTCGACTTGCGGATGGTGACGCGCGTAATGCCTGTCACATTCTTCAGTCCACACTTGGACAGGAGTTTCCGGGCCTTCTTCTCGCCGCGGCTCTGCTTGGCTTTGCTGACTGGCTCCTCTCCTGTTCCAAGCTGCAGGGAAAGAGTAACATTGGAGCTGTAATTCAACTTGGCATTCCTGCGCTTCTTTTCTGCTCAAGGAATCCAAAAACGAGGTTAGAAAAAGTACTTTGGTCATAGGGGCAGTGGTATTTTACTGTATTAGGCAATGGTGATTATGAAGTAGGCTCTTAAGCAGTTTGAATCAGAGGATATGTAAATGTGATCTGGCTGTCGGTATACACAGGCCAAATGACTCTTAGGACTTAATTATTTGTGGTGTTTGGCTGCATACATGTATCAAAGCTTGGCTGCTGAATCTTAACTTTTCCAAAAGTCAACGTTTGCGGTCAAATATAACAACATTCGCATTAGAAAGTGGTTAAAAGAAGTCACATTACAGGGCTCGAAATTGGGCTAATCATCACAGGAGCAACTACTTGCTCCATAGACAGCTGAATTTGTCACTTTACAGGGGCAAGTAGCTCCCAATACAATATTAGAGACATATGTTCAAGAAATAAAGGAAAGATCCTGGTCCTTGCTGTTGCTTTTGTTTAAATTAATGACACTGATAACTTACCATACGGCTTAGACTTTGGCAGATATTAAAGCCTTGATCGAGTTGTTATTTTTGTTACGTGAAAAGGCTGATCCGAAGTGAAATAAAAAAGTTCAGGTATTTTTCATGACAAAAGTAGAAACAAACGGTAAATATGTTCAGGTACATGGAATCAAACCGGCATAGGTACTTGCGCCCGTCATTATGATTTATGGACGCATTTCTGAGGCCAGCGGGCGCATTTCAGCTACCTGCGCCCGTTAATTTCGAGCCCTGCAATGTGCAGGACGAGTATTTCAAAGGCAGGAAGTGGTAATGACGACGGGTTAAACCTACCTGTGCGTGCAGTTGTGATGTGGCTTGGTCTGCATCCTCCAAGTCAGGCACAGAGCCGTCGCTGTCAGATTCAGTACCAGACGAAGCTAGATATAATACATACAGACAGAGCTCTTTAGCCCTGCTTTACTGCAGTTCAACGTAATTGCCTACAATATCATAATGAAGATTTGGGAAGGAGGTAACAAGTGCACTGGTAAGCGTAATTTACTTGCAATGCACAGGGGTGAGATTGACCACTGATATACATGTAAATAGCTGAAAATGGCCCAAATAAGGCAGGAAGAAGCTGAACTGTGAAAATCTCCTACACATTTGTACACAGCAAGTGAGGAAAAAAACCTGAAATCCAAAACAAAAAGCTGCTGAGAAATCTCATTTAAATGTGTCACTTGTGCCACTGCATATTAAAAGTGCTAGATGATGGGTGCTAGAATTTGGAAGGTTCTTAGTAAAATATGCCATGGGTTTAACACTGCTAACAAAAATGGTCATGTGTACATGTATGCCTGTGCATCTTCTCTTCAGGCAATTTTGAATTCTCAGTTCTGATTGGTCGATCCACAGCAACAAACAGTGTGATACATGCATGAAACCACATTGCACATTTCATATCAAACCCTGCATAATGTGCTGTGATAGCTCAACGCATTGTGCTATTTTATGCTAAAAACAAATGCACATCTGCATGACTGTAAATTCAAAAGTGGCGTGTTTACCTGTGCTGACCATCACGTGTTTAAATGCACATACAATTCTAAGAATTTCCTTTCTTAGTACAAGCCTGTCGTTACTGTTGTTATTTAAATAAGTTAAAACACACATAATTCCCATGCTCCCCAGATAAAATTGCAGAATTGAGGTACATCGGTGTTACTGTTTTGGCCGTGCACCGTATGATATCTTTTGTCTTCCGTTTTTATGTAAAGAGCGCATAGGCCCCTTTACTTTCTTTACTGCGCGTCAAGTTTGCTTGAAGATAAATTTGTTATCACGCTTGAGCTCGTGGAACAAGGAATAATGTAGTGCGTCTGTGTCCCGTATATCACTCGGCCTTTGGTCTCGTGGCATACGGGACACAAATGCACTACAGTAATAGATGGATTTCATATTAGCGCCGTCTGCACATATCAACATCGAAATCGAGGCTCTCTGTGTTGAACTTCCTCGTGCGCCCCCGCGGAGTCGACACAGTACATGCAGTATCAGGTTCGTAAGTGTGATGCCACTTCAGTTTAAGCAACGCCCACTGCACAAGATACACGGCCATTGCAGGTATGTTAGTTCGCGCTAAATTGCCATTGTTTTTTCTTTTGATTTCACGTGTCGAGTCATTCTGAAAGACCCTTCAACAAAAATGTGCAGCCTTAAAAGTCTGAATTTAGCAAACCTTTATGTATTTGTGTCTTAACTCCTTACTTTCATTCGTCTGATCGTATTAAGTATGGAAGCTGACACATACAGCCTCCTTTTCAAACGCGGAAGTGCGCAGATCGACGCTAAAAGTGTCATATTGGGATCCCTTTATTCTGTGTTCCACTCGTGCTTGTGTGATAACTAGTAGATACAACAGCTATGCTCATGTCAACTTCAATTTTTGCCAACAAGGGCCAACAGAACAGTTGCTTGCGTCAGAGACACCAGCTCATTTCATCTGAAGAGAAGAATTTTATATCATTTAGCACGAGAGAATCAGAGAATTTAAACTAACCTTCCGACATGTAACTGTATGCTTTGACAGTGCACGCGTGAACAACTATCAACAGTCCAGTCTGCCGCATGCTTTGTCTATGTGCACACAATTCTGCGCAACTCCACTTGTATACATTTGTTTGCCAGCACAAAATGACCCATGCTCTTTTGTGCTGTCCTCATCACAACAGCTGCTTTACGGCCCAATTATGGAACGGTGAAGCACAGTTGTTGGACAGCCCAAAACCTGTACTCTGATATCCCTCTCAAGGCTGTTTCTTCCAATGCACAAAATGGCACAGCAGGGTATCTTTGTGCTGCCAACCAACTGCCTGACCCAAAGGGCAACTTCTGCATCGGAGGGTTAGAAGCAACCCCATGGAACAGTGAAATATGTCTAGAGCATTGAGGTACATTTTGGCATGTTTACCTTCATCTTTGACATCTTCTGCTGAGGGCTGTACAGTTTCTGTCGTCTCTGAAGGCATTTTGTGAATTTGTTGTTCTTGGTAAATGCAAAATCTTAAAAAAACAAAAACCCAAAACATAAAATGAAATGTCAGAAGGGCACACAAGACAAACTCTTTTAAAGTGTTATTAACCCTAACCCTCCTTAATCCTCCAAATCCTTTGGGTGACTTAGGATTTTGAAGGATCGAGGAAGAATGGCTAAAGTGTGAGACTGACTGCAACCTCAAGGTTGTGGGCTACATGTAGTCCTTAGACCACGCTCCACCGTGCATATCTTCATGCCTACATGTACATTAAATATGGAATCCTCCATGCTGCTCAAAGATACTTGTACCATTCGCACTGCATCAACCTAATGACAGGAATTGCCAGAGGATTTTGAAGGATTAAGGCAGTGGGCACCACTCAAAGGAGCATATTCAAGAACTACTGGATGATTTTGAAGGATTGACGATGGTGCCTTGCAAAAAAACCTTGGGGTTATGAGAATGAAAATGTAAAAGAAAAAGAAAGTTGATGGCATCAACGGCAGACCTGTGTACACTCTTCAGCAGGTTTATCCCAAGCCTAACGGCCAAGGTATTATGTTTATTTGGGGGACAACTTCAGTCCCCCAAAACAGAGAATGTCCCCCTAAATGGGGACAATTTTTTTTTTAAGTGGGCTTAGAAATCCAACCATTGCCCTGGAGATTCTTTTCTTGTCATAATTACCCGGTAGATTCAGCAGAAAAAAACAACCAAGGCTGCCATTCAAAAAAAATCCTACTATTTACTTCTAGGATTATGAGCAAGAGTATGCAATTTAGCATAATGGGTGGGAAAAAGACTATCAGAACAATTTTTTCCAAATACATGTACATGTATCAATCCTTTACATATACTTAATTGAGTGGCATGGCACAAAGTTCATAAAAAACAATTTAAATATCTTAAATGAATGGAAAATGTTGGAGAAAAAAATATAAGTGCATGGATATTTTTGACCCAAGGCCAATTAGGGGAAAAAAGTCCCCCTTTAAGGGAACATTCTCTCTTTTAGGGGACTGGTGTTGTACACATGTATAAAGGAATTCTCCAAACCCAGGGACAGTCTCTGAATTGTGATTTGCCCCTCTACTGCCTGTCCGGTCAAATATCGTTTGTAGTGAATCGTACTTGCTCTCTGTGACGTGAAAGGAAACAGCTGTCAGTTTTGTGCAAGTCAGGCCAAAATTCACAGGCAACGAGCGTTTCCGCTTTGAAGGAAAATTTCTTGTTTCTTCCCGAATGTGAGTGAACCTTACCCTCATTATTGGAATCTCCACTTCTTACCTAGCCCATAGAGCAATCCTTGCTCTATGCTTAATGTTATCCTAACGTTAAACCGGGTACATGCCATAGGGCCTAGACAGTCATGACAAATTTAAGGACATGAACATGGACTGTTTTGGAGGTGAGGTCGGAGGATTTTGATTCGGGGTACGAGCTATTTTGAGTGAAAAGAATTAATGGAATGGAAAGCCTGTGGAAGGTACTTGGACTCTATCGCCTGACTATGTCCAAATGTTTAAAAAAGGCGATTTGTCATGTTTGTATGTACTGTAGACTCCAAGTTACTCGGATTAGGTTACTACATAGCATGTCATGTACATGTACATGTAGCCTACAGTACAAGTACATATTTGGGCACGAAAAGAGCTATGCTATTAATGTTTGATCACCAATTATTGTGATACAAAAGGAATAACAAAGAAAATCACAATATTCGAGAGTTTACATGTAATAACTAAATGCAGACTTACCTTCTTGGTTACTAGATGATGCCAGATTGTGAATTAGATCCTCTTTTTTCTCACGTGTTAACCGTCCGAATTTTTTGTCACATATTCGTTTACACAGCACACAGAGGGCGTTCTGTCTCTTAAGCGCGACAATTTAGACTGGATACCTGACTTCAAGGTACTGTGCTGGGTACTAATTCAAGCCCAATTGAAAACTGTGCAAAAGCACTATTCAGGGCCCAATAACGTGCATAACGGTCCCTAATCTTTCAAGTTCTTTTCATTTTTTGTGGGTTAACCAATTTCAGCTTTAATTATTCCCACAAAACAAAATCACCCCCCAATAGTGGTTTTTTCCGAAGTCTGCTTCCAGCCATTTTTCAAGTGACAACCCTCAACTTTCTCGAGCATTAAGGAAACATTTTTCAATCGTATTTCTTTCAGCTATTCTGCTCTCAGATGAAAGCCCAAGGACCCAGGGAGTTGCAGCTGGCAAAGATTTACACAATCCCACCATTTTGGGGGGCCAACAATCTCAGTACCGTGACAGCCGAATAAGGCATTGTGCATAGTATTGAAGTCTGCAGAAGGTTTCTATGTATTGCGACACTTTCCCTCAACAGTATAATTCGTTCACAATGAAATGCCAAAAAAGTGTTTTGGAGGCTCGTCATTTGGTACGCACTCACCGCATAGGCGCGCATAAACCTGCTCGCCTATGCGGTGAGTGCGTACCAAACGACTGTCAATTTCATTTCAAAACACGCCCTCTTTTTTTTCCCTCCTCGGAGCGGATAGTTCTTTTCCAGAGCAAAACAGCATGTGTAAAGTCTTTTGGATGGTGGTACACAAATAGTAAAACTAGCAAGCGTCACATGGCACACTTTCGGCCAATCAAGTTACAGAATCTGTGGGTGAGTTGTTATAATTCTGCTTTCGACGTAACCGGAACTGAAAGCAGCACCAACCTCTGGCAGCTGGCAGTCCAAAGTGTGTGCGCTGCGCACAGAGATCGTGCACATTTCAATCACTGATCGTCACCATTGATCTCCACAATCGTTTTTTAGTCATATAGCAATGATCATCACTGACATTACAAATTATACAATACCTGCATAAATCCCCGTCATCTGATCGGTGGATCGTTGATCACATGTCATTGAATTATTCGTTTTATTCAACGGAACCCCCTTAACAGAAGTTTAATTCACTTGACTGGTTCCTCCTGCCCCTATTTCCATTGAGGAAGGGGAAAATAATGTGGGGACGGAAGTCAGTCTAACATTTCACAGTCCTTCGATCATGGCGAGTAGGTATAGCGCACTGATCTCTATTAATCTTATTCTCAAAATGACGGAGACGTTTATGGGCGCGTGGGACCTGTTTGTTAACAGAAGAGGATTTGTGCAGCAGGTGTTGTACAAATCAAATAATGAACGTTTCACATTCGTGCAGTGGTAAGAATAATGTCATGGAGTAACAGAATACGGATAAAATGTTCGATTCCACGAGGTGAAGCCGAGTAGAATTATGGAGGAAGGTGTTCCTTCCTCCATGGTAGAATCGATTATTAAGTTTTTCATTACTTGTTTCAGTTATAATTCTTTGGGGCTAGGCTCTCATGCAGCTACGGTAGGCCCATTTACTAAATGCATGTGTCGCTTTATTACAAAATACAAGGCTACTGCAGCCTGTGGCCAATCATTGCTACTGAGGTGAGATGCGCGTGCTGTGTCCGCGCCGTGTCTGTAAATTCAGTTTATTTCCGACTATGGAGCGAATCATGCCAGATCTCCAGACAATCAAGAATTTGGTAGTTCACTCGAGGCAGATGTGCTTTGCTTGCGCTCTGTCAGTAAGTCAGAGCAGAGAAACCACACGTACGCCTACATCTCTGCGTGTGTAGATTCTGTGCTATTCGTTTTGAGCCACATGTGTGCAAAATAAAAGATGACAGGAAAAGTCGTTACCAACGAAACAATAATAATCCATGAATGTCACAGCTACATTCGAAGTTGAAACCCGGTTTTGTAAAATGCGCGCAAAAGCAGCGCACAAACGTACAACAGACTAAAATGAATGTCAGTTTGCGATGTCGCAGATTTCTTCTATGATTGCCTCAACATGGGTATCATTTCGTGAAAACAAAAATCAGTTTATTTCGCGTCACTGTCCGATGTGCGCGCGCACTACCGGGTGTTAGTTGGTGAAAACAAAATTGTTGATAACGCGATTTTCATGAACACGCATTTGCGAATGAGTGTTAGAATACAAATAATTAATGTTTTTGAGTGCAATGGTTGGAATAATTTCATTCGGTGACAGATTAATTAACAACTACTCTTTAATAGGAATGTTTCAGTTAGAATAAAGGTCAGTCGTCACAAATAATTACTGGTACGAGTATACGTACAGCGAGAACTGAGCCATGAGCATTTTGGCGATTTTCGCCACAGTCTTACACATAGATTGAACGCAAGCGCCTTCTGTAAAAGGCATCAATGCTTTCTTCAAGTTACTTAGAAAGCCCATAATTATTTCACTGTTTTACATAAATATGGACGCTATGAAGGTGAGGAATTTTTTGAGTTGTCGAATAATCGTTGAGACGTTCCTGAATTTGTTGAAAAAATGCCAACGAGACTGTTAAAGTCTGTTTCTACATTTCTACATTCCAGCAGTAATCCGATAATGAAATAAATATTCTGATATTAATCTGCTAACAACAAAACCCCGTCTTTACTGACTATGTGAAGTCCTGTTTTCCCACGAAACCAGGGAAAATAATACTGTGTTGCTGTCATGACGACCTACTCAGTGAAAAGACCATTACTTTAGTATGACGCCACCACGCATCACGTCTCATTAATAAAATAAATAAATAATACTGTGAAACAACCCAAGAGGGCGCTCAGCAACCTCTATTTACCACGGGCGACGACCCACAAGAAGCTGTAGACACCAGATTCAGAATGACGCTGTATTAGTCTGTGCCATCAATGGTCTGCTGAATAGCCTGAGCAAGGGCAAAATAAGTCTGTTGTCACCCCATGCACGTGCCTACTGTTGCACAGCCACCGGCAGAAACCCAGCCCTGAAACAGAAAAAAGGCACCGGCTTTGAACTTGGCTGATGTGACCTGAAATTACGCTCGAGTCTGTGGTAGTAGCCACAGACAGTTCCCTTGGAGTCGTGTGTAAATTCAAGCCATAGCAAAGTAATTCAGGCGCTGCCCTTACAGAAATAATGCGTTTTGACGACCCGACGTCATTACTATGCAGTACTTATCATGTTGTAACTTCCAGTGAAAAAACAATGCAGGGTCGGAAGGCTTTGACGTAGCCCGGGAGGGGAACATTGAGTGGCAGGTGAAACAAGAAGCAGGCTTTAAATAAAGCAAAGCTGGGACGTTGGCGGAAAACTGAGTCGGCAAAATTGATCATTGAGGCGGAACAAGTGACAATAACCATGTAGATAAAACATTGGGACTGTGGAAATAGATGATGACAGAAATAATGAGCTCCAAAGTGTATTCCAAAAATAAACTATTATCTTAATTATTTCGTCAAAGCCTAATTTTGTACAGGAACCTAAACGGAGGGAAAATTCTATTTTGCACAGGGCAAGTAGGGCCCTTACAGCTACGTGTTTGCATGAAGAGCGATTTGGTTTGTTCCTGTCTCAAATCCACGCAGTTCAATTCAATCATGATTTTCAACTGCTCCCATAACGGTTCCTTTGGCCTGTTTTATCACATGCCCTACCGTAAAAAATATAATTTAATGATGACGAAATTCTTTCCACCGAATTCCGAAAGGGTGCTTTGGCATTTGGAGAATCAACTTTCGAGTTTCTGAAAACACTTGACAATTAAAGGTGAAGTTTCCCACGCAGACTGATGGGACCATGGGGACAGCTGAACCTCGATGACGCGTCTTGCGAAGACCGTTTGCGAACCTGATGCATGACGAAGATCAGACAAACTAAAGCGAAATCTTTCCCTTTTAATGACTTTCGATTCACTTTCTCAGAAAATGTTCTTAGACGGCAAGGCGTCGCCAGGTTGATTTTAAGTTCTCGCAACCGTGATGGATGAAAGCCTAGCTGGGTGAGGTTCATTACATTGTAGTTTCGGTGACAAAATGAATGACGCACAAAAAAGCGAAAATTGAGAGTGACGATGTCAAGGGAAGAAGCGAAATTGAAAATACCTGTATTTGGAAAGAAGAGAGAGAATGACATGTTGAATAGACGAGCCAAACCAGGTAAACAAGCTATCGGAGCCGACGCAACTTAAATCATGAATTGATCAGCAATATCCAGTAACATTCGTGGCAAGGCGAACCACAAAAAAGCAAGTTCCTCGAATATGGTCTGGTGACGTCGAATTCATTCCTGCCCAAGTGGCGAGAAAGGTATAAAAAGTCGGCCTTGATCCACTTTGTTGAACTCTTTGAGCTCAATCGGGTAGAAAACGTGACCAAGGTTCCGCCCATATGTTCCGCCGAACTGGCTATTAACCTGTACCGTGCTGTTAACTTTCTGTATAGTTTAAGAGCTGCATAATGGAAGAGATTTATTTTGAATCATTTGAAAGGTTTGGCGTTACTCTTATTTTTGAGTTTAAGGACATACATGTTGTTCAATGGAACTCTTGAAGTTCAATCAGATTCTCAGAGTTTTTCGTGTCGGATGGCCTACTTTGTCAGTAATTTTTATGTTTGAATCGGTGATACCATTTTGGGGGAAGATCCAATCTCACAGTTCGTACTAGAGGAAAAATGTACCGTTTTTTTGATTGGATAGTATTGCTTGGTTTGGGGGGATTTCGGAGTCGAATACATTGCGTTTGACTTTTTATAGCAAGCCGCATCACTTAGCAAAACACACAAATTACTTTACATGCAAATTGTGCATAAGAGTCAGTCGCTGCCTGAGACTGACGTCATAGCAACGGGTACAGGAAACGGCATGAAAATTGTAAGCAATGAAAAGTGTACCCGTCACAATTTAAAGGCGTTTCAACATCCTCAGACAGTTTGGGCTCATGGGTGTCAGCACAAAAATATTTTTGAGTGACGTGACACACATCGCAAAATCAACTGCGTTCTGTCTTTAAATTCCAAACCTTCATCTTCAGACAAAAATATATTGACAGGGCGAACAGGCTCGATATTTACCCTATCCTCTCAATGAGTGGTGCTCTATATTACAAACCGCCAAGCGATAGAACTTGGTTGTCTCTACTTGGACAACGCCCTCACCTTGCAACTCGAATATACAGTATGTACAGTACACTGATGACATCAACAGCAGACTGAAGTGGTGGTGGTGGTGGTGGTGGTGGGTGGTGGGTGATCGTTCCTGTTCATAAGCATCCAATTGTTTTTCTCTGGCCGGGGAGCGTGAAGTTACGCTTTTGTTTCAAGACTACCCTAAGGGGCCCCTGAGGGTTATTTTTGTTCCTCCAGTGGGAGGAGGGAGCTTTCGAATTGCCACATGAACCAAAATAATTTTATCACTGGCCATACAAAGTGGGTGCAACATGACGAACGTCCAGAAGAGTGAGAGAACAGCAGCCTTACCAGGAAAAGATGATCATGCTGGTTACCTTATCCGGTCCAATTGACAAAATGGCACATACTTCGCATATTCGATTCAGACGCGACATTAGTGCTTTTTCGAAGTAAACGATGCTTTTAACAGGTGTAATATGGAAATGCTGCTTCGTGTGTCTACGTGCGGCGATTTTTTTTACCTCATGCGACGCGTGACTTTGCTGAGTTTGGGTCTGGGATAACGAAAGAGTGTTCAAGTCACTGAATTCACATTTTTGCGAAGCAGAGGCCGGACTCCGTGCTGACTGGGGGTGCAAGCAGTTCAAGTCTCCCGATATTCTTTTCGGTTTTTCTTCTTTACCTTTAAATTTTGTTCAATTTTGATCCTTTGTTTATTCCATATAGTTATTTGCAGTGGTCCTGTGCAAGTTCTATTCTTTCTTTACACGGATCGGAATCGATGTTCCGAAAACGAAAGTGAGGCGGCACTTGCTTTAAAATAAGACTCTCGTCGCTACTGCGAAGGGCCTCGAAAACTATTATTACGGTTTCGCTGATTACGCTTTCTTTCACGCCGCCAAAGCTGATCACTTTGTCCTTCTCCTGTCAACAGCTCCATGGTCAACACAATCATGGGGCCCGTGGTCTACCAATGGGCGATTCCCATCTTTCCTATGAAGGCAGGGGTGGATCCAGGAATTTTTCTGGGGGGAGGGGGTCAGGCGGAGATTTTCTTTAATTACTCATCTTTTGTGGACAAGCGGAAACGATGATGAAACAGTGCACGGCATATCTGTTTACAATGGTATTGGTGCATTGTTTACTTTAGCTGTTTTGAAATTATTTTCCCCCTTTTTTAAAGAGCCAGTGGGGGGTTTGGACCCCAAGCCCCCGGATCCACGCCTGAAGGGTGATGGGTGATACTACAAGTTTCAGCATTTCCAGATTGGGGAGCAAAACTAGACCGACCAATCCATTCTCGCGAGCATCTTGATGAGACAACACAACCCCCCCCCACACACACACACGATGTAATGACTGTTCGGTGATGTATTTCCTTCTATGTAGTTAAACCCGTGCGGTCTCATGTTGGTGTAAGAGTTTTCAGCAAAATAGCAGCTCGATACCCCGTAAGCAGCATGGTGCCACATTACGATGTATCTTTCCAGTAATCGCAGCAACCCCCTCAACAAATAAAACTACCTAATACTCCCAAACTTCGGCCGCACAGCGGGCCACTGTCTTCGAAGAATTCCCTCGTACATTTCAAGCTTACCGTACCGGTATTTGGGGTTTCGGGGTTTTCATAGAAGTACGATGTGAAAAAGGATACATACACTAAAAACTGCCGAGTGTTTGAAGAAACAGACGGAGTATTGATGTTTTCAGAATCCTATACACAGGCCACAGTATAATTTTATTGTGCGTTTTTATAGACGAGTGTTTCAAATTAGAGTATAGACAAAACAAAACAAAAACACCCGTCACTCTAAAATAAGTAATCACACGTCAACGCAGTGTTTTATCTCCTACGATTTCCATCCTCTCCACACATAGGGATAGTTGGAAACTTTTCTTAAGTGCAGTTTTCGATGCACAAGTGCATTTCCTTCAGAATGATGGTATGCGAAAAATAAGGAAAGTCGCCGGCTCAATGGAGCCATTACAGGGCACGGTAACCAACATCAGAAGTGTGTCAATTACTGACACACTGTGTTTTCCGGTGACCATACCAAATTGTACAATAGGCCCGTCCACCTTAGAATACAATGGGACTCGATTTGGACTACAACACCATTTAAGGGGAAATCCCTAGCAATGATTGCTCTGATCATGCTCTGACTTTATCTGCACCAGGCATCCGACTCAATCAAAACAGGCGTCGGTTGGATTCCATCCGCAGGCGTACAGGTACCAAGATCCAAAATCTAGATAGGCCTAACATCCCACTTGCCATGGTGTCAGATTAATTGTTATTCCATAAACACAGACGAGGATGTATGGGGACGGTCCAGATCGGGTTGACTCAGCGGCTATTTTTGGTCGCCTAACTTTCTACCCGCACCGAAAAATGGCCAAACGTGTGTTTTAGTCCGCGTGTTGAACCGTGCGGTTCACGAGCGCGCTGGAACCGTTTCCGAATTCCGTGTGGAACCCGTGCACATAATGGATGCACTCAGCTCCATAAGAGAACTCTATTAACTGTTTGCTGGGTTTGGCAGAGGGAGGGGTCATGCTTCGACACATCTGCAAGTAATCACCCTATAATGCGTTTCAAATTGGCAAATTTACCGCGAAAATTCATGCATTTGTACTGACCAGGTACCAATTATTACTGACCGTTTGTGCTACATTTGTAATTGCTTTAGTGTCAAGCAAATTGGGCAGTTATAGGCATAGTTCCGCTTTTATTATTTTTTATGTTGTAAAGTATTTTGAAATTCACCGAACGAGTGCACTGCTGTGGCCTTACATTCTCTAGGAAAACTGAAGCCACTGGTTTCCCGAAATCACACAAATTTAACAAGAACTGCAACATTTATTTCACTTTCTTCTGTACACGTATTTTAGTTAAACAACATTGGCTCATTCGTCCACATGTGGCATAAATTGGAGGGGTTAGGGTCTGGGGGCCCTTTCGATTTCTAAAATGCCCCAATAGGGTTTTGTCAAACTGTCACCCCTTTGCAAAGCTGGTGCTAGGTCTTCAGGCTAAGATGAGAGTGAGGAGGAGAGAGAAGGGGACTGCCCCCTGATTCAGACGCAGCCGTTACCGCCTGAGCCAGGAGTGCGGGTCGTTTATTTCCATTTTTCCATAGAACCTATTAGAGGAACCGGGATACAGGGTGCGGCCACCTGCAGTGGAACATTCTAATGGTGTAATGGATGGTTTAATGCGGGCAGAACCCACACATACACAACTCAAAAAGAAGATATGAGCAGACCGGTGTCATTACTGTTGCTAATGTATCATTGCTAATGTACACGTATCCCCGCCAGTGATTGTAACTTGGGCGTTCCAGCGGACGCCATGTTGAATCCACACTATACCGAAATGATAATATTATCGCACCGTCTGGTTTTCCATTTGTGGTCACGTTTGACGTGAATAGATGAATGACTCATCCCTGACCGATCACCTGACGATCGGACGTATCGTTCTACGTTTCCACTTCCCAAACAGAAAGTGATAAAAATATACTTTTCCGGTTGTTCCTGTCCCTCACGGTTGGAGCTGGGCGCGCCAAATATGGCAGAGCCCTATTACCATATCACGGCCTTGACAGAACACCATGGAAAAGCGGAGTTTGGAAACAACATTCGTGTCCCTTTCTTTTCTTTCCGATGACATAATGTCTCAATGATTGGTCGTATTGACCGAATTTTTAGGTTCTGCAGGGTGCTGGTTTGGAAAGGCAAACTTGCAAACTTGAACGGCAAACTTGCAAACTGCAAGTGGTGCAGTCTCAGTCTTTGGTTGTATTGATCGAAGTTTTAGATTCTGCAGGGTTCTGGTCTGGAAAGGCTAAACTTGCACACAGGTCCCAGCACGCATGACAAAACTATCATTTCCATGAACTACAAGTTAAAACCTACACCCAATGATAATAATCATATAGGAAAAGGCATTTGAGACATTTAGGTACACTGATAAAACGTCTTAAAACTCACTGTCAAATTGAGGGCACTATTGGAAAATCAACTGCAAACGAAGCATACAGTGGATTAAACAGCCGAATACCCATATACACCCCTTGTGACTGCTGGTTGCTGAACCCCTCCCATCGCCACAGAGAGACTCCCCACCCTCCCTTCCTTCTGAGACACCGTCACCAAGTATGAAGGCGGGCTGTATGCTTTATTTTGACGGTTCCATTCCATTGTCTACTCCCACGAGACAGGAAGTGTAGTTTGGTCGCAACCCCATTGCACTAATTTGGCGTTTGGAGGATAGGAGCCGTTGCGTCATTTCGAGACGTGGACGGTAATGTTTCATATCTTGATTTTTTCTGCCAGAAGTAATGCGACGATGAAGCACGCGAAATAGGATTTGTGGCTGCTTCGTTGGGCACAGATCTAGTCTATCCAAAACGAAAGGGAAAACAAACGTTGATGAATGGGTGGCGTTTTATTTGACTTTGTAAAGAAAAGACATCAATCTACCATCCCTTTCATGTGCACAAAATCAAGCTGAGGAAACAAGAGCTGACCAAACTCACCATCCGATGGACAGGCCATAATAAAAGGGCCCGAGGAAAGCTAGCGAAACGCTCGGCGACCCGAGTCGAAAACGCGAAAGTAGGGCGTCTTCGCCTTCAGCAGAACATCGGGGCAAACTGTACCGATCACACTGATGTGCCATACGATAATAAGTGCTTCAAAATTACTTTGAAACAGACTCTTTATACAACAAAAAACGCTGGGTCTTGTTTTTGTACTAGTAATGCAGTTCGTGTACATGTCAACAGATATACGAGTACCAACCAGGTAGCTTATGACGGTCAATATATTGCGCGTATGTACCATAAACCTCGGAATTTACTAGGGATTTATGGATACAAACAACCGACAAACTTGCTAACCGCGGCCCCGAAGTTCGTAAGCCGTCTCTTTCTCCTGGCTACTTGATTTGGCCACCCCTAATGCCGCCACAGGTCGATTTGGTACATGCTGCTGAGGAGGGTCGACCGTGCTTTCGAGACCCAAGCCAAGCAAGACCAGCGGCGAGCGAGACCAGAGGCACGGGTAAAAGTTCAAATTACTTGCACTTGGGATTTGTCGTCTGTTTTGACAGCAATTTCTGTGTCCACTGGGCGTGGCTCTCTTTGTTGGCAAATAAACCGAGAAGCCACCGACTCAGAAGGGACAAAGGAGAGTGGAAGTTTATATCAGTAATTTTTGGTTAATTTCATTCATAATTTATTGTTAACAGGATGGATTGGCGGGTGTCACTTTACAAGAGGAGAAATGGGTATCAAAAACTTGGCGCACATATCAACCGATACAGGTGCTCAAGGCGCCACATCATTGGGACACTTTCCAAGATATTGTTAAATAAAATGTTGAGATTAAATTCTGATCGATGAAAAAATATCCATCGTTGGATTCACAGCTGACTCTTAAATCCTGTCTCCAGCTTCCATTGGTTTGCTGTATCCCATGCATCCTTGACTATTGTTTCCTTTCTCATCATGCCTTCCCAAGACAGAGTTTTGTACCGCAAGACAGCACACAGACAGCCGTTCACATGCCCGTCTGATGCCGCGACTCACCCGCGCCAAACACAGCAGCCAAGTTCACCACTGCCGAACTCCCTTACGGGGTTATATTCGCAGAAAAAAGGGCGATTTTTTAAAATATAGCTATACTCCCTGACCGCACACATACATACTTTCATCAATATTATCATTCCCTGATTACGGAACACACCTTCACAAACAAGACAAGGATATCGAGCTAATCCACCTTGGTCGGGGCCAAATTATGTCTCGTAAATTCATTTACGGTAAGGTAATCCGTGCTAATTTCTACCCTGCCAATCGGCGGGTGATTACTAAATCCTTAAATCCTCGTCTAATTTGGCCCAGCCCGGCAAAGGTCCACTTTGAAACTCCTGGGACCGTTATAAAAAGCGTGGTGACGCATTTTCTTGGCTGTCGCTCCGTTGGGGGGCGAACGAGGTGTGGCGGGCAATGGGGGTAAAAGACGAAGAGGGGGGCTCCCGTGTGAAAGTACATTCGCTGGGCGTTCACGTTTCAACTTCAGTGTCAAGAAGTCAGACAGATTTCTGGGATGATATAGGTGTCGCCTCCAGTTTTTTGAAATTAGCCAGTCTCTCGGCGGGAAACGGGAATTCAGGCAGTTTTGTGGGTCTGATGAGAGTTGAGCCCGCGTTCTGAGGGGGGAAGGTTTAACAGAATCAGATTGCCAAATCCCTGGCGTTGGTTCAAAGGGCGGTTTGTTCATAGGGTGTGAATAATGTATTTGGTAACCATGTCCTTGCTAATTTCAAAGGGTGTCCGTTTTCTGGGTCCATTTCACCCATTAATACAAATCGAATTTCAAGAAGTCAAAATACGATAAAAAAAAATATGATAGTCGACATTCCAAATGGTTCTGAGGGGGGCTTTAGCATGCATGGCTCGGGCCAAAACTTGACATTCGATAAAATAGGGTTTTGTTCAGGTTAAAAAGATGCGGCACACTTACGGGTTTGGAAAAGGCAGGGCAAACCGCCAACTTTTTTTTAAGTATACGAGCCTATTAATTTCAGGGAAAAACCTAGCCGCCAGTTTTACACAACAAAACTCCGACAAATTAAGAAATAAAGACCTTTATTTAAGAAAACTGCATGTACCTGCAGGTGTTTCATGCTAAAAGCAATGAACCAGTCGAGGATGCACGTTTTCAAGTTGTGGGCATGGCCAGCGTCGATAGCGCTCAACGAAACCAACGAAGGCACTCGGGGCACACCACGCATTCTTGATTGCGCCACACAAAGAAGCGACTGGCAAGAAATTGATTGGCGACACTCAACGGCGCCAATCCTCATCGCTTTGAGGTCATTATGACTTCATCTCCCTCAACTTTGAGGGGGGGGGGAATGATCAAATATAGCAACGTTACGGACTGGGGAAGTTGTCATAAAGCGGTCCCACGGCTGACCGATTTTTTTAAATGTTCTTTCCGTGGGTAAACGAGTAACTGTGCACTTTTTTTTCTTTTCTGGATTGCGGAACCTTGGAAATGAACTCTGGAAACATTGTCCATAAGGCAATCATGCCACGACCGAAAAAGAACAAGGAAGTGATATTCACGACCTCATCAGAATCTCACTCATGATGAAATTGGCAGATGTTTTTTATACAAACAGGTTTGGGCGGAAAACGACACTGTAAATATTTCCGACCGAGAATTACAGAGTTTGAGACGACAACCTCAGCCCAACTACTCACCACTATCCGTCATATTTTGACGACAGTCTGCCTTGAGAGAGGTTGCATGCCTCCGGTCGAGTTCCATTTTCTTTTTTTAACGCGATCGAAAAATTTAGTTTTTATACATATATTAGTACTGGAACAAGAGGGTGTAAAGAGATGAATAACTTGATGAAAGATGACTCAACTAACACAAAGCTGTTAATAGAGAGTTGTAACATAAAGAATCTCAATTGTTGGGAACCAAAATGGTTGATTAAGCGTCTGTGCACATCGACAATTAGCACACAATAGCTGCATGCTGTACAGCACACAAAGTGAACAGCCATTTCAGTTCCAATTTCGATTCATGACCATTGTATCAACCACTTGTCGATTTTGCTCAGCAGTCTCATGAAAGCGGGCCCCATAGGCCCAGGCTCAAGTTTTCAGAGGGGTGTTAAAAATACCCCACCCATTGGAAATCTGCAGCACCCCCCACCCCTGGTTGGTGAGAGAAGATCAAATATCGTCTTCCCTCCTAGTACTAGTGTTTGCTTATCCTGGCGGAATACAGTAATACTCACCATGTTTTAATCATCCTGTGGCACTCATGCAGAGTCCTATAATTACATTCACCAACATACAGGTACTGACAGACAGGTTACGGGCCGGTCTGCCATTTCCCAAATCCTCACTCCGTCGTTTGTCTCAGTTTGCCTATGCCGATCTCTATCACTTGTTTGCTCTTCCCCTCCCTAAACACCTAAAATAAGCCCCCACAGGAAAAAAATAGGGAGGGGAGAAAAATAAGAAGAGAGTGTACAAAAAAGTTCAAGCTGACTCATGTTGAGGTCGGCCACATTGGCTTTTGGGGGGATAGGTCGCCCTCTTTGGAGTGGGAGGCAAATGCCTTGTGTTGGGGGCCCACCTTGATGATGTCCCTACGGAGGTGAAAGCATCTTCAGGGTGGAATGGGTTAGGTAACCGCTGACAGCAGACAAGGTGGCAGCAATCAGGGTGTATGTGCATGTGTGTTTATGGAGGGGGGACTGGCACCCTACCAGAGAGCCAAATTGTACTTCTCCTCTGCCCCCTCCCAAGGGAACCCTTGGCGTGAGTACTCAGGCCGAGGATGAGGGGCCTCGGCCCGAACAGCTCAAGGGAGGGGGGAAAGTGCACAAGCAAGGGGGCTGGGGGAGGGGATGGCCTCTCCGTGATCAGATGCAGATGGGGATAATAGGAAACAGGCAGGAAGGAAGAACCACTTCAGGAATTCCCTTCGCTGCGCTCTGCTGCCGGTCAGACCCTGCTGATTAAAGGATTAAGGGCAATTAAAGAGAAGTGCAGGTTACCTGAGCTAGTCGGGGGCTGTTTTAGGTACATCAGTAATCAGCACAATTTAAATGGACGATAGGGTGACCCGCCCAAACCACTTCAATGCATCTTTAAATAGACCCTGTCCTTGCATCCTTTAGTTCATGCCAACTCTCAACTTTTGGGTTTTTCCTGAGCAAAGGTATTTTAGCATGCCAAGCTGATTCAAGTGCATCAAGGATTCAAACACGGCGGTGTGGAGAACCTAAGATTTTCAAAAATGTCAAATTCCATGGGTAATTTGATCCAAATATATTGCACAATAACAACTCTTTTGAGGAGAAAAACACCTCCAATCAACTGACAGAAGCAAATCCATTTAAACAAAATTATTTACTTCACTGTTTTCTGTCTGGCAATTTGTATGGAAACCTATTTGTTGATACCTGATACTTGTAATAAATAAGAATAAATACTTATATTAAATAAAAAAGACTTTTTTTAAAGACCAGCTTGGTATATTGCAATAAAGGGATTTAAGTAGTCTTTTATGGGAAGCACGACTGGGAGAACGTTTTTGTGGGAAAGTGAATGAGTGGTACCAAGGGGCACCTTGAATTTTGTGATGTCGCCATGAGTTTCAAAGATTGCATGGAACCCCACCTTCCCCAATTAGCATAAATCAAAGGATATACCTTCACCCTTTCAAGACGATTTCAAGGACCCTCAGGGTGCATCCACGTAAAAAAGTCCAGAATGTGTTCACCAAGCTCATTAATAAAAGTTATAGACTCAAAAAATTCTCTATTAGAGGGTCCTGAGAGCCATGGAACTGGGGAATTGAAGAAATATGGCACTGAACCTCTGGCCCGGACTCTGGGCTTCCGATTCTGAGCAATTTAGATGCAATCAGGTTCGAAAGTGGCACTATTTTAGCCATTTTGCAAAGGGATGCATTTTCAAATGGCCACTTTCCGGGCTGTGAAATTTCCTTCATTTTAGGGGTGGTCTGCTTTGGGTGAGAATTTCTCAAAAATTCATTGGTCAACCCCCTAAAAATTGAACGGAAAATGAAAGAGGGCATGTCGAACATCGTTTATCTGTGCTGTGCAGCCTGAACACCTGTGAGAATTGTATTTTTGAAATATTTGTGAAGTATGGGGATTTATCACTGCTGTCAATGGGAATTGACTTGTTGCGGTGCACCCCTCAGCTACACGAACTGGCCCTCTGCCTGCTTACCCGTCCACCACCGATTAAAAAAAAGAATGCTATAATTCACTGTCAAATGCAATTCACAACACCCACTTATCTATAATCCCACCTGTGACTAGGAGCGGGGCACAGACTCTGATTCCAGACCACCATTTACCAGACCTATATTTCATTAATCAGACATCAACAATTTGTGCACACTGTTGGGCTTAACACACTGAATGCCAGATGATTTTTGTTATCACTTTTTGAGAGGAAGTTGCACTGGCTGCAGTCTTTTGTTTTTAGGGACACAGAGTAACATATGTGTCAGTATGGTGTGGAATAGGAGCTATGGGCTGTGCCAGCAGATTAATAAAAGAGGGCCTTGGATTTCCGGGAGAGTGTGCCCAAGGGTTCTCATTCACACGCCCAATTTTTCTAAGAAATTGTTCTGGGGGTGCTGGGGACAGATGCAGCCACCGAGCTGGGATACAACAGCCTCCGAGGGGAACTAGGACCCATCTCATTTTGTGCTTCTCAGTCATGAAACCCATCTGGTGTACGGCAAATTGTTGAACAACTTAGACCAAAGTGTTGCAATGTTGCCTTGCTGGTTCCAATTTTTCAAGCATCATTTGGTGTCTCACGATAGTTGTGGAGTAGCTTCAGCTAGGCCAAGCTTAGCACCCAGAATGAATGAAAATGCTGGGGTCCAAAAGCCATCTGATTACCTGTAAAGATTCCTCCTCTATGAGCTCATGAGGGGACGAATCAGTCATACTTATCCCAGTGGATTTTCTATGAATCTACGGAGATGACAGGATTTGGCAACTTAAAAGGAGAAACAGTCATTCCTGTCTCCAGATTTGTTTTAACATTCCAGGATATGAGAATTGAAAGTGCCACCCCCAAAAAGTATTCCAAGATTTACAAGTAGTGATTTCTGGTAACACCCCCTCCCCAACTTCTTCAAGGGAGTGACGGACCGAAGTAAAGCTAATCTTTACCTTCCAACCAAACACTTTCTGAATCCCTCAGTCTCAACAACGGTTAGATAAGAATCTAACACATAGCAACACAAAAGGATTTTCTGACTTTAGCTGCTTCCTAGCTTCAGTTAACTTCCATGTTCAACAACAAAAAAAGGTTAAGTAAGATTTGAAGCTTTGCATGGGGGAAGTTACATGAGCTGTAGGTTTGCTGGTACACCATGGAATCAATCGCCTCAGAAGAGGTGTGGTACATGTACTTAGAAGAACCAGAGACTATGAACTCACCGATTGCCCTATTGTGAATGCAAAGAAAAAAATGGCTTGTCCCTTGTGAAACTACAGTACAAATGACCTACAATTACTCACTGTATTGAAATTGGGATTGATACCTTCCAACCCGTTTAGCATAATGTTCATGTGCCTCCAACACTAATACTAACGATACAACCACCTCTTGTTTATATGTCTGCAGAGAGTGGAAGACAACAACTCAAGTCTGTTCCTGACCCCACCACTAAGGAAATAATTGGAAGACTTTAATCCCTTTAATCCAAAGATTCTAATCAGTACTTTTAGAGGTCTTTCAGTGCACACTCAAACATGTTTGATGTTCCCTTCTCCGATCTGGTAAGCTATTCCAGTCACCCTGAGCTAACCAAAGTACCCTCATATCCGGTCCCCCTCTCTCAATTCCTCAAACTCCCCCTCCATACCCCCTCCAAGTCCTGTTCCTATCTTCTCATTGGTTTTCACGTAATCCCCGCTGACACTGGCTCATTATGGATATCCAAAAGTTGTGGAGGAACAGAAAAATTTGTCTCCTGCTTTTACGTGGTCTCCCAAGGGATGAGTGCAACAGGTGGATTGTGAAAGGGGGGGCGGTGTTGCCCACTCTGTTTGTGAAGGGGGGGGTGCAAGAAAGGTTTGACGTGACCTTTTCGCTGACATGATCCCTTGGGGAAGGGGGTCTTACCTGAGATTGTGAGGTGATGAAGAGGTCCGCTTGGAGCTGTAATTGTACGGTTCCCCTATCTGATGGCCCGTCGCAGGTGGTTTAATGAGTGTCTTTGCAAATCATTCTGCTGAGAGTAGAACAGGCTGATTAGTTTGATCTGCTTGTAAAGCACAAGGATACATGTAATTGTGAGGGTAAAGAGGGACACTGGGTGGAAGAAGACTGCAAAAGAGCTAGTTTCAATTACATGGGAACCAATTTTACTCAAACAAGGTTACTGGGGCAGTAACCTCCCATTCTACCGATCAGACTAGAACAGTTCTTGCATCATTTATACCAGACCACTTTCTGATGTGCAATTTTAAAGATCCTCCACCTGAATGTCAGCACATGACTTGGTTGACTTTGGCGGATTTCATCTCATGATCCGATGGTTCCTGTGCATGCACTCCCTACAACATGCACAATACATGTACCCTGACTGTACATGTACTGCACACAAAGAAACAATTAATTTCCACGTTCATGTAAAAGGAATGCAGACATAACGTCACATACTAGTGTCATCAGCTGGCACCTTCTCCATAGCTACTCACCTACATTGTTATGCAAATGATGTTAGTTTAATGAGCATAAGTAATTACACAATAGACAAACTAGCCTCCATGTACACAATTTTTTTACCTTAAAGAAAGCCAACGTTGTTGACCACCATTACAATAGTAACACGTCTTCACTGAGTTACTGTGTAACCGGCAAGACAAGATGGTACACTGTCCAATGACAAATGAAGATTCAAAATACACCACTTTGTTTTTGTACAAAGTCTACAGAGCATGAGTGAAACTTGAACACACTAGTCAATCTAAAATACTGCAAAAGGACAGACGCATCATCTCCACCCCACACTCCCAGATAAGAGCAAATACACACAATTCTTAGGCCTTTCCGTATTTCTTAATCATACGTCAAAGCCATTCTCTATTCAGTGTTGTCTTCCTGCTTATGTTTCTGTCAGTCAGTCTCAACCTGAAGTCCCTCTGCTAGTCCTGTCGGGCAAAAACTTGACCAGCTCCAACCGCTAACCTTTCACCTCCGTTCCTCTCTGACCCACCACAATCGCTCAACCAGACTCTGCTGACCAACTTAATGCGCCAAACTATCTGTTCTACATGACTAGACGGGAACATAAAGCTTAGGCCAAATTGCAATGGGGAACAGGTGAAGAGGGATTATTCATCTTCAGTTGTAAAGTAAGGGTAATGAGAGGGATGATTCGACACAAAAATCTCCTGAACTGCGCCTTGTTTCCAATTTCTGGCCTTCCAGATTGACACTTGATCACAGGTGATACTCTGAGCTCCGTTGTAGGGGGGGAACAAGGGGACCAACAACAATGACGGTGTTCCTCCCCCATCTCGTACTACAGGGGGCCCAGTTGTATGCATGGCCTTACCCAAAGAAAAAAAGGAAAGAGCGAGGGGGGATTGCGTGCAAACGCGACCCCTGTGGGATTTCGGTGCTAGGTGAGCAGGAAATATTGCATCAAGGTTGACTTGTGGAAGTCGCTGAGGCCCCGTCCGGTGAATGAAAGTGACAGAAGATCGTTGACAGGTGTTGGTGCGTCACCCTGGAGCCATGGCACGCATGTACCCAACTCCCGCTTCACAATATCCCGGTCTGCGTCTCCTCAATGACAAATCTCTGTCTTTCTCCTTTCTCCGGTCTTCCAGCTCCCATCTAAGTATTTAAGTCCCCTCTGTCTGGTCTTTTCCTGTTCTCATGAACTGTTCATTTGGCTGCCCCCACAAAACACAGCACATTAGGGATCTAGTCCTTCAAGATGTTTTGGTTAAAGATGGCATGTCTTAGTCACGTACAAATTAGATCCTTCAATTTATTGAAGGTTATTTTGGGATGATGTTCAATTGTCTGTAGATAAGGTTTTGGAGGTGAAGTTCAGGCATGAAACAATAATTTACTGATATTTGTGTGGTAAAATCCTGACCAGTGAATCTTTTGTCACCTGGTCTCATTCCAAGCCACAAGCTTTTCAACTGAATTGTCAGTTATTCATCCCCTTTTTTGTGATTTGACTTGTGGACTATGACTGCAACTCTGCTTCTACTACAGACGTTAAAAAACTCCTCTGAAAAGAACTGTATCAGACTTTGTGTAAGGCCTGGTTGTTCAATTTGCATGAGCGCACATGTGAAGAAGAAAATAAATACAAAAGGAAAAGGGAATCTAGAGCTTATCTGTCTGTTTGCCAATAGAACAGAAGGCTTTTTCGCATTAATTTGTTAGTTTGAAGAACCCAATCTGCTGCAAAATCCTGATGGTGTAATTATTTCATCACGACCATTCAGGTCCAAGGTTTCAATCCAATCAGGCATGCACTTCAGGAAATAACATGCTTAAAGAGTGTATGTACAATGTAATTTGACTCATCTGATGACGTCATCATAACATCAGGTAAATTTTCGTCTAGAGCACTTGATTTGTTTGTTATCTGCAAAGTTGCGACTCGATGGGATATACTTCAGGAGATATAGGGCCTTTAAACAGTGCACCTTTAATGTCATGTAACTTGTCACCTATATGGCGTCATCATCACATGAGGTCAATAATCGTTTAAATCATATCCCTTTCAAGATATCTGCAAGGTCTGAACCCAATTGGAAATGTACTTCATATAAGTTTTACAAGTGGACATTTAATGCCATGTGACTTGTCATTTGATGACATCATCATCACATGAGGTCCATATTTGCCTAAAGCACTTCCTTTCCAAGATATCAGCAAGGTTTCAACCCAATCAGACCTGCACTTTAGGAGACATAGTACTTTAAAGTACGCACCTTTAATATCATGTGAGTTGTCTGCTGATGACATTGTCATCACAAGAGGTCAATTTCCATTTATAAACCTTCCCTTCCTAACTATCTGCAAGGTTTCAACCAAATCAGACATGTACAATACAAAATACAATACAAAACATTATTGTTATTACGGAAAGAGCACAGATTAGAGATTTTAAACACTTGTCCCTTTTGGCGTTCCATACAATGCGATCTGCTCTGAGCAACATGTGCTTGGCATTTTGCCAGCTCCTAAGTATATGCCCTGCGCACTGTGCGCTGCCTATGTTACAGGCAGATATTGTGCGTCCACACAGACATTAGCCAATGCACAGTATGCGAATGGGACTTTCGAGTTCGCAAATATTAATTGTAAGGGGTTTTTTGTTGTCTGCGGTTCATCTGTGTGAAGAAGTACACCACTTATGCACTTCATGCAGTTGACTTCAATATTTTAGCTATCATATAATGGACAATTCATGCTTAACTCTGTTATGGTTGATTTTTTACCAAATTTTGAAGAATAAAAGAATTTTTTTTATAACTTCCAGTATGACAGCATTGGCCCAAAATTTCACAAGTTAATTGGGTAAAGATTATCATCCACATGAAATTTCAGGCGATTCGGACAAACTTCGCCACAGACATTTATTCAAACTTCCTTTTCCAGAATTTTAACCTGTCGCTAGAGGGCGCTCGACAATAAACGTCATCAGTAGATGGTTCGAAGAATACTATATCCCAACGAGTAACACCGCTGAAAACAAACTGATACCTATAACCACTTTTAAACAATAAGCTCACTTCTGGTTTCAACCGCAAGGAGGGTCATGTGATTTGACCGATAGGAGATGAATTGAAGACCAAATTATACTCTGCCACTTGATGCAAACAGAATGTTGTGGGAGGCCACAGTTGATTTTATTTGGATTTTTAAAAATTTAACATAATATTTAAATTTTCAAAATTTCATATTAAATCACTCGATGATGTTATCATGATGTCATTATTTTAGTGTTATCTTTGCTTTATGGTCTTTGCTGGCTGCAACTTTGAGGATAACTGAAGATCACCGAATTACCAAAACATTGCCTTGAAAACGTGTACAAAGTCAATGGGCTGCAATAAATACTAAAAAAATCAATAAAAAATTACTGCATGATGTCATTGTTCTATGCACATCTTTGCACTAAGGTCCTTCAGTGAAGTAAGTTTCATGAGGATAAAAACTTGCAAAGGGACCAATGTCGATGGCGGAAAAACGTATACAAAACAAAGGAAGTTTTGGTCAGAAGAAAAAAAAAGAAAAAAAAGGAATACATTTTTCACAAAATTGCGAAAAAGCCAACCAGGTAATTTAGGGAAAGGCCGCATACCTCTGTACAACCTTTATGCTGTTCTTGAACTGCGTTTAATTATTTTTTGATAGTAACTGTTCTTTGTTTACTTCACATAGAGGGGTCTCCACTTGACAAGCTCTTGCTTCTCGGAGACCTCCATCCATACATAATTTTATATGTTGAATAATTTAATCTGTCCAGCAGTGTGTAAGTAAAAAAAAAGATTTGAAGTGAAGTAAACCTTATCTGTGTTGTACGTTTCAGAGGTGGAATAAGAAAAAAGATACAAATTCTACAAGACAGGGGGAGAAATCATTTCTCTCTGCTTCTGTCTTTGTGTGAAACATGAACAAGGATATTACTTTCAAAACAAAGAAAAATAAAATCCTTACTAAAGCACACATAACACAGGCAAAAGGACTAAATCTTAAACAGCCCCTCAAAGCCTAACTTAGCATCAAAGACCTTCTTCTCGAAATGTACAATGAGGCCACCCCTCAGTCAAATAGCACGGAAATAAACTTGCACAGAAGCTGGGCTTCACGTGCTGCATTTCAGTCCACCAACTGAAAAATCAAAGTTCAGTTTCGAACAGTTCCAAAATTAGTTTATCAAATTGCAGCATCCGTCGGATGCATATGGATACGGACTGCTTGTGCAAACGGCAGGGGAAAACATTCTTGTCATGTTCTCCCCTTAGTTATGTGAGTTGTCAGCAGCAAGCCCCTGTAAGTGTCGGTGTTTCTGCATAGCACGTCATGATAAGTTGTGGAGGAAAACACAAGGAAATTCTGTGGGTGGGAAAAGAAGACAAACTTAGCAAGATCTGGTTCCAACTCCGGGCTGCCAGACAAGCCATTAGAGAGCCAGACAGAGTGATGACAGTCCGAATTTTGTGCCCTTTTTTCCAGTAAAGTGCAGCGCTATGTGGGTTACTTTGATTCTGTTGCCACGGCTACAACAGATATGGCTGCAAACACAATGAAGTTAAGTTTCTGAGTGATGGTAAAGTGAAACAAAGCGCCTTTAGACACAAAGAGAAAATAAAAACCTTGTAAAATGAAAATGAGCTTCAACATGGGGATGTCAGTGACTTTTTTGCAGCTACATGTATCAAGCTTGCCATTATTAACATATGCCCGAGGAAAATATAAAGAAAGAAAATTCCAATATGCAAATGGATGTACGAAGAAATAATACATCCATACATTACAAGTTTGAGCAAAAAGCTTGTTGGCTTTTATGCAAGTGGGGATCTACAGTGATTCAAAACTGAATCAGTGTATGAAACAAAAGAAACTTACAGAATCAACGACAACAAAAAAAAAGAGAAAAATCAAACCTCCTTGCAAGATAAAAGGGAACATTCTGCAATCAGGCAAACATTGAACACAAATGCATGAACATAAAGGCTGTCATTTAAGTGGGCTGGAAGGTGGCTCACAGGAAGGGTGGACCCACGGCTTACGAAGGCCTGCTGTTGAGGCCCCCCGCAGACAGATCAAGACAAGATCAATGCATCGCCCAAACACCTGGGCTTGCGACCCCGATACAGAAAGGCTCCTCAGACACGCACCGCATCCCCCCCTGCAACCCATCACTTCTCGTTCAATCAATACTCTCCTTGTAGCAGGTGAAGTGGGAGGGGGGGATAGAGATACGCAAGTGGGAGGAATAAAAAGAACGATGGAATGGCGAGAAAATAAATGCAGGCACGCATGGAGAAAAACAGACCATTTCTCCAACCCCCCCCCAAAAAAAAGAAAAAAAGGATGATGGGCAAACACTGCTCAGATCTAGAGGCAACTGGATGTTGAGATCTATAATGCACCGCCCAGACACCTGTGAGCAGTGACGCTCAATAGGACAGGTCTCGAGACGTGTTTCCCCCGTTCTCCTAAAATTCCCATCACTTCTCGACAAATCAATAACAAGCCTCAGAGTTATCTTCACAGGTCACTAATGATTTTTTTTTTCCCCCGTTTGGAGAGGCGAGGCAAGATGGACTGGATAGAACAGGTACTCAGGGTATAACAGAGAAGGTCCTTTACCTTGCTGCACGATCTTCTTGGTACATCAACTGCTGCATACACCACAAATGAGCTTCTCTAAGGCTGCATCCGAATCTCGTGTCTAGAGCTAGGTCTAGGTCTTCACTCCATTGGAAATGCATGGAGACGCGTAGACAATAGACCTAGCCATAGCTCTGGAAACCCGTTTCCGACACGGCCTAAGTTAAATATATCAAGGTCATCTCAATTGAATTGTTACTTTAAAATCGTGTAATTTCAAAACGGGTTCCTTTCTGACATCAGTCATCTTTCGATAATGGGACGGCAAGTGCATGTGTGTATTGAAGTCAGTTGGCGTGCGAATATCCAATGTGCGGTGAAACACCACCAATTTCACACCAATACGTACTAGACAAGATCACTGCATTCACCGCACTTTGTACAGACTTGCCCTTGAATGTATTTGCTGACTATCATGCCTTCCACTAGAATGATATGGGGGGGGTGAGTCTTAGGAGTGGGGGTTGGATGTGGGAATGCTGAAGTTGACATCGTAGCTTTCTGATGCCTTAAAACACTGCCACTGTTCACGTAACAAATTTTGCATCATTTCTCAGTAGTTTATCAACTTAACATTATCCAAAAATTAAAGAGTGACTAACATAATTCCTGTTATTGGTGGTATTTCTGCTGTTGAATGTGAATAATAAATAAAAATCACATAAATGTGTTCTCTCCTCCTTTGATCCATTTTTGCTTGTTTGCAGAAACATGTGGACTTTCCCGGTCCCCTCCCCCAGTGGCAGATCCAGGGGGCAATTGGGGAGAATGGCAATTCACTTCTCTTCCTTCCAAGTGTGTAAAAGACCCCCAACATTTAGCCTCATCCCTGAAAACAGCCATGAAAGGTTACTTTAAGAAATATCCAAAACAAAATTGGGTTTAGGATCCACCCTCCAACCAAAGCAGAGGGGTTAAGCTTTCTTCTCTCCTAGTCCAGCAAATGTTGCAGTTAACTTGTTGTGAGAAACTACAAAAAGAGAGACAGGCAATTAATATAAACTATGTCCTATGCAAAGATTCCTCAGTGAGGGAGAAACCTGACAGGTGACAGCCCTATTATAAGTCCAAATGCTAATAACAAGGTGTTTGTTCACAACATGTCACTCCAGTGTGGATTTTCTATGTCATCAGTTTGATTACCAGCCCGGTGTACTGTGGACATGTTTGGAAAGTTAAACCTAACCAGTCCTGAGCAAGTTGAATGTATCTAGATTTGTTCTGCCTCCTCTTCCTCCTTTGGAAGGAAATAAAATGAGATCTCCACCCTAAAATGGCTGGCTTAAATTGACCTTCATGACCAGAAGGTCAGCTGACCTTTCCTCAGAATGAGGTCAAGAAAGAAAGGTTTTGTAATGCAGGCCAAATAACTGGAGCTGCCAAGCTTTGGCCTTGTCCTGGCAGTTTGTGGTTGCTGGTCAGTATAAACAGGCCCAAAATTGCCTGCACTGACTAAATCATGATTTACTAACTGTCAAATTCAGGCCTAGTATTAGGGCACTTTGTGGCAGGTGCCAATGGACTGAGTTGGTTTGTCAAAGGAGAAATGAGAGCTTTCAGCAGGACCCAGTGCTAGATTGTTGGACAAAATGGAGCTCTTCAAACTGCTCTGTTTAGCAGTGGAGTGTGGGCTCTGTGACTGTTTTTAGGGGTGATTATCTTTGGATAGAAATAGCTTTAAAGGTTTAAAGGTTGAACCACTAAAACTTGAAAAGAAAATGAAAGATAAAGCCCCATAAAAGTCTCTGATTTCTGATCAGGAGCTGGTTCCAAACATGGTGCAGCGGTGTGGCTTTTTTTTCACCCTTTTTTTTTTTAAATGATGTACAGTAACAGGCGATGTCCATTCCAACTGCATGTGCACGTAACTCCGGCTGCTGCCAACACTAATTGGACTGACCCCTGCACTTTCACTGTTTAAAAGCTTTTTCAGCTTGTACATAGGACATGAGATCACCTTGTTTGTCTGGTTCCCAAACGTAAATGTATAATACAGAAATGATGTCATCTGAAAAAAGAGGGCCCGACTAAGTGTATGGGGAACTACAGGGACTCCTTTACTGTACATATTACTCAACCGTTCCCCATCAAAAACATGTTAAAATTATGCAGTAGCAGGATTCCAGCTGATTAAGCAAGTTTGGCAGCTTTTGTGCATTGTTTTATACAAAACTGTTTTATTTTGCTGATGCGCAGGTCTATAGCAACGCGCAAGGTGACCACAAACCAGAAACTTTGGGGGGGGGCCTAAGGAAATGAGTTTAATTTGATATTTGTGTCTTCAACACCAGACAAACTTGTATTTTTCCCTATCTGTTTTAAGTGAGGATATTGATCACTCTTGTCCACCGGGCAGCTTATTTACTGGTCTGCAATCGTGTGGCAGTCAGAGGCACTGCATGGCTAGCCACAATGGCTTCCAATGATGGTACAATGCAGCATGCAACTTGGCCACTCACATGTACCTGCAGCTGGAAATCATGACACAGGTGTCCATGGGAGATTCTGAAGGCTAGCAAGCAGTTTCATGATTATATAGCCAAGTTATACATTCAGAGGCAGCCATTGCTCAAGCACGGGTCTAGCAGTTGCAGCCCCAAGTTCAAGAAGCGGCCAGGTTTATACGTGCATGTGGGAGGTAAAGGGGGGACATGAGGCCTGTAGTGGTTATGGGTTACAAATCCAGCAGGTGGTCAAGGAAATGTTGGGGCCTTGAGCACGTCACTTTACCCCTATGCACTTTGCCCCTCTACACACTGAACTACAAATGTCCCTGTCAGAGGCTCAATGGATGTGCATTGATATCTCCGACTGTATTTGGCTCTCATTGTGTCCTAATGAACAAGTACATAACTTCTCAAGTGAAATTTGAGATTGTCTGTATGATGGTAAGTGCTATGTAAGGATTGCAATTACGAAATCAGTGATGTTTTAACAGAGGCAAAGATACACCAAGTTGAAACACCAGTCTCAAAATACTTCTTCACGTCTAATGTACCCCAATTCGGTAAACACACCAACCTCTTTCAGAAAAAAAACACAGCACATAAAGGAACGGTATGTCTCTCCTTCAGTAAGGCTTTGACATATAGCCTGCCACAATAATGCCTCCCCCCCTCCCATCTCTCGCCCAACAAATTATCACCCTACGAGCCAATTTACACCTCCAGTAGTCCTGCCTAACCACACATCTCCCCCTCCCCCTTCCAGCCAATCTAAAAATATACCTTTAGCCAATGCTTGGGGCAGAGGGTATGGTGTACGTACGCTCTTGAAGGGCGCACATTACAGTGGGCAGACCGGTTCCATCACCGCGACACATCTGCGGATTTCTGCCTTTAATCCCTCCACATCAGAGCTCAACTTTGCTTCGCTGGGACTGAATGTCAACACGGTAAATGATCACCTTCCTGTGGACATAAAACACAGATAAGGAAAATGAACAGGATGGAACATGGCTTTGTGTTGCAGATCGATACAAAATGTTCCATATATGGGATGACACATTTGAGCTTAAGTCAGTGTCTGGACAAGTTTTGTTTGCTCGACATTGTTCCTTCCTTAACCTAAAGCACAAATACACTATGTCTACCTCCAACTTGAAGTGAAGTTTTTTAGTTTCTGTAGAAGCCCCTTTTTTTACCCCTTCCTCACCTGGAATGATCATTATATGTAAATAGGGCCCTGTGATGGTCAACTTCTATTTAAAACAAGGCACACTGAGAACAGTAGCTATGTGTTTAATATCTCCATGCTGAGAATAATAAGGACCTATCCTTTGATACTATGCTATGACAATACCCCTCAGGGTGCCATGCTTAACAGTAACCTATATGTAGTTACTCAAAATGAACCTTTGCCGCCATCTGATAAAGCACAGATTTTGCCTTGAAATCAAAGAGCTGCTCTATTCATCAACAAGGAACAAGTTTACGAGTAGCTGTGAATTGGCAACTACAAAGGTATATATACACATATACTTTGTCAACACTTTGCTTTTTAAAATTCTCAGCATGTTGGCCTGATTTCTGCTGGGGGCAGCATGGAATGCAGATACACTGTGTGACCAATCACTCATCACTGTGTGTTGCATCTGTAGTATCTTTGTAATGATAACGTTGCATATGCCCCCAAAGAGGAACATAACGTTCTAAACAAGGAAAAAGCAGAGCTTTGGGCAATCTTTGAATTTAAAGAGTGGCAGTCCCTCAATGTCTGCCAAATTGCTTAAAACCAGTGCAGTACTGCTGCAGCTGTCACTCAGGTTGGATCTCTACTGTGACACTGCACAGTGTCTGCACAATGTCTGCTCTCCCAGCACCAATCTCAGCTATGCAGCGTTTACACAGGCTTCATAGCTGGGAACCTTGTCTCTTAGTAAAGTACTGGTCCTGCTGATTCTACAACTGTGAATCAATGGACCCTACTTACTAGAGTGTAGGCCTAAACTGTGCTGCTCAACCAAGTGAGTGACACACATGCAAGAGGGCTGCATGGGATTGAAAACTCACAGGTCTTGTTCAGCCATCAAACACACATCCATACACTATTCTAGAGGTTCCAGTTTTAAATCTGACTCCTGTCAATTTTCCTGATCATCTTGGCACTGATACCAGTTTCATTTAGAATCCTTTGATAGATTATAGGCCTGCACTAGGATACAGCAATTGGTAGAGTACCAGTGCAGTATTCTAGTGCTCTTAAGTTCAAATCTTACCCTAGTACATTTCTTAAATATAACACTGATCAAATTGAACCGCACCAGTCAGTTAAGCAGTAGTTCTAAATTTAAGTGGTATCATATTCGAATCTCACTCCAGTAACCACAAGTCTAAACATAAAATTGATTAAAACTGCAGCAAGTGAGTTTCCTATGGGAGTGTATTTCACACATGAAGCAAGAGTACAATATATTCTAGGGTCATGAGTTTAAATCAGATATCAGTTTTCTTTGTTCATTCTCTAAATCAAGTGAAAGTGTTCAGTCAGTTTCCCCTTGTGGTTTACATGACAGTTTCCAGAGTGGTGGAAATCCCCCAAGAACAATAGAGACAGGATCCTATGTCAGGCGCAGTACCTGCATTGGCTGTTGCTTCCTGGGTGAGTAATCTACAATTACTACCTTTGCGTTGTCCGGTGTTTCTACCAACATTTGACAATGCTCTATGCATAAGTAACCAGAGTATCAGAACAAAACTAACAGGGATAACGATCATTGCTGAACAACCTTCCTTGACAATGGAGTTGGTATAATAGAATGACACCATAAAAACTTATGCACAACATAATCCAGCTCTAGCAACTGAATAGTTCTCATAAAGTTATACATCACACATATCAATTAACCTACTTCATTCCACACTCCTCAAGGGGTGGCTTGTATCAAATTTATCTAATCTTCCCCCCTTTCTTTTCTGGACAACTTGTTGGTCATATAAATGTGAATGCCTGGTCTCTCACTGTGCCATGAGCTAGCATATGTGTGAGGGAGTAAGGCTAATCAGTCAGTGCCAAGGCTGTGGTGGAGTCCATCCATTACAAGAACAATCACAGGTCCAGTCACAAGACACAGGTTGAACAAAGGAATGGTTTTAGTGGCTGTTTGCTGGAGAATTGCTACAGTGACCTGGCTTAAGACGGGGAGGCTTGGGGTGGACTTGTGACCAATGCCTTGTATGCAGGGACTTGGTATGGACTCGACTACAGCCCAAGCCAGACCTAGAAATAAACCCGGAAAACAAAGAACCTGTGAAATTAACGTGAATTTGAACTTGATTACATCTCATGTCTTCGCTGAAGACTTCGCCGGGGAGGGGGAACCACTGTCCCCCCCCCCGACACTTTTTCAATGGGGGGGCATGGCTGTCCCACTTTTTGCAGGCCCTATAATGGGGTGGGTCTTAATGCATTGGCCAATTAATGGCCGGGTAGGTATGTAAACACGGGTGTATCTGTGAGTGGAAATTTGAACAGACCAAAATAACTTCCTTTGATACACGTTGACATACCTTGTGATGGTGAAGTGTTAAGCTAGCTCCTGTGGGAGTTACATTTGTTTCAAGAAATGAAGTTACATTTGAATATTTTCCAGACAGATCAATGGGAGTACCCCTACCCAGGTCTAGATGGTCACAATGATAACTGCCGACTATGCATTAATCTAATTCCTCCATGATCTAATTGGAGTTTCGTGCAAACACACCACATCCCCACAGGGCAAATACTTGATAGTCAATTTCCAACATTTTGATGAAACAGTAAAGGACCGTGCATTTGCGCCACGTTATAAGGGCCGGACAATTAAATTACGAATCTCCTTAAAGACCAAATCAAAAGATTAAACCGATGAAGGATGGAAAGTGGCATTTCTTCCTGTCCTTGGACAAACATTTGGACAGCTCTGAGCCCCGTTTTCCTTCCCTAGAATGGTTGTCACCCTCACCTGCAAACAGACAGACCGGTATGGGATCAACTGGTGAATTGGTCTTGACTCCTCGACCTGGAACAGCTAAGGCTCCATGGAGAGACATTGTCAACGGGCATTTCCCCCCTCAAAACGGAGCCACTCCACCACTTCAGACCTCTGCACCCACGCAATGTCCAGGCTGGAGGGGGGAGGGGAGGGGAGGGGGAAGGGGAAGGGGTAGCCTATCTTCCTGTGAAACGTGTCAAGTTTGATTGGGATGAGGGCAAATAACAATGGGGAAGGGAAGACAGTGGCTGGGTTAAGATGAAAGTTGCTGCCAAGGCACTTTGTGCAATCTCATCCATCTGTGACATGGAGGCATACTTTGAGTGGGTTGAGGGGCGGGCCAGCCATCACTACAGCAGGGGACCATTTCTTTTGTCGGGACAGTCGGGAGCAAGTTGTTTCTGGTCCTCACAACATCTACATTTCATCTACTGTGTAGTCCCCACAACTATATACAATGTACATGTGTACATGTGTTCTTCTGTGGACAGGCCTGCAGAGCTTAGGTGACAATGTTTCATTTCCTGTATCCTTTCCCATTCTGTCTTTCTGTTTGCCTACACGAGGCACATAATTCAAAATGACACATCAGTTACAACTGGATTTATTCAGTTTCAGTGACTCATATGTTTGTTTTGCAGGTGAGACTATTTAGGAAACACATTAAGTATTATGCTCTACGAGGGGCCAGATAATACTTGCTTTGAGGTTCCGAGTAAGAACAAATCTGTACACATTACGAGGAAGCTATAACTGTCAACATCATGAGATTCACTGGGCATGTGGATGAAGAACGTGTATAAATAGATGCACGTTATGCTATCCTATGCTGTGACAGAATTAGGTTCAAACTTAGGATAACAAAGGATTAGTGGGCGGCTGTGGCCCAGGGTGTTCCACTGTATTTCTATATTTCAATGAACCTGGATCAGGCATGCAACTTGGACCTTGACAAAAATGAGGAAATTCCAATCTTTACAAGACTTTGTACAATGTTTTTCAATTTTTAATGGCATGAGTGTGAGGTGAAAAACGAGGAAATCGGCTGATCCCGAGGAAAAGTTGTATGCCCGCTGGATCTGGCCCACATCCCATGGACATTTAGTCACAAAGCCCTAACTCGCCCTAGACTGGGGATAGGTACAGAAATACAATCCTCGGAGCTCCCAAACTGTAAATATTCTTAAATTTGAAACTGAAAAAACAAAATCAACCATTTTACTGTTAAAACTTTGCTGAATACTCTGAAAAACAAGCACTGCCCTTCAATGTGGAAAGGCAACAATCTTGTCATATTGAGTTGGTCTGTAAATGTTGCTCCATCAACTTGATATCAAAGACGATTTCTCAGATTTTGGTGTCAAGAGGGTTAAGGGAATGGGATCAACATGTAACTGCTGAAACAGCCCTGTGGAGAGATTCACTGATGAAGAAAAATCCACAAAGAAGTCCACTGAAAAGGTTCCAATGATGGCAACAACTGTACATGTTTATATCACTGTGAATTTTCAGGGCTTTTAATAGCAAACGTAACAAGGCACGAGTTCTCTCCCAAATGGCTAAGATGATATGAATCTTGCACGTTTTTTTTTTTTTTGCGCACAGTGCAAAATGTAGTTCAAAAATCCTGAAATCTGGAGAAATCCTGCAGTGTGGGGGAGAAGTTCCATTTCACTTATTCCTTTTCAAGCAAGACTCAATTTGAAACTGTACATGTACTTCCTCATCGTGCTGATGTGCAATAACCCAAATTGATGTATCTCTCACAAACTGTTGAATCATGACGCTGTTTTCACATCCGATTGTGGAGTAGGGGGGAGGCATTTGGCAAAGTTCAGTGCCATGTGCCAACTGCCCTGACAAGTGACTAATTAGGGTATCACAGGCCACACGCCTTGCACTGCAAGCGGCTTGAAAATTGTTCCTGACAGCATATGG